GTTCAATGTTTCAAGTCAATTGAATCCACACTTTTTTCCTTGTTGATTATTTTAAATCACCAGGAATGGCTCTAAACAAGAAAACAATGTAATGAGCGAAAACAATTGACTCACCATTCAAAACAACAGAAAAGAAACCTGCTAGCCTGTACTTAAACATAATAGTACAAAGGAAAGACGGGGGCATAACTGGGATTTCTTAAACACCATTCGTTACAGCTAAAAGGTTCAATGGGAACATTGAATCAAGGGTTTTCTCAACCGAGTACTGCCCACATTTTTTATCTTTTTCGTTTGGAGTTGTGAAAGTTGTGAATTGGGCTGGCGTTCAGTTGAAACTAACTGATACCTGTTAGAAAATTGAAAGTTATTGATTCATTTAAATATTTTGGGAGAAAAACAGCGTCGAAGATTTTGATCGTAATACCTGCTGAGGGTTCATTAGACTGTCTGAACAGGTGGCGACCACGCCTACGTGATGATCCTGCCCACATTTCTACTTGCACAAGAAAAGGAAAATTTTTATTCTTTAAATTCGCGGGAAAAAGGTAACACCCTACTATAAGTCGTGCTCAAAAAGTTATATTCCAACCATCAAGTTATACACAAAGGCCTTGCATTCTTTATTTCAAAGGACAAGAGTCAGTGGTGTAATCGAAATACCCCTTAGTACGCAGACGTTTTGTCGGGGCATTACTTCGTTACAATGTGACAGATTTTAACGAAGTCTTAAAATATTTGCCTTTGGTCCTGGCCTGACGAAATCTCTCTGTTTGAATTGATGCTATAAATGGTAACTTAATTGGTTTTGCCTTCTTAGGAATACAAGTTGGCTACGAATTCTTATCCAAAACATTTAGGGCCAGTTATTTAAACGGAGTTTAGCCAGTGTTCAAAAAACCGGGTTCCAAACCATTTTCACTTTGCCCAACGCTTTTATCTTAATACCATTTACCGTGAAAAGGTTCATGAAAGCATAAGGGCTAGACAGGAAAAGCACTTATTTTCTTAAAATTACCCACTAACGAAGATATCTGGAGGTCCAACGATTTGCTAAACCGCGACCTAAGTTATACTTCGGTAGTATTTCAGTGAAACCCAAGGATCATGAATAGTGCAATCAAAGTAGCTAGTTAAATTAACTATTGTCTCACTAGGCGGAAATATATTGGGTTAAATCCACTTGTTCTGTTATTTGTAAGGTATTTAATCTGATTGTTTTCTTGATAATGCGGTAACCAACACTTCGAGGAAGGTGAAAATATTTATGATTGTCTTCGCTGGAGCACTTGACATTCGCAGGAATTTTGACAGGCAAGTTTTAATAAAACCTGTAACTCCACGTGCTTGTAAAAAGACTGTAGGCGCTGGTGCCTTTCAGGCTGTCAAATCTTAGAATATTAAGTTAATCCGCAAACAAAAAGAGGAATAAAACAAGTAAAGAATGGTTTGTGGACTTTTCGTTTCGCTAAGAATTTGTTTTGCGATAATTCGATCAAAATACTGAACCTTGTCCAGGTGCCATAGAACTACACGTCAAATAAGTGTCTTTCCATCGCAAGTTGCCCGATGGGCAAACGATGTTTCTTCAACAGCTCCGGTCTAGTAAATTGCAGCAATATTTTTAGCCCCTTCGTCCCAAAAATCTTCCATTTCACTCTAAAGTTATTCTTTCTCTTCTTTCTCTGAGTGTTAAGACATAATATGTGCATAATCTCTTTTTGTGTCATACGTATATACGTGAAGACGTTTTTTAAGAATCAAGGTCTGTTTTGCACTCATTTCCTTTGTGCATTCGATCCGTCCACATTTGATTATACAGCGATATTAAGATCCGTGTCGCTATTTTGGCGTAATTTTTACGTGCGTGGGCCCGTAAATTTTACGCGCTTAAATGAAAAAGAAGCAATAAAGTATGAAGTGTCGCGCGTAAACGTAAAGTTAAACGAGTTTCAACTTAGGAGAGGGTTACCCTTGTGCTTGGGTTACCCTAGCAAGCGGGTTAAAGTTAGTTTTAGTTTATAAGCAAAATTCACAGGTAGGGTTACCCTATCACCCGGGTCAACTTTACCAGCTTTTCTGACGTGTTTCGTCATGCGTAACATTCTTTGTAACGTCTAAGGCGTTTAGGGACGGACCATGAGAAAAGTTATGGGGGGGAGGGGGGCAGAGAATTTTCGAGCAACATGAATTTTTTTCTTTAATGTTTCCTTTGAATGAATATTATTTTGTCAAGATGTTGTGCACGAATATGTTTTTTCCTTAAAGTAACACTAAACTAAAAAAATATTAAATCATTCAGTTGTTCACTTAGCCAAGGGCATAATTTAAATATAGGCTACCTGGGCACGTATGCGAAAGGAAGTTGATACATATCTAAGGTACAGTTCACAATGGCCTTATTTTCGGAATTTTACGATATCCTGTATTGTACGTACATTGGTACTGCGCAAGTTCATATTGCTTTGCTGAAATTTTACATGTAAAAAGCATTACGAACAGCAAGTCACGGAAGGAATGTTGCCAGTGTTTGTTCATCACTGGCCACAAAATAAGGCACTCTTATGATATTATACAAAAAGAGTGTATTCACAATAATAGATTTGTGGCGTTCTTAAAGGATATATAAAATAATTTATGTCCACCCGCTATAAAAGACCTGATGCGATATAAACACAGTGAGATGGGAGAAAGCCAGTAGGAGTGGATGGGACATTTGCTGCACATTTTTTAAAGTCCCTGGCCTTTATTGTGCCTCTCCCATAGTCCATCATAGTAATGCCAGGTGCCATTGATGGTTACAGCTCCTCTATAGTGTATAAGCTTTCAAGCCTCAGATATATTTTTTTGTATCAGGTGTGATTATTTACAAGACCAAACTTCAGCAGGAAGTTTATTCAAAGAGCTGATGTTTTGCACACATTATGCTCTCCTGCCTTCCTTCCTGAGATTTGTTTAAAATGTGTGGAAGGCCAATGTAGGAATTTTTTCCTGGTCTACTCTGCATGCATGAATTTTTTTCACTTAATTTCCTTTGCATGAATGTTTTTGGTACTTCGCCCCCCCCCCCATAACTTTTCTTATGGTTCGTCCCTTAGCACGTTTAATAACATCTTCGGAGAGCCAGGGGGCGGTCAGTTGGGTCAGGAAAAACGGCGGCGAAAGTTTTCACTGAGAACGGGCAGGAGAGCTCCTGGGATGCTACTCTTAACGAACAAGTTCCACGACGCATTCGAATGCTTTTCTGTGATTGGGCACACAAAATAATTTTGTGCTCAATAAGAGGCCAGAATCTGTCGGGTTAGCCGGCGTAGCAGGCGCTTGAAAAATAATGGGCGTAAGAAAGAACGTGGCGCGCGAGGGAGACACGCGTTTCTCCCTCGCGCGCCCCGTTCTTTCTTGCGCCCTTTAGGGACGGACCATTAGAAATAATCGGAGATGGGGTGACAGTTCCCAAAAACAAAATTCCTGCAAAGAAAACTTGTCTTAAAAAAATCCTGCGAGCGGTGATACGTAAACAAAAAAAAAATCTTGCAGAGGAAGCGACATGCATAGCATTTAAGGTTATTCAAAGTATGGGATAAGGTGGAAAAGGTAACATAAAACAATGCCTAAAGATAAAGAGAATTGAAATTCTTGATTTTTGCTTTAGTACTTTTATCTGAAAACAACTGTTTGATATTTCTTCATAAAAAAAAACATAAATAGTAATGGCTTGCTTTCTACACAGTCATCATTATTTTATTTTAACCACTGATATTGCTATCACAAATAATTACGCTATAAAATCCCTCTCTTCAGATGTAAAATGTATTTCAAAATATTTTTGATACAACATTAAGTAATATAAGGAACTGAATATAATATAACTATTTCGGTCAATTTCTGGTTAGTCTCGTTGTTTTTCTCGGTGATGACCAGCCTGTTCCAAGCGTTCAGATAGTGGAGAGCGGTGCGAAGTAAAGAAAGCTCACCTCTCCTCCCCCTCCCCCGCTTTTATTTTTTCGCGCTCCTTTTTACTTCGCACTGCTCCCCACTATCTGAACGCCTGGAACAGGCTAAGTGATGAGGAGCTGATTTTCCTTTTGCTGTTTGAAACAATGATTTCTCAAGCCTGTAAATAAGTTTTTAGCCCTCTGGAGCCTTCCAACGGTTCAAATTTTCCTTTTTTCGGCAACTGAGCCGCAGTTTTCGCGTGTTGGTTTGAGGTCGTTTGTCTTCTTGGTGAGAAGTGACCCGCATTAGCCTCGCTTTCACGCAAAAACAAGCACTCGTCCTAGGCTGCCCAGGAATGAGGGGAATACGAAACTCGCCTATTAAGGTGCTACTCCTTTTTATTGATAACTATTGATATTCTGGCTCAATTGTGAAGTGGAAATTTCCACCAATAAATAACAGTATATTATTTTTTGTTTCCGAAATAATAACGACAGACAAAATAACAAAATATGTACACCAAATTCCAAAATGGCAGGTATTCTTTTGTCTTATAATGTGTAAAATTGGCCCTTAATGCCATGTTTCAAGGTACCGGGGTAATAGTCTTTTTGATTTCTGCAGAATTGGGGGAATGCAATTGAGGTGCTAATTGCGAATTAACGTTAATCTGCCATTTTTTTCCAATTTGTTAACTTTTTACTGGAGTAGACCCTTTACAGCTAGTCATTCACGTAATAGAAAACTGCCATGTTAAAGAGCAAGTAGCCTGTTCACAGACCCTCTACTTTCTCTTCAAAGTCCGTCGAGCGCGCGTGATAAAATATAAACCGCAGCGCAAGGGGGTAGGGGTTGGGAAAGAAGAAGATATCTTTTATAATGGTGCAATACGCTTTCCACACGTTGGAATGTTTTCATTTTTACAGAGAGAATGCATAAACCTACAAACAAGCAGTAAACCTCATAGGACGAACTAAAGCGATAACGACTAACGATTAAGGCAACAAGAAAAATAATCAATTTGTTGCCGTTGTTTTTATTCTTATTGACAGGCACATAAACGTCTAAAGGCTGCTGAGGTACTCAGCTGTAGGCCTTTCTTTGAGTTCATCTTCACTGTGCGCAAAAGGGCACTTTTCTACGGACACAGGACACCCATCAGGATGATGCAAGTTAAACCAGCACACGGACGTTTTCCATAACGCCTGGGATCTTCGCTGCTTTCTGGCCAGGTCACCTTTCCTTCCTCTTGGGACTGAGGTCTCTTGCGTCCAGTCCCTCATTTGAACAACTCCTCCTACGACTGTAAGATAAAAGAAAAGGCTCGTTTGATGAAGTGCGTCAAAAATAGTTCATCTTGCTGGCAAAAAAAAACCTTTTTAAAACTTTTCCTGTCCGGTGTAAAAGTAGAAAACTCACAAACCTGCCTACAGAAATTTCTCAAAAACATTGAACACCAATTTGCCATTGGGCACGCCCTAAATGACACCAAAAATGACTTGACCACCGCTTACAAAAATCCTTGTTTTGTTATCTTAACACTGGAACTTACCCTTGAAAATGTAATAATGGTTCCGTAATAATGTCTGAAGTCCTCCGCATTCATTCTTCAGTTGTAACAAAGTGCTTTTGTCAAACAATTTTGCCACTTCAGAAAGTCCTATTTCAACTGAAAATTTAAGAAACTTGCATTAGTTTGTACTCAAACAGATTTCCTTTTGAAACGGGTGATTTGAGAAAACGATGAACGCTTCAATATAAAACGTGGAAGTTAACAAATGGATATACCTAATTCAATATAGGTTGTTTTGGTAATTGAGCATTGGCCATTTGGGTATCACATCTCACTGCAATGATTAGCTTGAGTGACCACCAAACATTAGCTTTCCAGTGCGTAATTCCCAATGCCCAAAGCAACCTTTATTGAAAACGGTTTAAAGTCGTCAAAACTCTGTGGCGAAAATACTGAGTATTCTTGCCTTGAGTGGAAGTGACGCTGGGGGTGTGTGACCTTGTTTTGATAGTATTCTTCGTTCTTTTCAAATGTGTCACACTGTTATGCATATGAGTAGCACTGAGGTTCTAATAAAAAAACGTAGCCGCCAGCCAGCTCCCACTCAAAGGCTAGGTTGCTTAACATGGATTAGGCCACTTCCGATATATTAATATGATAGCGACTCTAAGAGGACATTCCCCAATCACTGATCCCTGGAAGATCTACAGTGAGGGAAGCCATGCAACTCCCATAACGTGTAGTACGTGTCCTACCACAAGTCAGCCGGATGGTGCTAAATAAAAGCTCATTTTATTGTAAAATTCATTTTATTTCATGCCGGGTGATCGATCTTCGTCCTAAGCTAATTAACCTTATGTCTTCATGGGTGAGTCGGTTGTAGAAGTCCATACAAGTGAGGGGAACCTTTTTTTGGTTAACTTGAAAGGCCCGGGGGGTTGTATCACGATACAACTCACTTTGACTCTGAAGATGACTACCGCAAAGGTTGTCGAAACGTCAGTCACTGTCAACAACAACAGTCCTATTCAGGACTACGTTCACCCGGACGATCAAACTCAACCTACTTTTGAAATGACTCCTGGATTCAAACCTTTCACAGTAATATATATATATTGTTTGTGTTTTAACATGGTCTCGTTTAGGGGTCAAAAAAAAGCTTGAGCCACGCCTAGATAGGTCTCCTTTAGGGGTTTAATTCAAAATTTCCGACGAGCATCCCCACCCCTTTCATATGCGGAGTTCCCCCGGTTGAAACGCTAGCTGATGGCTTTAAGGTCCTTTATCGGGAAGCCGCTCAAACAGCACTGCACAAGTTAACAGAGCTTTCCTCTTTCCGACTAGATCATTGAACTGAAAAAAAGACGGTTCTTGAGTTGCCTGTCACTATAAAGTGAAATTAGAGATCACAGACATTGTAATATCCGAAGCACGCTGGAAACGGAGTATATGCTACTCGAGCACATCCCAGTTGTGATTTCCAGACACAAATCTGGCATAAGCCTACTCAGAATAGCTTTTATTCCGTGGGTTTTCTCACACTATTTGTGGCCATCAAAGCTTTAATCTAGGAGAAAAGTAGACTTCAACCTATTAGCAGCTATGTAACTTACCTCCTCTTCTCCAAGTAGTTGAAGAACTGCGAGAAGGTTGGCTCGTGTTAACTGCTGAAGTAGTGTCAGGACTTAGTTCGTCAGTTTTAAGTGAAACACCCAAAAGTTCCCTAGCCACTGTATTAACAATAAAATCTTTAAGTGACTGATCCAGAGATGTACAGTTCCGCATTGGTTCCTTTGCTGGGCGGGGCTGGAAAGTGGATGACGACACTATGGGAGAATTTGATTGATGGCCGAAGCTCTCACTTTGACGAATGTTGTTGCAAGAAACTGCACAAGTCGAAACGCTTTGCTTTTGTTCACGTCCAGCAATTTCCAGACAGTTCGTGTCTTCCGGGTTTTCATGAGAAAGCGGCCCTGTGGTTCGGCGGGAGCTCTTGCGGGGAGGTTCTATCAAATCTTTTTCTCCCGTAGATGTCCTTGGAGCAAGGGTGTCTGGAATAACACAAGCGTCAACGTCACACCCTCTTTGTAGTATCATATCCTTAATTACTTTGTCTCTGAGGACTTGATTCTCTTTGGGATACGTTCTAATTCTTCCGATCTGACATATCTGGAAAAGAAGTCGAAAACTGGGCAGTCAATACCTAGGTATTAGCCTGCGATCAACCGGGACCAGAGCGCCCCACAGAGCTTGATCGCAGGCTAATACCTAGGGCACTATATTTGTAGTGTAGTGTAATAAGTGTAACATGTGTAGCTATTGTGATTAGCTTATTATTTCACCAATCAGCTCTCTATTCACTCAATAGGGCCATTTATAATTATGACGTGCCCTGCATAAGACAGGTTTAAGGGGCGGTAAAACGGGTAACAAAAAACGTCCAACTTGTTTTGCGACATTGCAGCAAAACGAGTTGAATAGTGATCAGATGTTACGCGTTTTAACAGCCACGAAAAAAAACCCTTGCCACCTTATTTGTTGCAAGACAGGTTCATACGTGCGTGGTAAAACGCGCAACATCGCAGCAATGTACTGTGGCTAAGAAAGGACGTCATGTTTTGCGCCGTTCCACGGGAGGTCGGCGTTTGCGTTCCTCACGTAAATAGCCCTGGTAAGCACAAAGTACAGTGTATTACTCTATATAATGTACCCTTTTGGTTGATGGAATCCTCAGGGAATCCTCTTCTACTTGAAAGCCACATGTTTCTCCGACTTCATGTACAAAATCCAGGTATCCCCTATACTGCGGTACCTTATTGCTTCGCCTCACAAACTTAAAGGAGAACACATATATCAAAATGACTTGAAAGTTAGGACTTCTCTCCAGAGCCCTAAAGTAACAACGTGTTGTCGGGGAGAAAACTTAGCTCCAGTCGAACTTCCATGTGCGACTAGGGACCTTAAGATCCGAGGACGGCGACGGCAGAGAAAACGTCGCTGAAAAAGTGAATTCGCGTTCTTTCAATCTTCATCGCGATTACTCCAAGTCACTAACTTCGTCAAATGTAGGTGAACCCTCCTAAGTTAAATCCCTAAGGCCCATATCCAGGTTCAGGAAGAGAGAGGAAATTTCGTTTTTGCTTGTGTACTTCCTCTGTAAAACGTGAAATTAGGCATTTTCACGTCGTAGTCGTGCAGTGACGGCAAAGAAATGTACAAAAAAGCGTGCAAAATTGTTTTTTTTGCTAATCAAACCTATTGCTTTTTTGAAGTTCTCGTTGTCGTCGTCGGATCTTAAGGTCCCGACTATCTCTGGTAAGCAACCGCCTATCCAAAATACCAAAATTTTTCCCAGTCAAACTAGCCATATAATTAGAACCTCTCATAAGCGACCGCGACCACTATTTGGCCTGACGGTTTTGTAATTTTCCATTATTTTTAACCCTTTAGCCCCGATATCTACATATGAATTCTCCGTACTGATCTTCATACATTTCCTTAACAAAATAGTTGAGAGAGTTTAATAACAGATCAAAGCATTTTTTTCTTTAGTGATCATTTTATTAACTCTCATAATCATTTCTCTTGACAACATATGGATATTGTTAGGAGAAAATTGATGTTGGTAACTATCGGGACTTGCAAGGTTAACCTCTGGTAAGCGATCACTTGACGCATGATGTGGTCTCTTTCTTTGCTGTATGTAATACGCCACTCCGAGAATAAATACCTTTCGGTGACAACATGGAACTTACACGTATACGTAACTTAGAAATTGCAAGTAATAAATTCTCTGCCAAAACGTAGATGTGACGGGACCTCTTCCCGGAAGAGGTCCCTCATTGGTGAGATTCTCGTAAGCGACCACTAAATCGTCGCATTTGGGGTGGTCGCTTACGGAACGAGGTTCGATTGAATAAGGGATTGGTAACCACATTCCGGTTAACTCTTAGACCTTACGGTCCGACAACGGCGACGTCTATGAAAACGTCACCGAAAAATCGACCTCGCATTTCGCGATTGTTAAAAGTCGCCCAGTTACTTAAAAGAAGGGAATTTTGGTTGGAGCTGGAGAGAGGGGGGAAGCACCTGAGCACCCGAGTTCAGACAGAGATAGTAGACTACTATCGCTTTGCCGTTCCCGCTCTCAAGTAAACTTAACATTTGGTCATTTCACGTCTTACTTGTACAGGGACAGAACACAAATGTACAAAAAAGCGTGATGCACGAGCAGAGTTGTTGTTTTGCTCATTAAACCTATTGTTTTTTTGACGTTCTCCCTGCCGTCGCCGTCGTAGTTTCGTAAGGTCCCTATTGATAGGTGGTGACGGCACAGTGTGGTGTTCAGTTGCTGAATCCCTGAAGTTAATTGTATGAGATGTCTGAAGAAGGGCCCATTTAGCAAGATATGGGATTTACAATCTTATAAATATACCTCTAGCTGATATAATTACCTTGCAATTGAAGTCAAACAAGCAACATGGCAACACAAAATATCGCGTCGCGTAAGACGATCTATAGTAAAAGAATTCAATAGTTGGAAATTCTTTCAGACTCATGCTATGTACAGCAGGGGCCAGTCGATGACCAAATGCAAAGAATAGTAGACACTGCTTCCTAAGGACTTTCTGAAGTGGTATAATTAAAATGCTACTACTTTAGCATGTTATTATGTCGCGGTTAGTACGAAAAGAGTGTTCTTGCGACTAGAGGCAAAAGTGAGCGGGAGTTGCCTTCACGTCCCTCTTGTTTGGCCCGCAAAGATTAGTGGGTTAAACACTCTCACCACTGAGCTATGGAGGAACTTATGATGAACTATGCCCCTGTTTGTTTCTGCAACTTTTGTTCGAAAAACTCCACCATAAAATCAGAATTGACTCCGATGTAAAGAAATTTGTACCTGAACACGAGTGAGCTACAGTTATACTTGTCACATTTGTTGTAACAATTGTCATGTTACGCCTTCCCCAAATGTTGATTCATGTATCACCCATTTGAAAATAAAAAGCGTATCTCAACATTGGGGAAGAAGAGAAGAAGTATACACAGGGATAAGTTGGTTGACAAGGCGTGACATGAGAAATCTTCAGTTTCAACCCAATGTTAAAAGAAATTTGGTGAGTATTGTAGTATTCATCAGCATGCAAGCATCTTTGGAAAAAAGTGCGGAAAGCACACTAACAGAGCAACTTTGTCATTTACAAGTAAATACCTCGCTACCGTCAAGTTCCTTAGCGAAAAAATTCGCGTTATAACTAGTCAACAAGATGAATTAGACAACCGTGCCGGAAAAGGCGCTTTTAAGCTTCATGAGTTTGTGTAGATAGTTAACTTGCCTTGCTGCCATGACTGGTATCCATGGGGTTAGCTCATCCGAGTGATTCCCAATCAGCCAATCAACATCAGGAAATAAACAAGCTCCTGTGGGATCTAATGCTCTTTCCTACCAATATAAAAACAACAAAAGCAGTTGTCGCTACACTATCTGCCTATTTTGTTTCAATGTCAATAATCAGGCGCTCAGCATGCCTGTTTATACATGAAGCTGATACATATATTAACCTGTAGATTCGTTTTTCCTCCATACAAATTCCAGATTTTACGGCGACGCACATCAATGCCTGTTCCTGGGTGCTGTAAAAAAGTAAAAGGTGATAAATAAATAACACAAAATAACATTACTTTAAAGCGATCTACTTATTTGCAAGGGAAATAAAATATTCCAACTACTGTAGAAGCACTGAAGCATTCGCAGAAACGTTTTCATCTTGTTGACATAGCATTTATTTAAGGATGACGCTTGGATATTTTCTTTCTTCTCCCTTGTTTTGTACAAACTAACTGAGAACAACACGACTGATCACGACCTAAAAAAACATGTATACCGCTTCTTGTGTCTGGGCCATATGCTGGTTATTTCAATGAAACAAATCAAAAATATTCTTTTTTATCTTCTGTTTAAAAAAATGCCTAAAAATAAACCCGTAACGTTAAGTTATTTATTATTCAACAAATGCCTTGAATTTGTTTTATAAAACTCCATCTAAAATTCCCACGTGCATGCCCCCTGCATGAGCAAAGCCCGAGCAAAGCAAAGTCGTCGAAAATTTGCAGCATTTGCATATTTTGTCTTAAAAAGTGTTTTCTGTTTTGAAACATTTGTCTTAGTGTTCTGCTGACATAGCGTAGTAGCGTCAGTAGCGCTTCCTGTCTGGGTTTCTAGGGTCGCCGTTGCTCCCATAATGCGCTGCGGGCTATGAAACATGCATCATACATCATTTTTTACTGAAGCAACCTTAATTGAAATTGGTGTATAAAGCTAAGAGAAAGGTGAACTAATGTTGGGAACTGCCAGTTACATTAGAGAAGTCATGCATTTTGCATGTACACCTTCTCTATTACATTGTTTCAACAACATCCAAAAGCACTGTCTGTCATTTCCTGCATTAATAATTTCAAAATGGGGCAGATATTATTGACTATTGATACTTTGGCAGACCATTAATTTTTTATATAAGCACTGGTTACCAAACAACCACAAAACTTCAGCTTTACCCCCTCTTCGCTGAGTATATGGACAAGCAAGCCATTTCCACATCCAAGGTCAACAAAACTCTGTTTAAATTCTAGGTTTAATTTTCTTCTCTCTTCTTCCCAAAGAACCTACAAGAAATCAATTTACACCACAGATTAGATACCAAACGGCATATTTTGTTTTGTCTCACACTATCACTATCCAGTTAGCACTCATTGTGAAATGAGGTTGAAGTGTGATTGGACAATTTCATATAAATCAATGATTTTTGTCAACCCAAGTCAAGTTGAAGGAGTCTGTAAATATCAATTCAGGTAAAAAAGGACAAAGTACCAAAATTTCAATAGTGATGTTTTTTTGATTGTGTACCAGTTTTTCATAGTTTTTACTGCCACCCAAAGTGGTGGAATTAGCTTGATAATATTGTTCCAGCTTGTCAACACTTTAGTTTATATGTGGTTACAAATCAGAAACAATCACAAATTATTTAGATACTTCACTCATCAATTCTCTTAAGATCACCTCTTACTGATGTCTTTGTGAGGGTGAGTAAATTAACTGTTTAGTAGCTTACCAACAAGTATGAAGCTATAGCAATATCTTCATAAACAAACTTTTGAGGATCTGTCCTCTCAGGCCAGATCTAGGGAAAGAGGAGACTGAGTTAACATGATAAAATGATATTCACCCATAGTTGTAAGTAATATTATAACTTACAACAATGGGGGGATTCATTTACAGTACATGCATGTAGCTGTGACATTTCTCCATTGGAATTTTGTATTGTTTTCAAGCTCATAATGAACAACAACTAAAACATTTCCAAGGAGTACATGTTACTGCTATACATGTACACTACAAATGAGTCCACCCTATGTATTTCATCTGAAGTATACTGTGAAAAAGCTTTTATGCCAGGGATGGATAAATATTAATTTCCATACTTAGACAAACCATTATCTTGGAAAAGGTGACAGTAGCTAGGTACAAAATACAACCAGTGCACCTGACTAAAAAAAAAGACAAAATTCACGAGACAAAGGTTATTTTCTAGTTCAATTTTTGTAGTTCTAAACAACTTTTAACAGATACTTCAGTATTTTGGATACAGTATCTCACAGACAAGAAAGACCTTTATATTAGCTTCTATATCAAGATAAGAGTTTTTATGGTAGTTTAAGAACATGCATCTTGATACCTTAACAAGCTTTTCACCATAATCTTGTTTTAATCTGTGATATAACAGAGTGTACTGATCGAGAGGGACAAGTCTGAGTGACCCTTTGCTGCTTTTACCATCTGGTTGTATTTCCTCTGCCCACTTGCAGAGTTTAGGAAGTAAGTGATCTTGCAACCACTGTATTGTGGGACATAACACACCATCTCTTCTACCATCATTAACAGTTGTTTTATCATCCCTCAGAAGTAGTGACACTCTTCAAGGCAAAACATAACATACTGAGATTAATAAAGTGAGTTAGAAATTCCAGTTCTTCTCTTGTCACATGGTGGAGAATGTGTGTGATATATCACAATGGTAATTATAACTAATTCAAAATATTTCTTTGTTTCAAATTACCTCAAATCCCCTGGCTAAAATTACTGTTACCAGCTACTGTTGACCAAATTTGGGAGATGCTTGCCATATCTGCTAAAATGACATTAGTACAGGCTATTGCCAGAAAAAAAGGGATGGTAACAAGGAGCCCATAGGAATGATGTAGCATTAGTTTGGTTGTTTTTGTACAGCTGAAGAAAATGGTGGAAAAATTCACACTATTTGCAAAGAAGAAATAGATGCACTTCTGCCTAAAAACATAGTGAGAACAGCCAAAATACAAGTCAATAGATGACAACTGCTATTTGAAGAAAATCTGCTAGACTTAACATCCATTTATATCTTTATTTTGCCGAGGAACAGACAAATAAAGAGGCACACATTACGTCAATCTTGGTATGCATGTTTTAATGAATAATAATAATAAAATAGTATTTATTATTGGTTTCTGCTTTTCTATGATCTGAAAAATAATTATACAGATCTTGGAAGGTATTATCCACCTTGGCCTTCGGGCTCAGAGGCTAACACTTGGCAGCTAGTCCCAAACCATCACCTCCTTGTAATGTATAAATTCTCCAGTCTACCCAAACCATTGTTCTGTAATGGCTCAAAGAGAGAGACTAGCTCATTGCAGTCTTATAGACACTGGCCACAAGTGAGAGAGCACAGTTGTTAAAAAGGTAAATTTCAAGGGATTTTACCTTGCAAGGTTTTCTTCCGCAAGAGGCTCATAAAAAAGGCAGTATGACTCTGATTCGCTTAACCAATCCTGGTACTTATCTTTCTCCAACACTTTAGGTGAAAGAGGAAAAAAGTAAACTCTCCTCTCACTTTTTTCTGAAAATAATAAATAATAAAAGACAATGTTGTCACCATGAAAACAAAATTATTATAAATTGAACTTAAAATAATGATAATCATTGTTATTTTTTATTGACCAATAACAACAGAAGGATTAGTTGAGTATGACTAAAGACTTCACCGTGGTCAAGTGACTGACATAGTGATGTTATGTTCAGTTTCCAATAATAATGATTATAATAATAATGATGGACTGTTAGCAAATTATTTTTCTCTCAAATCACTTATTTTTAATCCCAAAACAAAAACAGCATGATTGTGCTCTAAAAATTTCTGATTTGTGGAATAGATAGTTTAATGTTTGTTTCCAATAATAAATTTATTAATGGGATATATAACGACAATGATAGATCATCATGATGATGACAGCTATTTATTTACCAATAGGGCTATTTATACTGAACAATTGACTGAAAAAACATGACATAATAAAAATCTATGGGGTTGTAATAAAATCTATGGGGTTGTAACTTGTTAAATGTTATAATACTTCTTACCTATAAATACCAATTCACAAATTGGATCTCTCTTATCGAGCTGTCGAGGTAACAATTTTCTGAGTGTAATCGAATTTCCTTCCTCATCATCTGCTGGATCTGTAAAAGAATCCTTTTCTGGAATTTCGATTATATCAGTTTCCCCCTTACTTAAACATATTTTTTCTCCGATTTCTGATTTTTTCGATGTATCACTGGCAAAGCTCCCTTGTAGCGATTGTGTATGTAGCAGTTGTTGCCTCTGATCAGCAAAAAAACATGCAAGATCTTTTTCTGTCAAATGCTCAAAAGGAGCTTTCTTTACAATAAGCGCACCCATAAGACGTCGATTGATAACATGTGGTTTTTCTATCCATACATCTAAAGCTTTTAAGAAACCACAAAAGTCCGCTTTGGTATTGTTTGAATGGACGTTTTTCCACAACACCTTGTCCGCCATCTTGGATGAATTGTGAAAGATATCGAGGAAGATTGGGTACAAGTTTACAAAACAGTTGCGCCGTTTTCCACTCAGCGGGTATTTCGTTATTCTTATGCGCCAAATGGGACTGCGCACCTTATCAAAACAATATGGCGGTCGCAGAATTAAAATTTTGAAGGGCTCGGAGGTGCTATCTATTAGACATGCTTTATTATGATACTACTTTATAGCTTGGGGATAATTCTCCTTCTTCTTTTGGCGGCTATCTTCTTTGGAAGGTACGTTATGATGTACAGAATCGATGGACAAATTTTCCCTAAACTTTTTGTTTCTTCGTGATCGATATTTTTTTATAGCTTGGTTTTATTTTTTGTTAAACTTTGTAAAGAATTATGGTAACGATGATCGTATCTAAAAAACAATTACAATTTAACTGTGTTAACACCCAATATTTATAAATCGATTATCTGATAAATTACTGTAGTTTTAATATTGCATGGAAAAGCTGCAGGATCTGAGTAGCGTTTGCTTAATTCGCACAACTTTGCAGTGGCAGCTGACAACCTCAGCCCCACTAGCACAAACCACAAAGCTTAATTAAAGAAAAATAATTTAAAACCATCAAGCTCCAATATAATCAAGCTTTGAACACTTTAGGAAGAATAGAAGGTTTTTCTACAAAATTTCGTTTAGATTGTTTGGGGCTTTGTTTGTAGTTGCAATTAGTTTTCCTTGTACTGCATGACTTGTACGTGATGTTGTGGAAAGGTTTTCAGCCTGTGCAATGGTAATAAAAACAATATATAACAATATATACTTGGTTTTAACCTTTGGTTATAATCAGTTATAATACAGTCTGGCAAATTAATTGACAAAATTTAATACTACTTTTTTCTTTCATCTTATTAAGTCTAAGAGGGATTTTTTCATTGTTTTGTTACTTGAGGTATATTTCCTGTTAGGCTCATAAGCTTATTTTTTGCTGATTCCCCAGTACTGATGCATATTTTCAACTACATATTTCTAGTTAACTTTGTTTAACGTTACTTTTCATTGGTCACAAAAAAACCCACAAACCTTCAAAACTCATTTCAGAAGATCAAAGCTTACATTTTATAGATGTTGAAGGTCAAAGTTGAATTCAGATTTAAATTATTTTTTTATCTAGGTGGATTCTCAATTCCCTTTATATTCTAATTCGCTACCCCGCTCAAACGAATATAAAACATTTATCATGTAACAAGCAACCTCAATTGGGGTGTGTCAACACGAGCCGTGTGCGACCCTCTTTATTATGCCTTCATCAACAGAATGGATGGAAATAATACAACAAACAGAATGAAAACTTGGAAATAATTACAGGGCCCAACAAAATGATCTAAACTAAAACAATCATTCAAAACATACAAAACGTGCTAAACCTTTCAAACTATGCAAAAACTACGGTGATCACTGGGTATTTAATTTTGAAAAAAAATTTAACAACTCAATTTAATTTTAATGACAACAGAACAACATACCATAACACCAACCCATGATAAATACATTTGTCTCCTAGAAAAAATAATTAGGCAAAAAAGAATTTGAGAATCAACCTGGGTTAAGTTTCATAAAAAATTCTAACCTGAATTTAATTTTGACCTGCAACATAGACACTAGTGAAGAAAAAAGAAAAAAATATTTTCATATTTCAATGGATTTTCACTTTCTATGACCAGCTGTTTTTCGGCTGCATGTTTTGTCCAGGCCCCTGTTGTTCAAATGTTGGATAGCCCTGTCAGTCAGATAAATCACTATCCAGAAGATGAGTATTAAGGAAAACAACTGCGTTATCCACTCGACAGATTTTTATCCAGTGGATAGCACTATCCAATGTTTGAACAACTGGGGGCAGATCTCCTACTGCTACTAACTGGGAATATTTTTTAAAATGTATGTATTTTTTCTTTGTTTCCTAGATTTTTTGCCTGGTTAGTTGAGATTGCTGCTCAGTATTTCTTGCATCTGGATCTTAAACTTGATGCCCTTGGCTTATTTGCTTTGAGTGGTATTGAGATTACATTAAAAAATGGGATTAAAATTGTAAGTTGAAAACCTTCATGATGCTATTTGTTGGATAAACAAGTGATTATTTTCAGGGTGGGGGTTGTAGTTTAACTACAAGGCTGAGGTCATGAAAGGAAGAAGATATCAAATAATCATGACAGAAAGAACAGTCAATTAAATTAAAAAAGTGTTTAAATGTTTTATGAGGTGGAATGATTTAAGGAAGAAGTGGATGAATTTTGGAAAGAACGAATGAATAAATTTTTGTGAAAAAGGAGAGTAGGACTGGAAGAGTGGGTGGGAGAAAATGAAGGAATAAAGAAGGGAGGAGAAAAGAAGTAAGAGAAAAGTAGAAAGGAAGGAAGCGTGTCGGGAAAAAGGGATCGGTAAGAAGTTAATGAATGAAGATAGTGTAGGGAAGGATGTTCAGAGAAGAAAGGAAAGATGATGGATCTTTGTATGATAAACTATTAAAAATGTACTATTAAGTAACTTACAGTTGCTGTAATTACCTCAAATCAATAGGAAATAGAAAAAATATGTTTACACTGCAAGTGGACTCTGAGTGATTCAAAGTAAGTCTTTATGTTTTGAAAAAATTATATAGAATGATTTTGTTGTGTTTTCAATTGGCCCATTATTATGGCCCTTGCTGGGATTTCACCCAGAAGGCAAAATCCTGAGGAGGCATTCTAGTAGCTTGCGCACGTATATATGTATAGAAAAGTAATTATAGTTGAAGTGTGGAGTCAGTATACCAGGAAAAATCGCCGGGTTATGAGAACAGTTCAACTGTGCACATGCCGCAAGTAAGAAATGGTTAGGATGACACAGAACAGAATATGTTCAAAGGGACAGCTTATGTTGATTTTGTGACACTTCGATACTTCGATAATGTTATATGTTACGTGTGTTCAGTGATATTCTTTGGAGCAGCTGTTTTGAAAGATATGGACTGAAAGATACTTGTTAAGCACGGATAAAGGTATTAAGGGCATGTAACTGTGTGTAACTACTCCACTTGGAGGGTTTACCAGACATGAGTTTATCATTCACATCATGCTTGATTGGAAACGATTTGCCAGACTCAAGCAATTTGAACAATCGAGTGAATCAAGCTAGCTTATCGGCAGAACAATGGACCATTACTCGCTGACAATTAAATTCTGTGCTGATGTTTTCCCTGCTCATAGATGTCCCTCTTTGAAGCCTTTTTTTTAAAGCTATGTAATAGTTAATAAAAGGACTAGAAAGTAAATGTGAATTAATCAAACTTTATATTTCTAAGGCTTACTTTCTGGCTATTAAAACAAACTGTATGTAAAAAGTGCAAGAAAATATGGGATAAATTACCTCCTCTGATCAAATCTTTTCTTGTAGTTTTATAGGAAAAATTATTGAAACTGAGAATGTTTTGATCAAAGCTGTGCAAATCAACCTAAATTAGTGCATGAAATCTTGAATTTCCTGTTTTGTATCTCACCTATTGTTTGGAATTTGTGCAAAAATCTTGAATATGAATTGGTATATCTCAAAGAGCTACACAAAGAACAAGAATACAATTGATGACAACTGACAGAGCGGGTGTAGCTGTAGTGTCAACTACAGTATGACTACTTAATTATTCTGTCCATAAAGATGTGAACTCATTTACAAAATGTGACTTGCTTTGTAGGAGACTATTTACAGTGTTATGTAAAGGTGTTGTTGTAGAAATAAAGAAAGGGAATCATGAGAATAAAAGCCAAGTGGATCAGGTAGCAAGGCAAAGATCATCAAAAAACTTTGGTGAGCTTCATCATTTCTGATGTATATGTTGTCGTTCCATTTTATCCCTGGTTTAAATTTCATTCTTCTTTGTTTCAAACTCATTATCATACATTACCATTCCCACAAAACAAAGGATAAAATTGAACCACAACATATATGTTGAACCCCATGAATATTACCACTTTTGGGTCTTGAATTATAGTGATCATATTAATAAGGTTTATAGAAATCAGATTGACTGAGTGTTTTTAAGTTTCAATCAAAATAATAATGTGATTGTAACAAAGAAGTGGTTGTAAAAATGGGGTGCTTGTTAGGCAGGGTTGCATATGGCCTTGTTATCTACTTTTTACATCTTGTGTAGAAAATAATAAATAATGTCAAAAGAAGCAAAATGAGGTTAAGTGCTCAGCCTTTGAGATGGAAATGATTTTTCATTCTCATGCAAATAAAACTCATTTTCACCAGAAAGATTGTGCACTAATGGCCTCATTTTGGGAGTGAAGGTTTTTAGAACTCAGAAGTGGCCTATTAGCTGGATGTGAAGGAGGGGTTATTGTTATGCATACACACAATATGAGATACAAATACTGGTGTATACATACTGTATTGTGCAGTAATATTGTTTTGAAAGTTTTTTAGACAACCTGATTACTGAAGTCAGTGAAGCACTGTCTTTCTTTATTGTTACCTTTTCAGTGGTGAAACATAAAAAAACCATCTCAAGACTTTTAAGAAAATGCTGCCAGGTTTGTTAAGGCTTTACTTGTTACTTTACTATCAGATGCTCCATGGTATTAAGTACAATGTTATGTATGCTGTAAGTACAACAAAGTTTGATACAACATTTTCTCCAGATTCCACTCTTAATCAAAAATAATGGAGGTTAAAATAGTTTGGTCAGGAAAACGTAAGCTTCATGTGGATGTGTGGAGTATTGCTAGATTCAAACTTTTTTTCTCAAACTCTGTAACTTATATTATGTGACTCATGGATATTTGTAAAGTAAAAACTGACTCACGAAATAAATGATGTTGGATGTACCAAGATAATTAACAAATTTTTTTTACAGTGCATTTTGTGTTATAAATTGTACACTGTACAATGTACATGTGCTTCAAGTTTAAAGTTGAAGTTGACTTTTGAAGTAAGTGGTACAGTATAGCAGTTTTGCAACCCAAAGAAATAGTTAAATAGTAAATACTTACAGTTTGAATGTATTTTTCTGATTTTAAAACAGTATGTGGGTATTCAGGTGTCCAGTGTCCAACTTATCATTAGAAACAAATATGGCCCACAAACTCAATGCTTTCTTCCTGATGGACTACACTTCTTTGCTAGGCCTGATAATAGATGGTAAGGAGAACATGTCCTGTAGGAAAACATTTAGGTTATGTATTGGACTCTGAAGTGTCTGCAGTTCAGATGAAATGCTGTGTTGAATGTTTACTGTCATGCACATAATCATATTAATTCAGTGCATGTATAATGCCTCTAACAGTTTTTGTACAGATCAGGAAAGTCTTTTAAAAAAATGTTACAAATCTTTGCTGTTATTTTGAAGTAACTTTTACTCCCTCTGTAGATTTAACACTGTCTTCTGTTTTGTGCTAATGTCCTTAATTTTAGTCTAACCTCTTAATGGATTTTTGCTTCTTGTTTCTGTTTCAGTTTGTCTTCTACCTTGGAAATAGCCAAGATAAGAACAAAGTTATTCAATGATGTAGAGGTATGAGGAACTGAGAATACTGCTAATGCCTAATATTATTGCATTGGACATGGCATGTACAGTGCAAGCACTTGATTAATTTTTGAACAATCAGACTTTTAACATCAATTATTTTTACATTCAGTTATATGTATTTTTTAAGGCTACTTGCTGTGAACAGCATGCAAGAAATGCAATCCACACATCTGTACGTACTTTTAATGATCCAGTAATTATTTCTATGACGTGTATGTCAGCTACAAGTTTAACCTTGCCTTTCTTTCATTGTTGACATGAACATGTGAATGAACAGAATAATAGTTGATTTCTTCTTTTCTTTAGAATGAAATTGATTTCACATCGGATCCTTTAGCAGAACTGTCATGTTCACTTCTTATGGAAATTTCTGTTGTTCCTTTAGAGAGCTTCAGGCTACAGGTAAACTTGGGATGCATATAACAGATTATTAATAAAACAAATAATATAAAAGATGGCATTATGTGTGTTCTGGTGTGAAGAAAAATGATGATGATGACAGAATTAAAGGTGATCTGTTTTGACTTTGTTATGGTTTTGGTAACTTAGCCACTTATGTCCATGATTCAGATTGCACTCTCTCGCAAAAATTTGGTAGTAATTTCTTTTTACAGTTTTAGCAAGAAGAGAGTGAAAGGAAATTGCTTGCAGAAATGTATGGAAGTTAATACCAAATATAGCAAGAATAACAAATTCAACAAGGATTAAAAGCTGTAAGAAAAATTTGCTAGCAAATAATTTTTGTCTCAATTATAGCAATCGTGTGAAAACAATAATAACCTGGAACAAACTGAAGTTAAAAAAACAACAATATCAAAAACTACAACAAAAAACCCAGAAGATGCTGTGATTGGTTATTCTTCAGTTCTGGACGTTTTGTCTCACAATGCATTGTAAATCCTATTAACAGATTTCTTGGTACATGTATTATGATTGTAAGGTTCTTGGTGTCAGCTACATGTATGCTAACTCAACTTAATTTACTTTTGAAGTAGGTTGATAAATAAATTGGCTATTCTGAAATGAGGTTCTTCATACACAGTTTTTAAGAAATAATAATTGTTGTTATTGTTTTTATTACTATTATGCAAATTACTGATAAAGTCCTTTTCTCTCCTTTCATTATAGAGTGCAACTGTAAATATCAAGAATGTAGATATTTTGCTTTCCGAGGGTGAGCAATGGCTGTTTTAGTCCGTCAGTTCATCCTTCAAACTTGCTACATGTATCATCACTATTCTGTCATCATAATAGAGTAATGAACATTGTGTATATTTTAGAAAATTGGTACTGAGATGCAGTCAATGTATATGTTGTACAGTCATAATAACGACCACTGTTGCTTGAAAATAGCCACTTTGTGGGAATATGCTATGCACAGTATACAAGCTTGTGAGGCATCAAGATGTACAATTAAAGCATGCAAGTCATTACCCAAGCATGTGAGCTGTCAAATGAAACTGTCTATTTCAGTGTTCAAATTGATGGAAATTTAGTACTTTTATCAAGTGTACAATTAAAGCATGCAAGTCATTACCCAAGCATGTGAGCTGTCAAATGAAACTGTCTATTTCAGTGTTCAAATTGATGGAAATTTAGTACTTTTACTGTGCTTTTCACAAACACGCGAACTCTAAAGTTCAAAAGCCGCCTTAACAATAATTGCGTTTTTCGCTGCCGTCAATCATAGTTACGATCACAAGCAACGAACCTTGAAACACAGAAACACACAAAATGGATCAAAAACTACCAATCACAAATCACAAACCATGACCTTTTGAATTCGTGTAAGTAAAGTTCTCTTTCCTAAAAGGTCTGCTAAGATGATTGGCGGCAGCGAAAAACGCAAATGTCAGTTGGCTTTTGAACTTCAGAGTTCGTGTGTTTTTGAAAAGCGCAGTAAAAACATACAAATTCTAACTGATGTCTCATACTGAAAGACTTCAGTTTTGTGGACTCCATTGTTTTGTTTTAGTTTACTCTTACATGTAGTACTGAGGCATGCTTTTTGTGCAAAGTTATTATCTGAAAATACACTAGCTCCTTAATGACAAGGGTTTCTGGTCTTTCTTAGTACTATTCCTGTTCTGGAAAAGGCATAAAAGTGTGAGACCTCTATGACATCTATCTTACTCCTCTCAGGTTTGCTTGAAAGAAAGAGCAATTTAAAAGCCGTAAGCATTCAAGAGGAAATGAAAGTGAATCCAATAGCTGCGGCAAAGCCCTTTACATTAGCAGAAATTCAAGAGAAGATTTCTCATATGCCAAAGGTAACAGGACTAAGGCTACAATTGTGCTCTAAGAAAAGAAACCGAGCCCAGGAACTGTGATCCTGTGTAATCCAGGTTTTAGGTCACTCATGGGCTAAGTAATTCACCACTATGCACTGGGCTCTGCTAAAGCACAGCCCTACATGTAGATACATATAAGCAGACTAACTTTATAGCATCTAAGCCAGACAACATCTTGGCAGCCTTGAAATGTTGTTTCCTCTTATTTATAGTAATTCCTTGACAGTTCTTTTCAGTCAATAATAATAAATTACTTTGTATACAGTTATGTTCTTGCCATGTAATAATTATGCCAAAATGTATTTGTTATGACTTGAAGTCTTATAAAACGACCTATGTATTTTTAAACGCTAATTAGAGATGGGGATGTTCATGATGAAATTGTTAGGTTCTTTGCTTATCAATATTTAATAGTTTTTTAAGGTTTGCACAAGGTTCTCATCAGCAAAATTTTCCATAAACTGATTCATGTTCTCAGTAATAATTTGTACCATTTTCTTTAGAGTATTGAGCTTGCAGTGGAAGTTACCAAAGTCACATTTTTAAACAAAGAAAAAAGGTATTTTTGAGAACTTTGTAAGTGGCTAGACAGTGCACTTTATATACCCGGCCCCAGTTGTTTAGATGGTGGATAGTACTATACACTAGATAAACCAGTTTTGAATAATAATAAATATATTGGACAATGCAATTGTTTTTCCTTAATAACAGTTATCCAATGTTTGAGCTTTTGAGGCCCTGCCAGGATCAATTCCGACAAGCGACATGGCTCAAAAAGTAGCAACAGCGCGTAGACTGAAATTGTGACAAGAGAGAACCTCCCTCGGCCAAATTGCGACAGTGACGGCAAAGCCAACAATGAGTGACAAGCACTTATAAACACCGACACGAGAGGTTTTAAAATTCAGACGGGTGACATGGGACCCCCCTGGCAGGGCCTCACTTTTGGGACCTTTACAAAAGTGATTAAAATATTATTGGAAATAAAAGTGGTCTTCTTAAATGTTGTCCATTTGCAAGAGAGAGTTGAGGACATGTACATTTATCTCTTCTCACTCACTTATTATCTTGTGTACATTATTGCACAGATGAGTTGTTTGTAACACTTTCAAAAACTCATTAATAATTCATAAAGAAAAAAAAATTAAAGAAATTGATGTTTAATGAGTGTCTTTATATCCGATAGACCAAAATAACTCCAAATCTAAATATTAGTGCAGCAATGAGTTGATCTATATCAGAGATTTTGAAGCCGTTCAAAAAACTCGCAGTTGTGTATTATCAGGTTTAAAAACTCAGCTTTGCCTCAAGTTTTTAAACCTGATAATACACTCCTGCGCAATTTTTAAACAGTACATCCTTCCCAATGCTAAGTTTCTGTAAAATATTTTACTCATATTTTGTGTCATGTATTTATAGTTGTTGAGAGTATATTCCTTGACGCAAATATTTCTTTCTTTCTACATGGTCTTAAGCAAGGAAGAAAATTTACAATAATTTTTAATAAATGTTGGAACTTGTTTTAAAAAAAGTATTAATTTTTTGCAATTTTTATTTAGTTCCCTCACACTAGAGGTGAAAAAAATAGTCAGTTGTCTACATTCTCAGGGGAGACCATCTAACAATTCACAAGCTTCCCCTCAGTGTGATCTGAATGTCCAGATGTCAGGTATTAGTTTAATATTTACATGTATGTTGTGAAATCTTAGAACGTTTTGTTGTTGAAATTAATTCTGATTCTGGATGGTTTAATTGTAGAATTTGATTATTAATTGTTTGTTTTTGCTTTCTTGACTGCCAGAAAAGTTGAAGAATTACAGAATTTTGTGCCTTCTGTGATTGAATGGTGGTTCTAGAAATGCTTTTCATTATTGCTGCAAATTTACCTTTGAACATAAGCCTAACAGTATTAGTCTATTGTTGGTTTTTTGTTCATAATCATGGAACGTTCAGCCAAGGTGGCGTAAAGGATATCTAGTGTCAGGGGGTTAGTACAACATTGAGAGTTGACTCTATTATCATTTTTCTTGCTTTCTACAGGAATGGCAATTAAAAACATGAAGTGTTTCAGATTGTGTGAATTGCAAAGACTTAGAATTGAATCAAAGGTATTGTAAAATAGCCACTCTACACTACATAAAATTATTGAATTCAAAATTAAAATGTAAAAAATATATCCTTGTGACATGTTCTTTTGTTTGTGTTATGTTCTCTATGTGATAGCTCTCCTGTCATTATGACACCATTGTACTTGCCTCCACTTTGTACATTGAATCAGTTGGTTATGCTCATGTCCAGGAAGACTTCACATATTGGCTAGAATATTTCAAGTCATGGAGAAAAGACCTGAGTATATCAGATACTTCAAGGGAGGGGAGCTTCAAGAAAGGGTAAGTACTGTTGAAAGGTTTCTAGATGAAATTGATGAAAAGAATCAGTTGAATAGAGGAGCCAGCAAAAAAGGCTGTAGATTTTTTTTGCTTTTTGTCAAATCTTTCCAAATACATGGAGGGTCTAACTTGGTACCAAGACCATTCTTATCTATCAAAACTTTTGTCTGTAAGAAGTTGTAAAGAGAAAGGCTAAAAACAAGAAGAGGAATATAAAACTGTAACAAGTCAAGGAAAGTGCAAAGCTACGTGCAAACGGACCCAACAATTCCTAACATTGTTGACCTGACAATGTTGGGTGTTGTAGTGTCTGTTTGCATGTAGCTAAACGTTTGACCAGTTTCAAACTTTGTGCAACAACACCCAACAACATGCAACAGGGTGTGCAAACAGATACAACATGTAACATCCAACTGTGTCGCATCTGTTTGCATGGGGCCTAACGAATTTCCTGTAGCAAGATAAGGCTGAAACAAAATAATTTTCAAGCATTGCTTGATTTGTTACAGTTTAAAACAAACGTTTTTCATACAGTACAGTATGCAGTTTTATGAGTGTTTTTGACTGATGTGCTAATTTTTTTTGTGCTTACAAAATACCCTGAAAAAATGCAGCTAAATCTCTTAGATAGGTAGAACGGTAGTCATTTACATTGTAAAATTAACTTCTAAAGCTTTGGCAAATCTATCACCATTTTGTACTCATAGGACTGACACTGGTTAGTAGTCGTTTTGATACAAAGTTGTTTTGATGTTAGTCGTTTCGATACGAGTTTATTCATTCGAGGTGTAAATAGTTCCACGTACTTGGCTTAAAGAACGAAGATATTCACTCAAAATGTTTTTCTTGTTCACTCACAAACTGTACCTGAGGTGAACAACATTTTTGTGCAATTTCACTGCTTGAGTTTGTATCAAAACGACTTGTATTGAAACGACTTTGTATCGAAACAACCGGTTTCCCTGACACTACACACAATGATAGATTTTCCAGAATCAATTGGGCCTTGACGTACAGTCATGATTTCCAGGATCTGGAAGTTTGCAGTTACATGTACATTGTATTTATGCATTATATTCAGCGGATATTTGTTATTTGTTTGCAGGCCCAAGAGAGGGATTTTATCAAGTCTCCCAGCTGAGCTGGAGATAACAGGATCCGTTGAAGTGACTGACTGCTTTTCACGGATGTTTATTGCCAGTCCACGTCCAAATGATCAGCCTCTGTGCCATGCAGTGCTTGTTTCTCTCAAACTCAATGTTAAAATGTCTTCAGAAGGTAAGCAAATGTACTCTTCTTATTTCAATTTGTGTGAAAAACTGGAAACAGTGAGTAGCACCATGCGAACATCCCGCCAAAAAAGGTCCAATGAAATGGTCGTACCACAAGATTTCGTTTACAGATTCAAAAGTTGTTATAATACATCGTTGCCACAGGACAGAAAATGGTCAGTGAAAAATAGAAATTCCTCCTAAAATTCTTTATGTCGTGGGCACCTTTTTAAAATTTTGCGCAAAAGGCAGCGAAAATTGACGCAGATTACTTTGATCTCAAGGAGGCGAATGTTCACTTTCAAAGTACAAAAAACTTTACATTCACGAAACAGGGATAACAAAATTGAAAAAATGGCTGCAAGGAGAGGCTGGAGACGTTTCTGTATCTTACGTTATTTTTCCCATTTATTTGGACAGGGAGATAGAAAAAAGTCAGGGAATTTTGAGTACTCATGTCTGTGGCAACCATGGTTCAAAATAGCAGTTTTGAAATAAGAAAACTATCAACGTGAACAAAACAACTCTTGTTTGGTCTGAAATGTACAGCGTAGACCTCAAAAGTTACTGTAAATACTTCTTACTGACTGAGTTTGTGGTCCGTACCATAAGTTATGTACTAAGGTTTTTCCCATCTGCACTTGGACCTTAATTCAACTGACAAAAAACGGGGATCCCCCTTTAGAGTATGGACCTTAAAACGAAGATATTAAGATAGTCAACGGTATTAATCGGCTGCGCAGGAAAGGAAACTTTTAAATTTGGTAGACTGTGCAAGTAGCATACAGCCCACAATATTGACCAATCACAGCGCACGTACTTAGTGAGAGATCTGTGTAATATTAAGAGGTGATAACTGATTACTTGTATTATCAATCCCCCGTACAGATATAAAGCAGTTCAACTCAGGAAGATATCTAAGGTACACCAGTTTCTGTTGACTACATGTAACCCTTGATATAAGTATTGTTACCCTGTGTTTGATTATGATTAACAGATGTGAGGAAAATTATTTCTGTTATCGGAAGGAGAGAGAATAGTCATCTCCTCGTAAACTTTGAGTTATATAAGGCATATGTGATCTAAATGAACATTCTAGCTATCTGGGGCCGGATTCAAGAAGCTTTCCTAACAGTTCTCAGTGAGTCCGGCTGTAGGATCACAACGTCTTGATGATGGGAGCAATTTGTGAGAATAAGTCATGCGATGAGATACGTTATCTCTAGTGGACATAACATGTGGGCAGTTGCTGGGTTACAATAATTTCCACCAGTTACATGTACTGCAAAGCTTCCTTAAAGTTGTTGTGATTCTTCACCTACAGTTGCAGAGTAAGGGTAGAAAACGCATATTTGTACTTGGATGCCAGCCACAGCCAGTTAACAGACGGTCTTATCTCTGGTGTAGTATCCAGTACTTCAAATGATTCTTTCTCCATCCCACCAAGTACATCAAGACATGTCTGGGGTAGAGTGCTAACACTTGGAAGCTGCAATGTGAACGTAAGATTTCAACGATAGGTTAGATCTAAACAGTTGTCAGAACGAAGGACGTGTTCATTGGAAAGAGTAAGATGATGACTGATGTAGCTGTAGATGCTTTTTTGTAATCTCCATATACATTTCTTGATAGGCTAGATTTCTTGGCAGAATAGTATAATGAAGTTCCCGGCTAGCAGAGACCTCTTTTCCCTGGTATTAGGCGAATACCACGGGAAAAGGCCTCTGCTGGCAGGGAAATATGAAGTGTTATTTTAAACTCTTTTTGAGTACGATGTAGTTATGGTCATGCCACTAGCGTGCCACAAACTAGGAAGAAATCTTGAGTCCCCGATGGGAGGTGAACCTTAAATTCCCCTAACAATGGGTGGGCCTTCTTTCCACTGAGCTGTGTAGAAACTAGTGGATAGCAAATGCTGTTAAATTGCATTTACCTGGGTTTGGGGAGGTGTTAAGACCGTGTTCAGCTTTCTCAATGCACAAAGGTTTTCTTTCTCCACCTGCAAATAGAGGATCCAATTATGATGCAATGTTGTTCTCCTTTAGTGTACTACAGAACTCCTTGCGGATACTGAGGAACCTGATGTGAAGCTGACTATTGAAGCAGCCTCAGTGGGTATTGAATGGTCTCATGAAGTGTGTAGATTCTTGATTAAGTGGTTTCCTGGTTGGGCATTGAAGAAGTTCAAATCTGCAGAAAAGTTGTCAGGGGAAAAGAATGATGTTGGCAATAGTTTCGGTATGTACACTGTACACACACAGTCTACCGTTACTTTTCTGCTCAAACTTCATGTTCTGCTTTGTGAACACCTTTAGCAAGAGAACATTTTCTGAGTGATGATATTAGCCAAATTGAATCATTGAGCTCTTAAAGAAGGCGTGGTTTCTTAATGTTGTGCCCTTTGGCTTAGACAACGCCCCGTCAAGCTTTAAGTGAATAATAAAGAAGGAAAAAAATGTGAACTAGTATTCTGCAACACTTCTGTGATGTGCTCGTGTTTCTGAAACAAGAAATACAACTACATGCAAATACCATCATTTCAACTAGCGGTTACATTATCGCAAAGTCTGCAATATTTGTTATTCTTTCCGTTCATTCTTTTGTTTTCTTTCTGGTGTTTTTTATTTTTTCAGCTTTGGACATGGATTGCAGAGTAGCTGGCGTCAACCTGTTTCATCTCGGAACACTGGAGGGTCAGCATTCATTACCATTCACTCTGTTTATGATGCTAACATGTGCAGCAACAAACCGATAACATTTCTTAAACTATGTTAACTTGTATTGTACAGGAGGAGTTGATTCCTTTATGACAAGAGTTGACGTGGCAGTAGTTACAACAACATCTGTCCCCGACCAGTCATTAAAGAGTGAACTCTGTGGAATGAAACTCTGCCGACTGCTGGAACTGCAAAAGGTATCTACAGTAATGTCATTTAGGTCATGCCCACACGAATCCGCACATTTTTGAAACCGCATATTAGGGAGCTTAAGCAACAGCGTTTTTGAGCGACGGCCGTCAACCGGAAGTGGACTTTTTGCAATATTGGGCAGTGGTTCTGTTGAAACTCTCGGGTGAATCGTCGTTATAAGAGAAAAGAAACTTAGCAATACAAATTTGTTAGCGTCAAGGCATATAAAAAGGGAGAAGGACTCACTTCCGGTTGACGTGCGTCGCTCAAAAACGTCTTTGCTTAAGTTCCCTATTCTTTATCCGGGACCTTAGAGGTTTAAGGTCCTGTTCACACGAATCCAGACATTTTTGAAACCGCATATTTTTTATCCGGACTCGTGTGGACGGGACCTTAGACTCTTTTACTCTCAGAAGTAGTATCCCACGTAGCCGTTTTGTCTCGTCACGCAGCGCTACGGCTGTGTGGAAGGCTATCTCAGAAGCCGTTCATTCAGAACTGATTCAGCTTGCCTTTCATATAGGAGGCTTTCTGCTCTTCCAGTATTTCATTGTGTTCCTTTTTTTTAATATTAAAATGTTGCTCAATTTTTAAAGTTAAATGATTCAAGGTAGGTAGTGAATTCTCTTATGTCAATCACGTATATTACCAAGTCATTTAGTTCTCCGTTCTTGTAAAACTAATATGGCTATTAAAGAAAAAACAACAACAACAACAACAACAACTCAATTCTATCCAGAGCTTGTAATTAGCACATTCGTCGCCGTTTATTAACAGGAGAACTGGGAGAACTGCAATAATAGAATACATGTCCTTCCATTAATTGATTCCTTGTTGTTTTATTTTCAGGCGCCATACAGATGTGTCGTTTCTTCCGAACTGAAAAATGATGTAATCAGTATTCCTGTTCTCACCTTGTCCCGTCCCGCGTATAAGGTACGCTACTTACATGACTAGTGGTAAGCGCTTGAGGCCCGTTTGAACGGTTCTATATAGCATTTGATCCGACATTCGTATGGAATCAAATGAAGAGATCGTACGAACATATTGCCCAGCATTAAAAGAATCGGAATCTTGCTGGTAGTTGAAGAAAAGCATGTATTACTTAAAGTGACAGTTTCAGAGCCTGGTTTTTGCAACGCGCTACTAAAACTTCCTCCCCAGAAGCCCATCTTTGCTTCAAACGTTGTTTAATATGCCAGTGTTCGACTTCTGGTAAACGAGACTTTGACAATTATTAGAACCGTTTAAATTGTCGTTATCGCAAAGCTGAGCTTGGTTTATCGTTTTAGTGACAGTGATATTCATTTGAGCATGTGCTTACGTCTTCACGCTTGGCCAACCAAGTCAACACATTATTCTTTTTTTCCATTACCTGGCATTTCGGAGAATAAGATGCAGCGGTCATCTTATTGTATCCTGGTTGTTCTAACAAAATGAAACCATAACCATTTAGAATACTTCTGCCTATTAATTCTAATACAAAAATCATGGACTCGTGCACTCAATGGTTATTGTACATCTCAGTGGCGGATCCAAACGTTCAGATAAGGAGGGGGGGGGAGGGAGGCGGTCATTCAGACCCTGAGATAAGGGGGAAGGCGGTCTCAAAAGGATCCCTGCCCTGGATCTGCCACTACATCTAACCCTCTTTATCGAACGAACGTTCGTAAGACACTAAAATGTTTCTTTTGTGACAAAGCCATACTCGATGACAGTCAAAGAGATCTTAGTCAACTGGGACCCCACTCTGCATATGGCTCTTCATGAGAGAATACAAGAAGCCACTCAAGATGGCGCTGATCTTCAAGGTGGGCAACAGTCTGGATTACGATACGATCATATTTTTAATAATTTAAACAATGGGGAACGTTTTTCATGACAGAATTCACACTCACAGACATTCAGTAGCTGTAGTGTGTGGGAGGCAGGGGTGTCTTTTAAGTTTTAATGTTTATTCTCAACAATATTTCACGAAGTGACCAGTGAATGGAAAATTAAAATAACGGATCAATCACCACGGTTTGTTGCTTTTAAATGCGTTTCCAGTGTCAGTAATGCTGCCGTTGTTCTCCCATTAATGCGACAACTAATCTGCATTTTTGCAGCTATGATGAAAAAGGCATCTCAATCAACAAGAGCAGACAACGATTTTTCCTCCAAGGAAAAAGAAAAACCTTTGTGTTTTGCTTGCGAAATTTCTTGGTTTAAACTTCACATGCAAACGTCACCCAAGACGAGGTAAATGAATGATAATTTATCTGTCAATTCATAACTAGAGGAAGCATGTGTACAGTCTTTTGACTCAAGTATTCCTAGGATCTTTTGGGTGGATGAGGTGAGCAATTATTGGTTTAAGGCTGCCATCGGAGACCCGGCCATTGACCAATTAGAAGTCTCGCTTAAGCCACCCAACTGATCCCCAGAAATCTTTGCCCGAAAAGTTGTGCTCATTCTTTAAGTAGTTTGTGAAGTGGTGTATTCCTAACAGCAAATGGCACACCTTATGTCCTTGAATAAACCGCCGCGTACCAGCAAGTGCTTTCCTCCAAATGAACAGCTACTCCTTTGCCAAACTAACCAGTCTGTCCTCCTTCGAATTAGTGCCACATTTTCTCCCCTCAGTCTCTTTACTTGCAAGGATATAAAAAGAAAGCCTCCTTGTCTTCTCTTTTTTTAATATGTGTACACTGATGTCATCATAGGAGAACAGTGCTTCCTTTGACCGAATGGAGATTCTTCTGTTGGAACATTATATTACAAAAAAAGTTCTTCAAAACCAAAAATTTGTTAAAAGGTTAGCAGAGGGATCCGGATAGGTTCCGAAAGCTCTGCTAGATTTTCAACAAATTGTTGGTGTTGAGGAATATTTTTTGTAATATAGTGCTTCTCATGTTTCTCCATGGGCTTACAGTTTCTTTATGTGCTTTATCTCGACAAAATAAGTTTGGGTTCGTTAAAGGAAAAGACTCTATGAGCGCCACTCGCCACTCCCTTCGATGAATCGTCTCTCTGTGTCGAAGGACCTCCTCGTTTGGTCAAAGTAATAAATAAGACCGTGGGTGCCCTTGCACATTGATCCAGAAAGTGTGGCATAGTGGAGAATAAAGTAAAAGCTAAATCGAAATCATTGTATTTAGAAACATTCAGGAAGCTTTTAAATTTCTAGCCGATTTGTAATTTATCTTCTAGTTTTGGAGTAGAGTGCAAAACCTGCATCCTGTCTTTGCAAGACAACTGTTTTGATGCAAAATCAGAATACACTGGTCTTCTTTTTGACAAGAGATCAATATTCAAATTTGAGGTGGGTTTATTTTTAAGATTCATACGTATTCCGAATCAACCACCAGCTTCTTGGCCACAAAATGATTGTGCAGATCTTTATTGATATCGGGGATGAAGACGACGCAATTATGGAAAGATAATGGTTTGTGTTCGTGATATCTTATTAAAAGGAAATTCAATCTCCTGAAAGGCAATTTGAACGTTTCATCGTATGTGGAAGATCTTAGTTTTCTCACCATCTTACATTAATGAAGCCACGTGGCATGGTTAAAAACATTTTATGTGTTTGGTTGCATTGCGTGCATCGCGTACTTCGTCTCGAGCTATGAATCCTAGAAGTACCGTAGTATCTTGAACAATGTAAAGAAAACATATCAACGGTGAACACGACCAATGTTAGCCAACATTTCAACCTTTTCACCCTTTTTTCATCCCTTTCAATCCTAGAATGTTTAGTTTATGTAATATGGTCTTCTTTTTGTGCTGTGTCACTGTATTATTTTTTCGTCAAAAGGCAATTTCCCTGAAGAGACTGCGAGAGGTTGAAGAAGTTCTTAAAGTGAGACGACAGTTCAAAACGCTGGAAACGCCGAGCAATACTACATGGTTAGTAATAGAGGAAAAGGCATTTGTCAGCTCACTGTAGGGTACGCCTTTAATGGCGTTACATGAAGGGTTATTGACCAACTGTGAGGGCAAGATGGTTGGTTATCGGGGAAGTTCTCGAGGGTGAAAGATAGGCCTATGTTGTCTGCTCAAGGCGGCGTCGCAGATGTAACTAAACCCTCGCCAGTAACGCCTGCGAAGCAGCGCTGAGATCCTTGTTCTGGGCCTCCTACGGACTGGGTAGTGGCAGATCCAGGGGATGGACCCGGGGCCCCCCTTATTTTTGGACCAAACAAAAATTTGGGGGGGAAACCGGCCCCCACACCCCCCTGCCCCCTCCCTTATCTCAAAGTCTGGATCCGGCACTGCAGGCCATTCATGGTGCATACCCAAATCCCAGTATACAGATGGAGGCTGAGAGCATGGATTGCGGCGCTGTTTCACAGACAGACTTAACAAGAGTTACGTTTCGTCTGTGGCGGAGGCCAGTCCGCTCGGGTAGCCAATCAAAAAACAAGATTTGCTTCATCTCGCCCGCTCACGGAGCCAGCTATGTAATAAGTCAAGTTAAGTCAAGTTTAGGTACGCTTCTGACCGTCCTTGTTTACAGTGACTTCCGAATGGTGAAGCTGGAATATACTTGTTATGTTTTGGAAAGGTCAAATGAGCTTTTTTCTGACAAGAAATATAACTTTTAAACAGGGTTGTTGAAGTGGAAACAACTGGAATCTTTTTCCCCTTCGAGTTCAACTTTGCCGCCTCAAGAGATGAGGTAAGTCTAATTATATAATCGTTCTTGTTCGTCAGTAAAGAAACGTTTCAAAATTGCTAGAAGTAAAAAGCAAAATCAGCAGCAAACTAAACAGCCAAAAAAAATCAACTTTCGTTTCGTAAAATCCGAAGAAATAAATAGTACCAAGCGGCGTTATGTCTGGTAACGTCATGGGATTTCATCCACAGATACAAGCGTTTGAGTGACAAATAATCTTGCCGCAACGTGTTCTAGGAGTGTAACGTATAGGGATTGTTTGACATGCGGTATGTACGTAAGAAATGGTGTCCGTAAAATATAAGTGTCCGTTAGGTAAGGCTCGACGTTGAAACTTAAAAAAAGTATTGGCCATTTTGAGGTTGCTTTTGAGACTGGGTCAATATTGTGTTGTAGTGAACTTTTTGGGACACATTTGTGCCCAAAGGTGCTTACCATTTACAAAAACCACCCGGGTGGAAATCTGCACATAAACATAAAACTGTGAAATTTGACGTGGTGGGAGAATCACACGCTACAAAGTACATTTAAATCAGCTGAACAGGCTGAAAGTAGTCTGAGGAAAAATTGCATCACCTCAAATCACAGCCCATATTTTCTGAGGCTTCCCAAGTGGAATGGCTCGAACCATTTGATTTTCCAACCGGGATTTCCGGGTTTTCCCAGGTACCTGGTGAGTTTCCTGCGGAACCTCGTAATAGCCGTAAAAGAAGCGACAGCGTCCCCAAAACAGTCTCACTGTACAACTGCACACAACACCTTCCCTGTCTCCGCGCAACCTCTCAAGTGTCTAATAAACGTGTCCTTCATAAAAAATGTCTTGCTTTCCTTTCAGCTGGTCAATGTTTTCAAGATGTTACAATCACTTCATAAAAAACCCAAGGATGCGTCATATTCAGAGCCGCTCCCTACGGACTTGTGGCTTCGTTTTCAAGTGCGTTGAATCAATAGCGTGTAATTAAAGAATTTCATAACCTTTAAGGTCGTAACACACTAGGCGACATGTCGCTGCAACAGGTCGCGGCGACAAAATCGCTCTGTGTACAGGTCGCGCGATAAGTTGCTGCAACAATTCGCGCGTTCTAGAGAAGTTTTGTGGAAATCTTTGTCTCAGCAACAGAGTTTGGTCGCCGCAAGGAGTCGTACAAATTCAGTCTGATTTGATTTTGTGCGATTTGTTGTGGCGACAAAATTCTGTTTCGGAGACAGAGACTTTCACAAAAAAATTCTCCCGTACACACAAAGTGACTTGTAGCTGTGACTCGTCGCCGCAACGTGTTGCTTCAACTTCTCGCCTGGTGTGTTCCGCCCTAAAGACCTTTGCCGCATTCCATTCTAGTGAGCACACACAGTGAAATGAGGTTGAGGCTTGAGCAGACAGTTTCATACAAATCAGTGAATTTTGTCAACCCCCCAAGCCTCATACCTTTGTTCACAGGAATGAGGGATGGGTCTATTAAGTATTCTTCTGCAAATGAATATAAGTTCCCCAACTCGTTACCTCTATTCGGCTTCTTTACCATTTTCTTCTCTCCTGAAATACGAAGACCACGTCACATAGTTGATGGACTTTGTTAAACTTGCTAGGAATTTTAAATTTCGTCTAAGGTCTAGTTTCATGTAGGAAGGTTAAAGGTTATAGCTCAGTTTTCCTTGTAGCGTATTATATGTTATAATTCTCCCTGAGAAAGGGCGAGAACAAAGAACAAAATCCATTAGCATTGACCTCGGGACTCGAACCTACGCCACACCTTTTAGGGAAGCAATGTTAGTGCAGTTTAAGAGCACTTGCCTCCCTCCAATGTGGCCTGGGTTTGATTGCCGCGGTCGACGCCATATGTTGGTTGAGTTTGTTGTTGGTTTCTCCCTTGCTCTGGGAGGTTTTTTTCTTGGTCATAGTTAGGGACTCTAAGAGGGGCACAGGATTATTAGGTTCCTTAAGAAAAGACGTTTTTGAGCGATGCACGTCAACTGGAAGTGGACTTTTTTTCCTTCTTGGGCAGTAGTTTCGCCCAAATTTTCCGGCAAATCGTCTCTATACGAGTAGAGACACCTAGCAATACAAACTTGGACTAATTCTGTAGCGTCAAGGCATATAGAAAGGCAAAAGGACCCTCTTCCGGTTGACTAGCCTGCGTTGCAGCCGGCCCACGCACTCGTCTAGACCATGAATATAGTACAGAAGGTTTAGAGGGTCTGCGACTCAGGCAACCGGTTGACGTGCGTTGCTCAAAAATGCCTTTGCTTGAGCTCATGATTATTTCTTGGAACTGTCAAATGTCACCCTCTCTAAATAACGCTGGTTTGGTTTTTAATTATTTGTTATATGAAATTAACCGCGTTTGCAAGAGTGTTTGATTTTGAGGCGTCCTCGACGCGGTAATTGTAACAACACTTTGATGCGGTGAAATGTTATTCTTTGTAAATTACTTGTGATTTATTCTTTTGTACCAACAGAATCTGTCTTTCGAGATAGAAGACGATCCGTTTGAAGTGAAGCTAAGGGACAATTACGCGGTATGATTATACTTAACTGGTGCTATTGTTTAAGAATCAGTAACTTGCCTTCTTAATTGTTACCAAAAATATTAGTAATTTGTTGTTTTAAGGTATTTCTTGGTTGACAAAAGAAAGGTGAGCTTTACGTCTGTGTGGCCCGGACAATTAGCGCGACATCGGAAACGTGTTGAGGTCACCGCACAGCGACATGTGCAGTTGTTCTTACAGAAAAAAAAAAAGACGTCGCCGGCATGACTAAAACAAGGGGTGTTTTGGGGATGGAAGATGAACACTGTCAAGGCTGTCGGACTCAACGAAGGCGTTTGTTGAGTGCTGGCCACGTCATGTGCAATTTCGATAGAGGTAGATTGATGGTGCCACTTTGAAGCTGCATACGATAGTGCGCGCGATTTTAATTGCTGTGCTGCTTATGACCGTAAGGACCCGGTTCGTTTGCTTTTGCGTTTATCTTGCAGGCAACAATCAATTCAAAAGTATTCCGTTGTGTTTTTCAGCTTTTACTAGACGAGATGGAACAGTGGGAGGAACGACAGCAGTTACTGGAGGCTAAATTAGATGAAATTAGAAAGAAGCCAGGAAACTCCCTCACAGGTGGGTCTCTCCAGCACCCACCCAGCCCTCCCTTAACGCAACATTTGCACTAAGTAACAAGTAAGTGCGAACGTTGGGTTTCAATGGGGAGGGATAGTTAGGGAGTTTTTATTAAGACTTTTGTATTGGTTTCAGAATAGTCGTCGGGTTAGAAGGACAGTAACAAAACTATACTCCTCCATTTTGAAGAAGTGTTTTCAGGATTTTCCGACGCCTCTTTCAACGCCTCTTTAATTTATGTTCCCTGTGTGTTTTGCGTTTTTCAGTGAAAAAGGAGGAGGCACTGAAACGATCTTTAGAGGAGAAAAATTCCCAAATATACATTGAACGTTCCAAGGTAATCCATAGAAGTTTTCTCGGTGGTTTTATGGTTAGCACCTTTTACGTTGTAGTTAGACTTAAACAGGCGAGATAATCTTGTAATCTTGTGTAGTGATGTTACTTATCTGTACCTCTCACAGTTAAGTTGTGAATATACGATAGTTGGAGATGTGATTAAAAAAAAAACTTCAAAACTGTTGCAGCTCTTTAGAAACGAGTATTTCCTCAATGTTCGTTACGGGAATAAAGACGTACAAACAGTGGCGGATCTAAGATTCGGTGAGAGGGAGCCGGGAGACTTGCCAACTGTACTATAGTACTACTATTTGTACTATTTACAAAAAACAGAATCAAAATTAAATGTGCCAACACTGATGCATCTTGAATCTTTTAGGCCATCTTGTCAGTTTAATTAACTGGAGGTGCGCTTTGCGTCACTGTCAAGACTGTCGCTATCATTATCGGTATTATCAGAATTCAATAAGTCAATAGATGACACAATCACTTGTCGTTCATGGCTACATTGTTGTAGGCAATGTCAAGCTTACATTAACGTGGTTGGTTTTGTTCTGTCCCTCTTTACTTCCAAACCTTCAATTGGCGACAAAATAAGTTGAAACAATTCGCCCTAAAGGGCCTCTCTGACGTTTTGCCAACTTAAAAGGGGGGAATAAAGCTTTCCCTCCCCCATCGTCTCCATGCAATGTTGTGCTACTGCCCAAACTACCTGAAGAAAACAACAAGCAAACATGCCAACTTTGAATGGGGGGCGGGGAGGGCTGTGGATTGTTTTGTTCTCAGAAGTTACCCCATTATTTAAGGAAAATGTCTCAATAAGTTTGTCACGGGTAGTAGTCACTTAAGTAGTCGGCCGTCTTAACCTGGATTACTTTAATTACTGACCTAAAAAAGTACAAATTGTTCTTTTATGATGTTCTTTTTGTCTTTTTGAAATCTTCATATCATGTAACAGGCAATGTATAACGAGACTCCTATGAGAACTTCGCTGTTGACTTGGGAATTCCAAGACCTGGATCTTTTTGTGCTGGCCGATGATTCTTATCATGGACAAAAAGCAGTCGATGTTATGAAACGACTCGACAGTGATAGGTACTCGTTGTTCTTACATTAAAAGTATCATAACTCAGACTAACTAGAAAAATAAATTCTAATCTCAAGAGGTCCTAGATTTTTTGGTATCGTAGCTTTCGACGGTATCGCACAGTCTTCATCAACAGTCGAAAGCTACAATACTGAAAAATCTGAGACCTTTTGACGTTAGAATTTATTTTTCAAATTTCAGTTCCAAGGTCAAGAATGAGCATTCATGGAATCAGACCAATTAGTTTCCTATATTTTGTCCGAATCACTCGAACTTCATCAGCAATTACATTCAACTGATAGCTAGGACAGGCAGCGTGGCCGAGTAGTCTTCGCGTCGGTCTCGCAATCCGGCGGTCCCGGGTTCGAGTCCCGCTCTGGCCACTGGCTGGATTTGTTCTCGGTAGTCCCGAGTTCAAATCCTCGGCCACGCTTGTAAAATAACCAACTGGTTGCCTCCAGCCAGTTGGGGTCTTAAATCGTGTTATGTTGTATTTGAATTATTTGTTTGTAAATATTTGAGTGGAGTGCCTGTAAGCTAGCTGGATAAGCTAAGCGCTCTTTCCACCATAAACAAGCCTTTAATTAATTAAACCTTTTTAAGGACCTCGTGACCTGTTGGTCACGTAGTCTCAAGAGGTCGTTAAGGTTTTCCCTGTTTAATGACTTTAAGCAATGCTGTGCGGATCGATGCTGAGAGCAGGAGAGTTCATAAAGTTTCAAAACTCGTAAAGCCCGAACAGTGACCAGCATAAATGTCTTCTTAGAACAGCACTACCGAATGAAACATGGAACTGAGGAGATGATCACCAATGGAAAAAGGCCTTGAGTTTTAAGCAAAAAATTCTCCTTACGAGTAGAGAGGACTGTGTGGAGAAAATGAGTATCGATACATGTATTGTGATCGAGCTGGGTGGTTTAAGACTATAGGCTAATTACTGAACTACCTGTAAAACTTTTCCGTAATATGTTCGTTCTTCCAATGATCTTTAGGTTTGGATGATTTACACTAAGAAATTTGGTGCAAAAAGCGACGACTTGAAATCAACGTTCGTCAGTTTTTCATCACCGTGCTTTTACTGCCCATAATATTTTAAACTTTATTGGCACAGTTGTTCTATTTCTTCTAAGTTATTGTATTCTGTTATATCATTAGCCCATACCCTCATTCAGGACTCGAATTTACAACGCTTTGGTGTCGTACAGTTCAAGGAAAACTGTACTCACATGAGGTTTGCTACTGACTTATTTGATTGTGATATGCTAAGGTGTGTGCTAACATTCCATGGTTTCGTGCGCTGTAATGGATTTCTTTCTATTTGTGTTGGCTGTAATTTAATGAAATGCTTTTCCTTGTTCTACTGTAGTGCCGTTTTAGAGATTTTCCTCAGGCAGTATTTACCTCAGAGTCTGTTGAAATGAAGGGAACCCTACTTGGTGCCGAGCAAAAACCTGCCAACAGAAGTATGTTTGCTGTCTTGTAAAAATTAGTGAACACTGTTTTTTATGTATAACTGACAAGTATCTTATTTTTTCCTTCGTAATTACACAGTAGCATGCATTAGAACTCATTAACATAATTTAGCATACATAATTATCCTTAAGTTCCAGAGGGTCTCGCAAGTTTTTTTAAGTATGCTGGGAAGTGGAAAAAAGACAGCAGAAATTTCTGCCATTAGAGTTGCGTTTTTTATCTGTGAGTTACATTCCTAGCCTCTCTGACATCACCTATTCTCAGCAAAAAGTGTTGAATAGAATATCATTCAAGTTTGTAGAGTAAAACTGACCTCTTTAGGGAGATCCAAAAGTACCAGGGGTTTCTTGATATCACTGGACTAACTTCGCTATGTTGCATTTGCCCTGAACACTTCCATAAGAAATGGAATTTCCCCGTGAACGATGTCTTATGAAAGGATTTTTTACCTGAAAGTCCACGAAATCTATGTTCGCCCCTGAAAAATTCCCTTAAAAGTTAATGTTTTCCCCTTACGAATTCCCTGTTTTTTCTTTTCTCCTGAAGAATTATGCTTTCCCCTAAGGAATTCCACCTGTCTGTAACCCGGGGGTGCACATATTAAATACAACAGACAGCCCAATCCAAATCCAAACAGAGTACTGAAGGTCCCTCGTACCCCGCGCGTTTCCTTGTCTCTCGCGCTGATCGTTCATCTCGCGCTTTATACAGTGCATTTCTTACGCGCCAGCCACGTAGGCTAGTTGTATCTTGGATGGTTTACTGTGGCTGTATGTGTAATCAACAGGTAAGCGAGAAGCGGTAGTGCAAGTTGGCAAGCCCTGGAGCAATGTGACTATTTCAAGGAATTTAAGTTCACTTAAGTACTTTTACGACCTAAAATTTGGTAAGTAATCGGTTTTAAATTGCTTAACAAGCATTGTAGATTTGTTCATTTTTACAGCAATCCTTCAAGTCTAGATTGCTATTGCTTTGCCCCCAATGGTCGGTGGTACAACTCAGTCGTGTCTGTATCAGAATTAAGTTTTGTTTTTACTGTTGAATATTTGAACTTTAGATATGGACGCTATGGAGATAGCCTGGGGTGTCGACATTGAACCTGTCATAGGAATGGTTTCTGCTGCATTTGGTAAGTATCGTTGTTCTTTTTCTATAGTTTCCTGGCCTGTTGACATGTTTTATGACCTGAGATCAGAGTCTATTTTTGTTTCGCTTGGTAAATAAAATTCTGGCGGGCAAGGCGAGAAGCCTGGAAAGCCCAATAATTTTAGCGCAGCCAGTTATAGAGAATGTGTGAAAGCTGCTTCAATTGGGTCTGATCTAAGGTTATATGCCTTATTCAATTATTCTGGTTAAAAATAAATCATAGATTGTGATCATTTCAGAGAAATTGAGCTCTCCAAGTCGAGATCCAAGCAAGAATCTGCCCTTTTTTGATAAGGTATCTTTACGATTTTTCTGACCACATCGTTTTCCTTATAGCTTTAGTGTCTTAAGTATGTTATGTTTTTGTTTATTTATCTATTTGTTATTACTATGGATGTCATGTAGAACCTGTAAGTATGTAGCAAGTCCGCATAGAGGAGTTAAGGCAATTTTAAATGATTGATGTTACCCCTACAAGAATTGTTAGTTGTTCGTGTCGCTAACATGCGTGGAAGGCTACTCATTCCCAATATAAATGGCGATTCGCCCCTTTTGCTGTAGGTATTTGTGGCTTCACCACACGTGCCTGAGTCTCGAGACATGAACCTGTAACTAGCCTGAAACTTATCACTATAACTGTCAACAACTAGCCAAAAGGCTGTAACTTAGCACTAGCTAAAATATTGTGAGAAAATATACTGAATATGAATTGAATATGAGAGATCTTTAGATTCGAGGAGGAGGACGAGATTTTATACTGATTCCACACCGAAAAGCTTCACTGTATTTTTATTCACCAGAAAAGTTAGCACTGTTACCTTTATTGAAGGTGGTTAAGCCCTCTACCGATAGCAGGATGATAAAACTTCTAACATTTGATAACCTGTTTCCGCCACTACGACATTCTCGCTAAAACTCCTAGTAGAATGACGACTGCTGTTATGTTTTCCCCGCCAAAATGACGCTGGTTCACGGGTAAGCACTACGTCTGAGAAGATCTTTTTCTCGTAGTCGTCCTCGTCTTAGAATCTAAAGGTGTCTGTTATCTGGAAATAGTATGGAATGTGTGCCTTTGCGTTTAGGTGCGTCTTCTCTATCATGGTCGCCTTCAAATGGCCATTAATGAGTGGTACTGGTACTTCAGTGCATCAAGGAATCCCTATGATGTAACTGAGAGAATGCAATGGGAGTGGAGACAAGCCAGCTTTGATTGGACAAATGGTATGGCATGATGGGTTCATGAACAGGTTACGCGCATGCTAGAGGCGAGACTGCGAGCAGTCTCTTTTTTTTTCTTGTGAGTCGCAGTAGACCTAGAGCAGGCGTGAGAGGAGTGCGAGGAGGGCGCATAATTTCACTTTTTCGCTCGCTGCGCGTGGCTGTGAGAAAAGAAGGACCTTCTATGTGCATTCACGCTTGAGTAGGATTTGAACTGACGATTGTGTGATAGGCCCTTCGTAGCTTGTAATCACGTGTCCTACTTAATGCCAAAACTTAAGGGTACGACTTAAATGGTACAGGAGAAAGAGCGCGAGAAATTAGGTAGAAATCAAATTTTGAGATGATTGTTACAAAAGACTAAGATGTTCTGGGTATTAGAATATCAGTCTGCAAAATTAGCAAGGTTTTGTAGGGAAAAAAATTGCCGGAGCACAAGGCGAAGTTTTTCCTAGATACACGTAGTATTTTCTGCGTTACTCAAACCACCATAAGATCGCACTGTTTCGAGTTTTAAAAATCTTAAAAATTGGCTGACCCGCTATTTGGTTTATGCTCTTTCGACCCGTAATCTGGTATTTTAATGGTTGTTTCCCATAATTTTAGTAAAAGACAGATCACATGACCCCTAACTGCAAAGGGCCTATTGCTCTGCAAACCTTACTTAAAGTCTTTCTTGACACATGTATGTTGTTTTTGTTTCTTTTTTTTACATCTGATTGAATTGTGACTTTGGATAATTGTTCTCCTTCCACCAAAACTAAACAAATCCTTTTAAGGGGTGTTTACATACTGTAATGCTGTGATGCGTTTTGCACCTGAAACACTTTCATACTTGTATAAAAGTTATATCCCGTTTCCATCAAGGTCTTTGATGGGAGACTTCATTTTTAACGGCAAGCTGTGTAAATATTCATTTTAAACATGGAGTCCATAACTATAGCCTTCGTTGCAGGCGTATTTAGGATCGTCACGGAGGAGTATTGCGTGACAGCCCTAATAATAATAATAATAATAATAATAATTAGAAATTTATAACGCGCCTTTTCCATGCAAATATGATCAAAAGCGCATGACAAATAACGGAATAATAACAGATTGGACTAACGGAACCATAACACTACTACTATGTTGACTGTTTTAGACGCGTGATTGTCTGTTCCAGTCTTTCTGGAGACCAATTCTGTATCGAATCGAGTATAGTAGTAGACCAATTACATAGTAACCAGTGCTCGGTTGTTCAAAGAACGATCAGCGCAAATCCAGGGTAAATTATCGTAACGACTTGTGTCCTGTTTACAGTTAACCCAGAATTAACGCTAACCATGGTTAGTAGAGGAGACTGGTTATGAAAGCCAACAAATCAAACCCAGTGGAACTCGTTTCCTTACAAAACTCGTACCGTATCATCTTGATGTAAACAGTCCAATCTGATATAACATAATATGCGTCGGTTTTTTAATGGTCTTTTTCCTCGTTTAGGTCGGATTGTTATTGAAGGAGACTTCGACTTGCATACAAGGGCAGCATCAAAGTATGACGATCGGCGGGTAATACATTTGCCAGCCTTCAAAATCTGGTGAGTTCATGGAAGAGCTCCGGTCTTCTGAGCGTGAGGCCGTTAGTTCAAACGCCGGCCGGACCAACACCCAAGGTCTTATACTACAACCAGTTGCAAAAACATTTGAGACACTCTACCTTATTTTGGTCTAACTGCCTGCCCATGATCTTGTGCTTGTGATCCCCTCCTCCCCTTATCAAAGTTGCCAGAAATACAAGACCATGCTCAAAACTTAGTGGAACAACTTTGAATGGAGGGGAGGGGGAGGAGATTATTGTATCTCACAGAGGTGTGACTAGCAGCGATTTGAAGTAGGAAAGGCGGGATTTTCGTCGGAATGTCTCAACATTTTTGCAGCTGGTTGTGGTAGTGACTAAAGGTGATGTTACACGAGACGATTCGCAAGGGCGATTTTTAGCGCACATTGCTGCGACATTGTTTCGAATGGTTACAACATTGTTCCAACATTGCTACGCTGTGTTGCGCTAAAAATCGTCGTTGCGAATCGTCCCGTAAAACCCCGTTCTCAGTTCAGATGATCGCGTCATTGGACGGTGACGTTAAGCCGTTGGCCTTGTCTCCTTCATCCTTACACTTCAGTTGGAAGGGGACGTGAAACAACCCGTTGACCTTGTTCAAAACGAGTAGATGACGTAGGCCGCGGTGTCTTGTTCTATCTGACATATGCTTTCATTGGTCTGGGTGGGCGAGGTGAGATCAGCATGGACTGAAGCAGCTGCATAGTGCACCTTTACATGCTGACGTCCGATCTCACCTCTCTTGTTCCTCAGCAATTCAGCCATTGGTTGCAAGTGAGGAAAGTTGGCACCCCCTGTCATCACAGGCATTTTAAGGATCTGAATGCGAGATACTGTAGATGACGGCCTGTGACTGAACAGTAAAGACAGAAAGTAAAAAATAATAATAATAAAAAAATACAGTTGAACCTCTCCACAACGGCCACCTTGGGGACAGAAGAAACTGGCCATTGTAGAGAGGTTGAAACAAGGGTGAATGTATGGACTGTCCGCCAGAAAATGTGGCCGTTAGGGGAGGTTTGACTATACTTCATTTCTTCTTTTTGGTTCTTTGGAGAAAATTACAGGAATTTTATCCGATATTTTTTGTGTTCAAGAAACTGAGAACCCAAAACACTTCACTTCGACTAGCTTTAATATCCAGCTGACTGTATTCATATCTGATTGAAGTTTTGTGTGTTCGTAGTACTAACATGAAGTGGATTTGTCAAGGAGATCCAAATGATCATCACTCTGTGATCCAATGTGCCCCAGATAAAATACCAGAACTGGCGCCAAACCAGGTGAGAACGGAATCATGATCATCTGTGGAAAGATGAACACCGAGCCGTGCAATTAATTTATGTTTTGATCTTGCCGAAGTGACTTTTTAGATTTTAAAACTGAGCTGTTTATGAGGACCATTCTTGGGATTTAGAAGAGGTAGAAACCTGGGGGAGAACATTTTTGGAAGGACTCGATCCGATGATTATAGTGGTGGTGGTGGTGGTGGTGGTGATGGTGATGGATGATGATGATGATGATGATGATGATTTGGTGATGATATTTTTGATGATGATGGCGATGCTGATAATGATTATGCTGTTGTTAATGATGACAACGATGATGATGATGATAGCTTTTTAACACGAATTCAAGTCTCTTAGAACGAATTTTGCCATAATTTTGTGAGATCTGTGTATTCAAATTTTCGTTTGTTGCCGTCAATTCTTTAATTATTTTAACTTGCTTCTTAGGTGCATGACTCGTACGCCAAATTCAGATCCCAGAATCTAATTGTGGATATTTTAATGGAGACAGGGATGAGCAAACGAAAGGTTCGTCAAAGTAGCTTGGTAGGACATCTGTTTTCCCCCATAGAACGTTACTGTTTTGTGAAATAAATAAGTCAGTTACATGCATGCAGATACTGGATTTTGAGACATCAATACTTATAGTTACAAGACACCGTGCAAATCACGGGAAGAGACGACGACCAGAACACCTGTGTTTGTAACGGGATATTCTGCGATCTTGTATATATTTCGTTTAATTATTGTTTTTCCATCTTCTCAGAGATAATTACCTAAGGATGTAAAATTTTTACGGTCTAATGCCCCCGAAGAAGCCCATAAAGTTTCCAATGAGATCGTCTACAACCTAACTAATACACGCCAACTAACTGTCATAGTGAGAACCCGCCAAATTTCATTTCCGGGACACATACCCCGTCTGTCAGATGGTGAGCTGGTGAAAGATTATGCGCCCTGTATTTCACCTGGTGTCAAGAAGAAACAAGGGAGACCACATAGGCTGTAGATCTACAGTACGTTCAGTGCCTTTTGAGAGATATTGAAGGGATGGTGCAGCCAAACTAAGTTCCTTCGCTTGCCGAAGATCGCAGAAACGTGTGGAAAATTGGTTCACATGCTCTGCCAGCCGACCATTGATACTGTTTTGGACGGCGGAAACGACGCAAATTTGCTTAGTTGAGTTTTGGCCTATATTAACCACGAGACTTACCGGGCAACAAAAAATAATGTAATTTTAACCAGTGGTAACTTGTTCATCTCTTTATAGGACCTGTCCCTCAGTGATCCACCTACAGTGTTCATGTTTGCGAGCACGTTTAGATGGTTTCAGAAATATCAGGTAACGTGTTTCATAAATCAGCCAAATCTATTTGATTCAGGTGTATTCATACCATAGACTCTAACTTGATTATTTCATATTTTTGCCTCAAGGCTGTGGTCTTCACATATGTGTCAAGGCCTATCAGAAGAGGAACTTTTTTCAAGCGTAACCGAGTGAAGAAGAGATCTCTGGGAAGACACTACAGGTGTGTTAATTTCAGACATCTAGTTAAGCGTATGGGTAATTAGCGGAAAGCTTTTGACTCATTTTCTTTGCCTCACATAATAATACCACAACCAACTATGATTTTTTCTCGCGCAAGCTCTTTATAAACTCACCAGCAATCGTTACGATTAGAGAGGTTGTTACAGTCGACTCTTACGGAAAACATCGTTAAACGGACATCTTGAGTTGGTCCTTGCCTAGCCTGTTCACAGACCCTCTATTTTCGCTTTAGAGTTCGCTGAGCGCGCTCAGGGAAATAAAAACCGCGGGTGATTTATTGACCGCAAGCGCAATGGGGGTGAAAAAAAAACTTCGGTGGAAAGGGTAGTCCCTGTAACCATGACACGAACAACACTCAGAGCGCTTAACATTTGTCAGCACTGGCTGGCCAGACCAGTCCAGTTGTAAGGAGAATTCGTCTATTAACTAGAAATACCGTGAATCGCAGAACCTTTCGCAGCACTTGGGGCTAACGGCAAGAAGTAGGAATACAATATGTAAACAAACAAAACAAAATTACAATAACAAACTGGACTTGCCGAAAGGCGAGTTTGCTGGGCTGCCATAAAGGGTAGAATAGACTATCCAGCCAGATCGGTCTACTTCCTGAATAGTATCCACAGCAGTGAGGGGTTTTAGTAAAAATTTCGAGAAAAGACTCGTATTCTGGCCGGCCAGTTCTGACTTTTGGAAAGCGCCTTTTTTTGCGGGTCCAAAAGGTGTCCTTCTTATAGAGAGTTGACTGTAGTTGAATTTGATAGTTGTGTAGTTATGTTAACCTCGGCAGGCCTGTCGTCCAAGTCGAATTTTATTAAGAGAGCCGTCTCTATTTCGAGTCGTGAGAGAAGAGTCCGCTCACCCTTAACTTCTCGCGTTATCTCCCAAATGGAGAGATTGCTCGCAAGCGGAACTGAAGACAAGTACATGTACCTGATGCTTAAGGTAGGTAAACGCGTTTGTGCAACCCCTAATGAATTTTGCGCTCACTCTAGGCATGTGAGCCTTTCACTTCAGTTTCCTGAACTGACCGTGTGGTACTGGGGCTCGTTCACGCAACAGAGAGGATTTGAGCTGTCACTGGGAGGTGGTCTCTTGGAAACGACATACCGTTTGACACTTAAACAGTACAGTGATGGACTGCTGCGAAGACCGGCGGCGGACTGGAGCGCGACAAAGCTGCGCAGTGAAGTGTCTAATGTGACGTGTCATTTGTATGGCTTGGAGGAAGTGGATGGAAAGGAGGAGAGTGGTGACGAGTATGCTGAGGTAGAGACACTTTCTGTTGCGTTCATGAAGGAATAGATACATTCTTTATTGTTACCTCCCCAAAAATGGAATGGTACCCTTGGAGCTGAGTCGGATAGTTTGGCTGTTAAACAATAATAACTTATTTGCCGAGAACTGAAGCTCAACCCCAAACACACTTCATGAAAGGTAGTCCACACTACCGGGGCAGAGTAAAAACAAAAAGTATATTTATAAGTGAGCTTTCCGCGCCTTTAAAGTTCACTTGATCTCTGTGGTATTCCTGCTATTTAATGTTCAGTAGTTTATAGGTTCTTTAACGCTCCCATCGAATTGATAAGGAAGGAGGCGATGCCAACGCCCAAACGACCTTGCACAACAAACCGTTTGAACGCTAGAAACGCCTATCAAAAGTCAGAAGTGGCTGGACGGATCGATCATTTTGAAGCTGAGATAGGCTCTTCTTCGAGAGTTTTGCTAAAAATCCATCGCCGCAGTACGTACTTTTAAGAGAGGTGGAATTCTTTTCCCGGGTGAGCTAGTCTGGTCGGCCAGTTCTGACTAATCTCCATACGTGACTGGTGGGTATAAACGCGCGCGAGAGGGGAGGAAAGGAGAGGTGGCGCCACTCGCGACTCGTAAAAAAAATTAACTGGCGTCTGCTACGCGAACGCAGGCTATGGGAATGAAAGATTTTCGAGCAGTTGCCCAGCTGTTGTTTGCTGTGTCTCTATAAAACCTTATATGTTTAAAGTAATGGGTTTATTTTTTGTAAATGGCGTCTACCTTCCCTTATCTGTTCCTTCGTGATTGCGTCTCATTTCTTTTTACTGTTTTTGTTGTCATGTCTTTTTGATTTAGGTGAGTTCGATTGACTTGGAGCCTACGAAGTACTACCTTCTAGCAGCAGCAAGGTAAGTTTTACAACGCTCTGTGTGAACTGAGCAGCGCCGTTTAACAACACATCAGTTTTGACATACTTTGCCCTGTGTACCTCCATTTTCTCTATTCCCAGTCATTTTTATTTTCTCCTTCTTGTATATTTTCTTCGAGAAAGCAAATACATTCTGCCCCGTTGCTTTTAAGGTAAGTTCACTTTCTGTGAAATTGGTGCAAACATTTGCCTGTAAGGTCCAAAGACTGATTGGTTGAAATCAAAATGTTACATGGGCTATGTCTACAGCATAGGCGGCGGATAGCTTTGTAGACTACGAGTAGTCCCCCATTTTTCCTCAGGGATAGTAGAGCGAGCAAAACGCGAGCGCGCGTGAAAATCACCCTACGCGAGAAAAGGCGACACGCGTGGGGTGATTTTCACGCGCGCTCGCGTTTCGCTCGCTCTACTATCCCTGAGGAAAAATGGGAGACTACTCGTAGTCTAATAGCTTTGGTGCCGACATGGAAAGCTATCCGGTATATTTTGAACAGCAAAACGGCATAGAACTGGAACAAGTCGTTCACACACATCGATTATCGTGCCTGAACGATTGGCCGAGAAGGGTTTGGTAACCTAATTCCCAGTCCTCACTCCTTCCGTTTCAGTGAGGTCCAGTCCTAGCGAATACCAGTTCAGACTTTGTTCACACTGCACCAAAGTGTGGCACAGAACCTATCCGATATGTGATGCTACACTTTCGAGATCAGCGCGGCGCAGCTTCGTTGCCGAAATCGCGCCGAAATCACCCTTCTTGTGTGTGAGCAAAACCCTACCCGGTTTGGTTTTCGTGCCGGCGAAAGAGCTATCTTCGTAGTTTGCAACCCACCGTTTATCTCTTGATTTTTTTGTACTTTTGTAGATTAGAATATACACGACAAGATAACTCTAAAAAGCAAGAAATGGGTGTTGATGGTCCGTCTCCAGATTTACGGGTAAGGTTGTCAGTTATTTTTACACTCACTAATATGTCACTGGATAGATCGTCAGCTGTTAAAACTCTCTTAGGGACGGACCATTAGAAAACTTATCCGTGGGGGCAGGGATTTTTCCTAGCCGCAGGAATTTTTTTTTTCATGTTCTAAATCAAAAATCCTTTTATGAATAATTTAAATCGCATTTTTTTCAGACCCATCATTTCTGCATGAATATTTCAATTAGGGTAATTTTCAAAATGGATGTGCAAGAATTTTTTTTTGGTCTGAAATGAAATCTTCCCGCGCTCGTTCGATTTTGAAATTTTTTTTCAGACCAAATTCGCCCGCCCCCCTTGCCCTTTTTTTTGGTACCCGCCCGCCCCCAGCCCCCCCCCCGATAAGTTTTCTAATGGTCCGTCCCTTAGCTCCATGCGTTTTAAGCATCCTGCGGGGAGGGCCTTAAAACAAGGGAAGGGGCTGATAGAGATTGTGGCTTTTAGCCATCACTTGGTGCTCGTCTGAGGAGGTTAGGAAGGCAAGTGATTACAAGGGAAACACAAAACACTTAATGAACGGTCCCGAGGCAAACAATACTGTTTACATGAAATACTTTGATCTTTCACGCGATATTCAGCCACTAGGATAGCTCAGTGAAACCTTTTGTGTTACACAAGTGAGTTGTTGCTTACGGATTTTTACGTTGCTCCGTTATTCTAAAGGATAATCGTGAAGGAATGGTATTTAACTGAAGTTCTTTTGTAACTTTGTAGAATTATAATCATCGACTGGTGTGTCATGATCTTAAAGGAGTCTGGACACTAACGAATCGCCGTATTGCGTTTGGTCTGTTTGAAGCATATACCAATACACAGGTGGGTGTCTACACAAAGTGGTCAAAGTTTGGATTGATTCGAAGGTTAATTACGAAGAAATTTTTAGTGCAGAGTCCTTACATCAGGCCCCAGTTGTTCAAAAGGTGGATAAGGCTATCCACTGGATAAATCTCTATCCACTGGATAGCACAATATTGGTTTCCCTAACACTTATCCTCTGGTTAGTGATTTGTCCAGTGGATAGTGCTATCCACCTTTTGAACAACTGAGGCCAGGAGTCCATCAGTCTGGTCGATCGCACCAAAGGCAGGCGATCAGTCGTAATCATCACAGCTTCACAAATCAATGGTTGGCCCCAAACGCGACACAGTGCTCTGTCAATGCGCTAGCGTTCGAATCGTCAGCTTTTGAAGCCTTTTATGGCGGACAACTGAGCCTCATCAACTCTACTGATAGAAGCAAATTTAATTTGATTTTGATTTTAAATTTTGATTGGTCGAAAGCCCCGGGAATAGTTTCCATACTAAAAAAGATTTTAAAAACCTTTTATTTGCCAATTTTGATATAAGTATAACGATTTCTTTTAACTTTTTCAGGTTCTCAAGAAAAATCTCTCTGCGGATGCCTTGAAATTTGCGATAGTAGAAAAAAAAGAGAAGAACAAGCAGGTTCATGCATTACGCTTTTATGCAGTAATTATAATTTTAAAGGGGAACCAGATCATGTGAGAAGCTAATTATGGTTTTAGCGTTCTATATTTTTTAAATGCATAGGTTTTCTTCACGTTTCTTTCTGCATGCACTTTTGACCTTGTTATTTGCTGTATGATACGCCAGTGGCAAGAAAATTACGCCTGACCAGGATTTTTAAAACTAATTATGAGGCTTGAATAACTGAACGAGTTATCCTCCCTCTTACAAGCAGTTTTGAAAAACCTCTATGTCAAACTTCGCTTTCTTTCAGCTAGTTGGGGTTATCATCATGGGAAAGAAAAAAACTTTTTCACCTTGTTGATTTGGAACTTGTTATGAGTCCCAAATTAAATTGACATTGCTCTATCAGTCGAGTAAATGTTGAATTCATTGTAAAGTTTATATTTTGGCTTATTTACCGTACGGTGACGCGCATTAACCTCGACTATAAGCTTCAACCAGTTGCAAAAATGTTGAGACATTGACGAAAAAACGACCCTTCATGCTTCAAATCACTGCTAGTCACAAGTCTGTGAGATATAATACCTGAACTCCCTCCTCCCTTCCATTCAAAGTTGTTTCTCCAGGTTTTGAGTATGGTCTTTGTATTGCTGGGTGGAGGGGGAATCTCAAGCACAAGATCATGGAAAGGCCATTTAAGCCAAAGTACGGTACAGTGTCTCAAGTGCTTTTGCAACTGGTTGTAGTTCCAGACCACAGCTGAGAATACGAATAATTATGATGCTGTAATGCATGGGCCATTTCCCACAAACTCTGACTTTCAAAACCGGGCTAAGTGCAAACCTTTTTTCGGAAAATGAGTTCTATTTCCATGATAATAAAAATCATTTTCATTTCAACGACTTCGCACTTAGCCTCGCTTTGTAGTAAAGGCTTTGGGCAACTCGAAAATGGTCTGTTGAACGATATGTGTTTTGTATTTTAGGATGACACCAAGACTGGCTCGCCTCTCAACAGTTCAGTCAAAGCCCGATCTGCTTCTTACACTAATATGCTGGAAAAGCTGGTCATGGAAAAAGAATTGAAGTTTGTGGCGTTTGCTGAAGAGGTAAAGTGAATATAGTGTGGTGTTCTTACACTTTACTTTTTCTAAAGCTAATTTGGACTATTAGACTTTTATTAACGATCATTGTCGGCTTTTTGTTAGGGGACCGGTGAGCATGAATATGTTACTGAGGCCCACCTCCACGGGATGGCATTATGCACTGCAAATGACGTCATCGAAGACAGATGGCATAGTAAGGGAATACTGTGTTTGTTTTGCTTGCAGTGATATCACGTATTGTATATCTGATCTGATATATCATATCATTTTGTAATCAAGCCAAGGGTTACATTACTGTTATGCTTTTTGAAATGCTGGTTAAAAGTTTCTACATTCACAGTTGGTTTATATTGTGACATGGAGACTGGGCAAAAACGTTTGCTTCATCAAAAAAAAATACAATGTCTGCGGACCGACTATTCTTTTGTATTTTTGTTGTAGGTTACTATAATACATTTATCGGTAAAAGATAACGCTGCAATGAGCCGCGTGTAACCCCCGGGCTTAAGAATATGTTTTTCTCCTATAAAATTACTCGAAATTCTCTTAGGTTCTTGTCTTTCCTTTCTTACTGATTCTCTTTTGGTCGTTATCTTTTTCGTACCAGTTGGACTAGTGAACTCGCAGGTTGTTCTGAAGGGGGTTGAGTCTGAGGGGTGTGTTCTTGTAGCAGCTGGTAATGCAAGAATTCTAAACAGGCTTCACATTCCTGTCTGGAGTAAAGGAGAGATTTTTAACAAGAACACCTGGTTTGGAAACGTAGAGAACCTACAGGTAATTTTACTCACATGTCTCTGACTTATGTAACTTGCAGGATAGCTTGCAACTGGTTAGTTCGCTGTTTTCGTGCCCCCTTAAAATTAATATTTACCGTCCGCCAGTTACAACTGCCCCTCGCACAACTTGTCGTAAGTTGCAAATGTGAAATTTATATACTTTGGAAGAGTTAACGGATACTTTTGTAATCGAACCCAAATTACAGTTAAACCCCGTTAATACGAACACTGAGGGGACCATAGAAAGTGTCCGTATTAATCGATTGTCCGTAAAGCGGGGTTTGACTGTAACTCCGTAGTGAAATGACTTTGACTCTTTTGGAAAAAAAATTTACCGTAAAATTCCGAAAATAAGCCCCTTCATGTATAAGCCTCTTCAAATATAAGCCCCCCGAACTCGCAACGCAAAAAACCCTCCGTTAAATCGCCCCTCCAAATATAAGCCCCCCTGGGGGCTTGTACTTGGAAATTGCCTTCAAATACAAAGTAAAACAAAGCAAAAACGGTAATTTCCTTTCAACTATAAGGCTATCCCAATCGATTTTGAGACGCAAATTTCCCTCCGTAGATAAGCCCCTCCGAATATAAGCCCCTCAAAAAGGGCCTTTGAAAAATATAAGCCCCGGGGTTTATTTTCGGAATTTAACGGTATATACTCCCGACTGTAAAGTCAGCCTTGCTTCTTTTGTTTAAGATGTGCGTATTAATCAGTTTCAGAATTTAGAGGAATGTAAGGGCTTTCTTTCCCCGTGGACAAAGCAAACTGTCCGTGATAATGAGGTGTCCGTAAAGCAGGGTTTGACTGTAACTCCGTAGTGAAATGACTTCGACTGTTTAGCGAAAACCGCGTCTAACATACCTTTTGTCGTATTTGTTAGTACTTTGCTACAGTCGGTGCCGACGATATGATCGGTCTAGACAGTTGCCCCTGGCTTAGCACGTCTGTAATAACAGGGAGACTTGACAAGAACTCTTTTGATATCGCCGACCTGGCAAATATTGTGGGCTCTGGAGAGGCTGTTGGAGGAATGGTAAATGCCACCGGAGCGGGGCCTGGACACGAAGCTACACAGTTACAGAGGATTGTAGCGCGGTGTAGCTGTGAATTTTATTTTGCAAGTTTCAGCTCCGATTTAGATCCCGTTGCCGAGGAACATGCTGCTAATATTGAGGTAAGTGGAACAGTGTCACATGACTGTATCGCGGGTTCAGTGTACAAATCATTGAGATGACGTGTTTTTTTAAGTTCTCCACTGACCAGTTATGGTATTCAAGTGATCGCAGGCTCTGAAAACTTTACTTCAGATAGAAATTTCTTAAAAGTTTCCACGAAAGCTTCGCTTTTGGCCTTGGCTAAATCTATCCATTAAACCATTCCACGGTTTTCTCAAGTTTTGACATGGGCCAGTTGGCGAAAATCCGTCGACACCGCTGCAAATAGCGCCTGAACTAGTAAAGTTGCCGTGCTTGAGAGTTATGTGTTGAAAAGAAACGAAGAGAAAGCTCCGTGAAGACATTTGTATGGTGGAGGGAAAGTTTGTGTCCCCCACCGTGCAAACGTCTGCAAAATTTCACGACTTTGCAAAGGTGTATCTTTGTTCCTTCAAATGCCGTATTATTTTTAAACGTTGCAAGTTAACTGATTTCAAGGCGCTCTTTCTAGAGATGGATATTCACGAGCTGGTCCTTATCAAAACTTGAAAATAAATATTGGTTTGTTTTCTCTTATTCAATTTCAGCCCCCGTCGCCCTCCAGTAGCCGCCTTCGAGAGGATAGCGCTGCTGTGAACACTTTCACCATCAGACATAAGCTGCTGGAGATCTCTACAAACTCGGTACGTTGTATGAATCTCTCTTTGGAGAGCGCGCTATCGCTGTGGTGAAATATGTTGTTTAATAGCTATCAGAGAAAGTTAAAGATATATCCTATTTTCGGTTGATGTGATGTCTGACTTCAATTGTCAACGTAGTGTTTAAAAATTTGCCTCACGAATTTGACTGACTTGTCGGCTGTATTTCAAACTAACCGTTTCTGACGCGACGGAACGTTTTCTGGATTCGGATGAATTTTTATCTTATCTCTAAAGATAGGTGTTACAGCGAACGGATCCATAGTAAACTTTCAGTTGGTTGTTGATTTAATTTTGAAAGTTCCTGATTGTGCCTCGTGTCCTCATAGGTTCATGCTCAACCATGCATTACATAACACTCGTTAAAAATTGAAAAATTCGTTCGTTTTCAATTATGTTTCAGGCCCAATACGCCATGCTCATTGACATAGTCCACAATGCTGTTTTGTACACGGAACCTAAAAAGAAGGTAAGCGGGTCAAAGCTGACTTGGTTAAATGCATCATTGCGTCAATAACAAAATGCTTGAATCTGATTGGTTCTTAACAGCCCATATTTATTGCTTAATTTTGCCATTGTATCTCCAAAACTAAATTGATTACCAGTTCTTGGAATTTCCCAGGTCAAATTGATACCCCGTTCTAGAAAATGGGCCAATTTTTATAATGTCACTAGGGTGCAATGAAATGTAAACAGTTTGCACATGATAACGCAATGAACCGTATTTTTAAAAGCAATCTGTCCTTAAATAAAAAAGAAAAATGGCTGAAACTAACAAAACTGGAGACTTTTATGTTCAAAAAACGCCTTGAAATGGATACCCCGTTCTAAATCAATATTTCAAAATCACGACCCCGATTGTCGCATTTTGTTATTGACACAATTACCCGTTATAGGACTTCGTGGGAGTAATTCAGGGTTAATCAGCCCATACTTATAGCTTAATTTTGCTATTTTAACTCCAAAACTGTTCAATTACCAGGAGCTTGTAATCGGACAGGTCAAATCGGATAGTTAAAGAACCAGTGAAAATTCAATTGGCCAATGCCACTAGCCAATGAAATGTGACTACATAGCACATGATATTAACGCATCGATTTGCAGACGCTCTTGAAACTGGATCAAAACAAGAACGCATACATATCGATTAGTGTGGACGAATTGCCTGAAAAACGTAAAGAATTCATTGATTCGAGTTCAAAAATCTCACTGGCACGTCACAGGCGGGTGTAAAAACCTATCTCTTGCCTTAAAACGTGAAGCTGTGCAATTTTTAATAGCAAAAAACCTTACCGTAAATCACTTACCACCGAAAGCTCTTCTTGCCTTTCAAACATGGACTGCAAACTGCAAACGCGACCGCAAGACTGTAGTCACGTGACATCCTCAGGTTTGTCGTTTGCCGTTAGCCATGAAAAACCTGATGCTAAAAGTCTCTAATAACGACATAGAGTTTGGGAAAGTTGGGGCACTCGTTCTTTTATATGTGGGCTCTTTCCTTGCCACTAACTTCCTTCTACTGAAAGTTTTTAGCCGGTTCAGTTTTGGGATATGGACAACAAGAACGAGTGTTATACCGAGAAATAGTGTTTTGTTGAAAAGCTTGTCATAAAATCTGTCGTAAAAAGAATCTTGTTATTAATTGATAGAGCTTATCGAATTTAATTTTTAACAGCAAGCGATTGACAGACTACAGAGGATGAGATTTCACTTGCGCCTTTCCACGTCAGAAGATCAAAGAGCCCAAATTCTTAGACTTCAGAACACGGTCAGGTAAATATGAAAAACTAAGTGTTAGCCTTTCCTCGACGTTTTCTTAAATTGGATACTAGAGAGCTTAGAAGCAGTTTGTGCAAGTTTCAGATCTTCTCAATCAATAACAAAGGAAATAGCAGCAATCAAAAACCGCGAAATTTCTGGGTGGCAAAACGTTAATGAGCTCATATATTCTTATCTATTTCTGTCCGGAATGTCGGGCTCAAAGTTTTAGAGGTAACTGAAATTGTTATTCCCTTTCAATATTGAGAGATTTTATGTTCATCAGGTAATGATAAGTATATGTACCCTAGGTACCAGACGTTTTTTCTCGCGCGCGACGAGGAGGGACGATACGTGTTCGGCCAAAGGCCGAAGACACCGGCGGGTCACTTTTCAATTAAGACTTGACCGAAACCGGAAACCGCGCATGAAAAGCCACTGGCAGATGATGAGGCAAAAAACTGTAAACAAGGATTCGCCTATTCACTATTTTCGAATCCCCCGTAATACACTCTGTTGCCCCCCAAATTTTGCATGTTATTGCCCTTAAATGCTCTTGGGAAAATGTAGTACTCCCAGGAGCATTTGAAAACAATGGTTTAGAGTGTATTGTGGGGATTCGAAAATAGTCAATGAAGTCAAGTACTCACCATAATATGTCTTTATTTTAGGTCCAACTACACGGAAATGCGAAGACTGGAACGAGAACTTTATGAAATAAACTTATTAAGAAAACAAGCGATTGATGATCAGGAGTAAGACTTCTTTTTAATACCTGTGTTTAAAGCGGTTTTTAATCGACATCTCGAAAGTTCCGTTAAATTGTTTTCATTGGCTTGTTTCTGACTGAAGTATGACAAAGTCATTCCCGACTTGAGTTGTACTACCATGTTTTTTCCGCTCTTTGGTGTAGCTACATGTATTTACTTTGTGTTCTTCGCGGATGTTTTGTTTTAAACATGCTATTATAACTTGGCTTTTCCATTTACTACCGGGAACCATTTAAAAATCGCTTTGACCAGCCATATATGTTACTGATTGTTTTTGTTTTTGTTGTTTTTTGCTTTTCCCCTTGTTTCTATAGTCAATTATCGTTGTGTATGTGAAAGGTACAGCTGGGAAATGTTGATGAAATGTTGATTTTACCTTAGGTTGACCGATGCTGTCATTGAGTTGGAAAGAACAATTGAAAAACAAAAAGAGTTACTGAGTTCATCAAGTTCTGAGTTGCGAATAAGGATAAGGTAAGTGTGTAATGTTGTCATTGAAAGAGCGACTGATCTTTTAGAACAAGAACGTCTAAAGGTAGTTCGCTGTTATAGAGAAAAGAAGTGTAACGTCACGTTATCATGGGATCATAATTTCTGGGTCTCAAGAATCTTTCTTGACAGGGACGAACAATGGCATTGTCGAACGATGGAAGAATAGCGTGGGCTACCGTTTTGTTCCTGAGTGCAATCATACACAGGAAAGTCATTTTTCCTGCCATTCTTGCAGAGATGTAGAGTTTGTAGAGATCCAGAAATTTTGCTACCATGGCAACGTGAAGTAACGACTTCTCCCCTGTCTATTGGTTTGCCGTTCACTGATAGATCTCGTTTAATCTTGACTTTGTTCTCGTTTTTCGACCCTTTACAGCTACTAAACACTCAAATACTCACGCTTTTAAAAGTGTAGCAGCTGCTGTTGATATTTAGTTGTGGTTTTATTTTTTGTCACTATTAGTGCATACAAAGACTTCTTGATGAATGTAAACACACCAACGCCTGAAAAAGGTAAGATAACATGAAGCCTTTAAGCTCTAGTATCCACTCGCATAATGTTCCCCTTACGGCCTTTTTGATATAATTGAGGAGAAATTGTTTAACAATCAATTCAACTTACACACCCGACAACTGATAATCATCTCCTTTTTTCTCATGACCTTCGTGTTTGAGTAGGCAGTAATATCATTAGGAGAAGCTAGATGTTGGTCATTTTGTCTCTATTTGTAGTATGGGACTGTTTTAGGAGACGTATTTGGACCTTTGTTAACCATCTACATGGGCAAACCGGTCGGTCCACGGTTTGAGCAAATGGTACACAAAATTCAGAACTGGCTAAGTTCGTCTTGGAATCGCGTTTACCATTTGTACAAATCAGTTCCATTTGCTGACAAGCGACCGCGAAGGCCTGAAACTGGGATCAAAGATGGCTTTTCGTTCGGAATATTCCATCCGGAACAAACAGGGCCATCTTTTCAATTGTTCCGTTGCTCCCGTTGCTTTCCGCTGGAAAGATCCAAAAAGGCGTGTTACATTTTCTTTCCAACCAGATTTTTCAGAACCTTTTTGTAAATGGTAAACAAGCCCAGTCTCGTCATTAACGATAGTTTTCCTGATCACAGACGTCCTCCTGTCCCGTGGTAACACAGCTATGCTTAGAATGTCTGCTCACTGTACTGGGTGTTTTTGTGAGTAAAATCTGTGATGACTGGTTATGTTTTCAGCTCCGACTGCAGAGGTCACAAAATTGGCTGAAGTTTACTTCAATCACGCCTCTTGGCAACTCACTCAGGAGGACGGGCAGTTAGCTATAGCGGATGTAACATTTACTAACTTCAGGTATAGCTTTCTCTTCACGCCTTTTGCTCAGATCGGTTACCAGTGATAATAGAATTAAAGCCTGAATTGGCCATTTCTGAGTTCCAAAAACTCTCACGTTCAAAAAGAGGCTAAGCGCAAAACCTTTCCTGTCAAAATGAGTTTTATTGCATGAGAATAGGCCGTTACCGAGTAGCCTGCGCAGCTGGCGGGACTTGGGTGGGAGTGCTGTATTGTTTTGGCGGTGGAGCCTCGAGAAGGGTGGGTATTCAAGTCAATTTGAAGTTCCCTCGCGGCCTCGCCACTCGCTTCGCGTGACGGCTCCGCCGCCAAGAAAGTACCCCGGACACAAGAATCCCGCCAGCCACGCAGGCTAATTTCTGAGCTGCCAGACGCTTCCATTTCAAAGTGAGGCTAAGTGCGATGCCATGAATCTGAAAATGAGTTTTTATTCTCATGGACGTAAAATTCATTTTCACAAGAAAGGTTTTGAGCGTAGCCTCGTTTTGAAAGTGAGAGTGTTTGGAACTCGCAAATGGCTCTGCTCTTAGCCTCGCTTTGAAATAGATGCTTGGGGTAACTCGGAAATGGTTTATTTATGTCATTGCGCAAATACGCATGCGAGGGAGTCACGATTGATTTGGTTGTTGAATCGGAGTGTTTGAGGAAATGTGCCATGAACGAATATGTCCCCGGATTCAATGCAATATCTTGAATCGACGGCATCACCGTGAGGATTATCTGTACAAGTGATTCAGTATATTTGCAAAATTGCCATATACACTGAGAAGAATTCCCATTTTCTTCTATCATAGTCTATGCTGTCATTAATAAACCCTGGTAACTAAGAAGTGAAAGGGACCTGTTCGCGTTCAGGATGGTGACAACTACTAAATACTGTCAACCAGACTTTATAGCTTAAATATGTCGCCATTTTCTGAAAGACTTAGGGGAACAATTTTCAGTGCAGTATTTTCAATCTAGGATTTGTAATTTCATCCGCATTAGGCAAACGCCCATTTGTTTTCAAAGGAAGAGTGAGCCAGTTAGAAAGAAGAGAAGAGAACATTTGATGACTCAACCCTTTTTTTGAAAAACTGTGTATACCTGATTTAGTTACAGGAAAACTACCCTTAGTGGTGCTACAATGGAACACCGTTTAGAACTGGGAAAATTTCACGTTAGGAACCTTTTGCCAAACAGCATCTACAAGGTAATGATGATTGTGTTGTGTAGTCAGCAAGCCGCCGCCTACCGGGAGCTTGGGTTACCTGCGCTTGCCCGCTGTATCTATTACTTTCTCTATCTTACATGCCGCTAAGTGTCTCTTATAGGACGTTACAGGAATTTTCTGTTTGTTTGTTCGTCAATGGGCGATTTCTTTTGGTACTGATTACAGTGAAAGAGAGTAGTGGAGTGAAAGTAGACTGCGTTTTTGTTTAACGCTGTCTGTGATAGATAGCCCTTAAAGTTTGCTCGAGTCATTAAAACCAATGGCGAGAACTTTTCAATTTATGTAATCATGTCGCGCGTCTTCACTTTTCGATTGCATACAGGATGCCTTGAGCCCACTGGACGTCAGCGCTAAGGGTCACGTGGATAGAGCCATAGCTGTCAGGCTGTTTAGTCGAGTGAGGCCTCCAGGTAGGGGAGTTGATACATTTATAATACAGTAAAAACACGCGACTAAGAACATGCATTTTCCCAAATTAGCCTAAACGGGTTCTTACTTAAATGGTTATTAGCACAAATTTAGGATATTTATGCATGTTCTTATTATCTGAAGAAAAAAATACATTGTAGCTAAGAGTATTTAGTGGTATATTTAGCTTATTCCTCACATATAATCTGCATACCAAATTGGAACTTATGTAAAAATAATCATTAGAAGAAGAACTCAAAACAAAAAAGCACTTTATTTGAGTGTCAATGGATTTAAACCAACTGAAGCATTAACCACAATAATTTTGAAGTCCTACTTCAGAACATAAGAACTTGTTTGAAATTCTAGGCTAAACAGGTTCTTAGTCGCGGGTTTTTACTGTAGTTGGTATCAAATCTTCTTTGCAAAAGCCTAGTTTGGCTCATTGTTCTTAGGTTTCTGTTTTGCCGTCAGTGGTCCAAAAATGAAGAAACTACAGGAGAACAGCTAAATCTTGGAAATTTGGCAGTGTTGTGCACTGTTTGCTTGTTATGAAACATTAACAACGGCATTCAAACCAATCAGTCACAAGAAAATAATGAATGATTAAAATTCTGGTTCTAGTCAGCAAGGATTACAGCCAGTGTCTTTGCCAAGGGAACCATTCGCCACTATCAAACGTTATCTTTCAGGAAAACACATCGGATTTGTCGTATCCAAAGACTTTTTCTGATATCTTATCAGGTGTAAACTTTTGTGTGATACGCCCTTTTTTCACTCCATAGTTGGTGGCATTGGAGTGAAGGAACATTTTGAAGTAAACGTATGTCCACTGGCCGTTCGTTTAACGCACCGCTTGTTCAAGAAGGTTATGGTGTTCTTTTTTCCTCAAAGAGCACATGAGTACGAGGGTGAAGTTGGTGAGGTGGAACTTGGCTTCAGAGGTGAGTCGCCTCACATCAAAACTGAATACTATTTCAAGGAGGAAACACGGATGAAACTTCACAGTATGTGGGATGAAAATTCCGTCTAAATTGATTCAATTACGGTATAGACTAGTAGTTTGGGTACAGTCAGAGGTAGTTTCAGTGGAACCTTGATTTAACGAAGGGCCAGGGGACTGGCAAAGTATGCTCGCTATATCGGGGTTCTTTTCCATATATTTTACTATTTACGGGGTAAAGAATATCGTCCGTTATATGGAGGACTTTTTTACCGAGAGATTCATTATATCGAGGTTCCTTTTTTCTTTTTTTACTTTAAGTCAGGTTTCTAAGTCGTGCGCAGGCAACTATTGGGCCATTTCCGAGTTCCAAAAACCCTCACTTTCAGAATGAGGCTAAGTGTACAACCTTTCTAGTGAAAATGAGTTTCATTTGCATGAGAATAAAGAATCATTTCCATATCAAAGACTGAGCACTTAACCTCGTTTTGATACAGAGGCGCGGGGGAACTCGGAAATGGCCTATTCAACTTTGTCTTAGGGTCTCTTCTCTTCTACGGGCAGGGAAGAGGAGAGGCCCTGGGAACGAAGTTGTGAAGCACATTTAAGATTAAAACCAACAAATAACTCGTCTCGAAAAGACAGTTTTAGGTTTTAGTAAGAATTCATCCATTAGCACAACCGCATATTTAGACGCAATGTCCTGCTCATAACTAGTCTCACTTTGTTGTAAGGGTATACAGCCCTTATGTTTGTTTCGTATGTGCCACCCATTTCTGTCAATAGACTCTCGCGTTATACAAATATCTCTGAAAATGACAATCTGTGTCTAGAGGGATTTCTGTCATCTTTGCGTGCCTTTCGTTGCCATTTACGGTAAAAAATATTTTGTCTTTTACCCTTTGACAGGAATGGAAGTTGAAGATAAGGAATTGTTCACATATGAAGAAGAGGTAATTAGTGACAATTTTACTGGTGCTCGCTCCACGCTCAAATATAGCTCGGTTCATCTGCAATTTTCCAGCAGGGAATTTCTAGTTGACGAAGGACGTTTACCATTGTATTGAGGATTTCATGTTTTTGACCCATAACTTCTAAATTTTTGTTGCTGATCTTGTTTTCACAGGACCTTTTATCTCCCACTGGTAAAACTGTTTCACTGAAGAGATCACCAAGCTCTCTATCTACTGCCTCATCCAAATCTGGCGTGACTGTCACGGATTCTCCTCCATCATCACCAGCAAACAAAGAAAAACCGGTAAAAAATTTTAAGCATTGCGTCCCAGTCAAACAGTCTTTCGTAGCATTTTGTATACAGCCTCAAAATTAGGAGCAGCACTAGTGTTCTTGGTTCTGTTTGTTAGTTATTGTATGCCTCTTCACAACAGCCGCCTTGGCAGCACCAGCAAAGTTAACTGACCAAACTTGTACCCAGGGTTCTCTCCTCTCGTTGGGGACGAGTAGAGGTGACCCTGGGAACAAGGTTTATTGGTGGCCAATGCAGAGAAGTTAAAACAAAAGTATAGTTATTCTTTTGGACAAGAGGAAGTATAGTAAGTGTTATGAAGAGTTTACCGTCGTGAAGAGTCAGTAAAAAATCTGACTTTCGGCGTTCGAAAATCTTCTTCCTAAACTCCAATTCTGGGTTCTTGGATGACGTAAGATGTCAATATCAGAGCAGCCAAAAGAGTCTTTATAGCGGAGCTCCCCGCGCGCCCGGAGCCCCATAGCTAAGAAAATCTAGTTCCCTATCCATCCAAGAAATTTTGATAGTTACGTGACCGTTCGTCCACCCACCCGTCCTCCCGCCCGTCTGTCCGCACCACAGGACAACCAATGTGAAATGTGACACTTTTTAGCTAGTGTTGGAGCCTGCAACCATGATATTACACATCCATGTTGTAGTCAAAACATGGTATCGTTGACGACCGTATCGCGGGCTCAGTTGTCGAACCATCGAGGACACGTGTTTTTTTTTGTTTTTTTTTACCTTACTGACAAGTTTCTAGTTTTCAACTGATCGCAACTCTAATTGGATTTCTTTATTGCAATATTTTTTCATTAATTGGAGCTTCGCCTTTAGCCTCGGCTAAATCTATATAACTTAACATTGATTTCGTGAACGATCTCCGGCAACAAATAAACTGTTGTCAATATCCTTATCGGAGGAAATTTGGCTCTCAACTCCACATACTTCACGGCTATTGATCGTGATTGCTCTTCATATTTTGTGATCTTGAACGTACTTTTGCCCTTTTTTTTTCCGACGGCAGGCAAAGAAGAAAAGTACATTCTACAAACGAATTAGTGACTATGATGACTTAGACAAAATGAAGGTGAGATTTCTGTCCTTTTATGAACATGAGGTCTTTAACAAATACAGTCCTTCGTCATTAAATCTCAATTTTTGGCGTTTTGTGTATTCATCTTAATTTAGCTAAAATTCAGTGTAGTGTAGCAAAACTTACAAAGTTCCAGGTTGTACAAGTCCTGTAGCGATACTTGCGAGATTTGCACTACCATCTTACGTGCATACACATCGAATTTCAGCAAGATCTTTTTGTGGTTTTGTGTTTTTGTCTTTTTTGTGGTTTTGTTCCCGAAGGTTCAAAATTTGTATGTACCAGTAAACGGTCTGATAATTGACAAACATGCAGGCGAAAAAAGCACCTTATGCAGATCCCTGTGACTCGGTAAGCACTTACCTTGGCTTTCATTTAATCTTACAGGAACGAGCTTCTAAAAATAACACTTTCATCTACGTAAAGATCCCTGAAGTGTCCTTACTTGTGAGTTACAAGGTTTGTGTTTCACTTTTCTCTTCGATTCTTGTTTTACTCCAATGTTCAATTTTAGTGCTTCTCTAAATTTCTGTCAGTGGAAGTATATCGGGAAATTCTGAGATTGCCGTTATCCATTCGTTATGAACTTAGGTATCCGAGCTTAGAACTTAATTAGCAATGATGACTTATTTGTTTGGCTTCTTAGCTGGCAGAATCTAGCGCGCAATAGTGCTTTATTACACGAGTGCTTTTGTTTTAGCAGTAAGACCGCGAGCAGAAAATTCCTTGTTGGCTCCTTTCGCCGCTGAAAAGCACTTCCATACTCTGATCTCACTATAGCTACGCAGGCTACTTGTTTGATTTTGTTGCCTTCTGATCTGGATCTACAATACTGACTAAAACCTTGCAAGAAAGAAGCCACAACAGGCACACTCCTCATCTCCTGTGTTTTGGGTCATTTTGCAATAGTTAAAGCTGAAAATTGTTTCCCTATCTTGGCAGGGTGAGAAAGACCGTAACATCATGGACGTGCATAACTTTAGTCTGGTGATCCCAACACTGGAGTATCACAACCGTACGTGGACATGGCATGATCTGCTGATGGCCATGAAGAGAGACTGTAAAGATGTGCTTTTATCACAGGTCAGGCCTACAGCTCAACAGTTTTTGAACAGTTTACTAGCCAGGATAGTTTCCAATATCACGCTTGTTAGAAAATTGGCTTGAGTTTTCATAACAAAAAAAAAACCGAAGCAAACTCCTAGTAGAAAACGAATCGAAAATCATTTTCTCACACTTTCGCACACTCGACCTCTCCCTGCCTCGTACCCAGACGTCTCTCTTTTGATGAAAATGTCCGCGCAAAGGAAGGCGGGAAGGAGACAACGGGCTTCGCCTGCCGTTTGTACCCTTCCCATGGTCCCTTGTGGTTCATCACCAGTCACTCGTTTCGCGCTCGCCTCTGCCATGCGAAAAACGAAGCGCCGAAGGAGCAGGCTGCGACCTCTCCACTACAGCCACTTTGGGGACAGGGGTAAGTGGCGTTTTTAGGGAGGTAGCCGTTAAGGAGAGATGAAAAGTAGCCTGCTTGGCAGGCGTCGAAAACGGGGGAGGATTGGCTAACAGCGGGCGCTCTCATTCCCTCGTTTCCCTTTCGAGTTTTTCTTCCCTCCTCACCTCTCCCCTTCTTGCGACTGTCATGCCCATGTAGGCTAATATAAAGCAAGAGTCAATGTACACATCGGCTGAAAAGCAAGTGGCCGTAAAGATGAGGCGACTGTCAGTTCTACTCTATTAATCTCGTTTTTCTTTGTTTTGTGATATTACACATCCTCTTTTCATACAAACACATTGATAAGAGTGTTTACAACAGTTCCGGTACTTGTGTGGTGAAACGAAAAGAAAAAAGTCGGGAAACGTTTCTCTGAACGTCGCTGAATTATAGTGACTTAGCGAAGGGGTTGAGGATGACCTTAAAAGAAATGGACATTAGTTGATGTAATTAGTGATGTGTATGTGAAAATATTATGAAACTTGGAATGATTGGGAAAGTATAAACAAATGCACTTTATTTGAGTGTCAAAGTTTTTAGCACAAAAGGTACTAATTGAGGACACTATTTTTACGTCTCCTACTGGAGACGGGAACACCATTTTATGTGGTGCATCCGAGCCACCCGAAAGTCTAGCCGTTTGCACGCATGGCAAAGGTAGTAGCTTCATTTCTCGGTACCCTGAGTATTAGTCCGGCTCCGGGAATCGAACCTGTGACCTCCCGCTCTACAGTCAAGCGCTCTACTGACTGAACTAATCCTGCTGCCGTTTGCCTTTTCTTTTCTAGGCCATTAAAGAGAAGCTTCATCTTGCAGGCGGACACGGTACCGAAACCAAGGAATCCAAGTCTCAGGCCAAGTTAGTTTACACTGTTTTGGTGTTCGACTTCTCACTTCTGATAAGTGACTTGACTAGTATACTTTTCTTCTGGTTTTTTGCCTGTTCCAAGCGTTCAGAAAATGGGGAGCGAGTTAAATCGTGAGCGGCGAGCGAAAGAGGAGCTTGAGAAAGAGAAAAAGAACGAGGGGAGACTATTTTTCCCTCGTCAATTTTTCGCCGGCGCTCTACTATCTGAACGCCTGGAACAGGCTACTCTGTCTTGGTTTCGCAATCCATCAAGAGCTGTTAACGCTGGTTTGTGATAGCAATAGAGTCGGAGTTGGAGTCGGAACGGCTTAAGCGGATTCATAATATCGCCTATGAGCTAGTGATAATCATAAATCTGGGTGTAATTAGTAGACTATACAGTGATCAGAACGCCGGAATCACTAGATCGTAAAGCCCTACGCTTCTGGTTACGACTCCAGTGGCTGATCCAGTCCTTCAGATAAGGGAGGAGGGGGAGGGGGGGGGTTGGTCTCAAAAACAATTTTGTTCGGCCCTTCGGGCCTCAGTCTGTTCAAAAATAAGGGGGGCAACGGACCCTACCCTGGATCCACCACTGAACTCCTACTCTCACTCATCTTCGCTAGTGAAACTAGTGCGGCTCAAGAGTGGAAGGTGATGAAAGTTAGGATACCGTTACAGGGAAATGTGAAGTGACATTATTCTCTACTTCCCCTCCCCTGTCGTTCAGCCGAGACCCAACTCTCTTGGCGGGGGCCTTTGATTCACTGAGTCCTTCTCGCCCCATGCTCCCACCAGATTTATACCTGTTAGCTGCTATGTTTTTATTTACATTTTCCCATTTTCCTTTAGAGAGGAAGACAAGGCACGGATGTTACTTGGAGGCTTTGTAAGTTAGCTAAATCATTTTTCATCCAGCTATAGCCTATTTTATTTAAGTGTCCAGGAGTTATCTCATAGAAAGAAAGGATCGTTGTTTAATTTCTGTAGCAAACATCCCTTGTTTAAATCGAGAATCCTCCAATTCTTTACATGGAAAGTTTGTTCCTCACACAGAGCGTTGTATCAGAGCTCTTTTTATGATCGTACACAGTTTTGCCGCAGCAGTGAACGTGCACCACAATATTTGTCTTCAGCCAGGTGTACACGTGCAAATACGCGTGGTGACAAAATACTTTGATATAGGGATGAGGGATGAATACTATACTAGTTTCTTCATTACTCAGGAAACTGAACTCCTATGTTTGTGTCAAAGCTAACGAATTGGTTTTGAAGTGTTTTAGTAGTGTTTACGTTGTGTGGATAGTGAAATGATTTGGCTCCGTCGGGGTTGGTAGAAGCTAGTTCAGTTCGTTGCGCTTTCTTTGCATGCGATCTGAGACTAAGAGTAAGTTGAGCTAGAATTCTTTTAGAATGAATTTAAGTTCCCATTTTTTCTACGTTCCAACTCTGTTACCCTCTTATATAACGTTCTAAAATATTAATAGTAATTTTCAATTATTGTTTTAGCAACCAAAAGATCAAGAGAAGAAAAGAAAGAAAAAAATATTCAGTAAATTGGCTAAAGTTACTCTTGGATCAAAACGAAAAGGTACGTGATTTTGCCCGGTCATTAACTTACATTAACTTGCATGGAAATTAATATAAGCCCGCCATAGCCACTGAAATGGCAAGGGCAGTGGTCAAACCTGAACTTGATCCAGTATAAACTCTTGAAACTTCTTGAGATGCAAACCCATAATTTAGGATCGAAATGCGCCAGTTACTTAACACGATGGTGCCTCTAGGTGTTTGAAATTGTCGCAGTCAGTAACATAGTGGCTATCATAAGACAAAGGATACATGAACACTGTCTGATATTGAGCTCGTTTGGGGTGAGGAATGGCTCACTATTGTCTAAGTGTAGTCGCCATCTTTGATTGTTTAAGCAGAAAAAATTGGGTAATAGAAAGTGTGATCAACAGAGTGGCCGTAAAGCTATCACTTGGAATGCCCCTACCTCCTGAAAAAAACTTGCACTGCTTGCTAGCTGACCTGACTTTGAGGACAGTATGCAGGAAACTAACAAACTATTTTCATGTAGGATTGCTGCAACCTGATGGAGCGGGGCCTGAACCCGTGGATTTAGAAGAGGATCAAGATTTTGAGGAGTTTGCAACTTTGGAAAGTGACGCTCGACCGGGACAAGAAGAGGACGATTCTGACAATAGTGATGCAACGTGACAGTTGTAATATTTCTTCCTTGGAGCTGAAAACTTGGATTAAATGCGTGACCAAAGAATCTGGAAGCAATTTCGACTTTGCATACCGGAAAGATCTTAACCAAATGATGAATAGATATCTGGAAACAAACGTAACACTACAGTTTATAAAAACAAGGTGGAAACAAAATAAAGCCGAGTGATAACACTCGACAGTTGGAGACTTGGAAACAAGCATCCTGATTACTTGATGCAGATCGATCTGTAGAGGGTACTAGAACAAGCAATAGCGGTTATTATGGTGGGGTCTCTCGTTCAAATGTTTTGAAACTTAGAAGGTATTCTTAAAGACGTTGAGAGTATAATTTACAGCAAGATAGGGTAATATTTTTTGTTTCAAATTTCATAGCCTCGAATACATGTAAGATACAAAAATATGAAGTTGTTAACAAAATATACTGCCTTTCGCAGGCACCTGGGCTGATATTATAATATTTATGCTTTTATATAGGTGGAAATTTAGAGATTATAGTAGATTGTAAAGAAAAGATGATGTACTTGACTCGCAAAGAAAAGATAAAAGTGAAATATTTACTTCTTTTGGGTGTTGTACTTTGTAATTTCCTGTTTCCGGACCGGACAAAAAGTGCTGTAGGGGTACCGTTTAGACTAGGTGGGTCATGAATTGGTTGTTTCCCCCACGGAAATATTCGCGACGAGAGATTTGACCATTTGAAATCGACTGTCATAGTTGGGCGAATGGACGTATATGGGAGACAATTAGCTTCAGTGGTTTTCTGGGCGAATTACTTTTGCGCCGCTCTCATGGTATGCTTCGATCACTCTTGCATGTCTCAGTTATATACGAAGAGCGGTGATCATGCGAGACCTGTTCTCCCTGTTCGATTTGTTTAATAGTTATACGACGATCTTTTCAATAGTTCTTCACCTTGTATTTTCCGTCGTCATTTTTGATGAAAATTTCTGCATGGTGCTCTGAAAGTTGTTTGTTCGATTCTGCATTATATTTATCAATTTGTATGCTCGGTATGTGGGGTTTAGATCATTGTTCACTGCAAACAGCGTTTATTGGTTTCATTGAGTGAATAAATCATCGGAGCAGTGAGTGAGTGAGTAAATGAAATTTAACTCCATTTTCAGAATTAGACGCTCTTGACCTAAAATGAAAAACTCATGGATTGATATTTTGTATTTTGCTAAGCGTTTTTACGTTGATTTTCATTCATTATTCAGATATTTTTCGGTGTCAAATTGTTTCTTGTCACCGGTGCTCTAGAAGACAACAAAACTCGAGGAGCGTTAATTTAAAAAATCCGAATATTGTGAAAAACCTGACTTCAAAACTTGCAGTCCATGTAAGGAAGGGTCACCAGTTTTCCTCCTTACGACCGGCCCTTAAGACCTTTCTTGGGGGACCTGGGAATGAGCTTCTCCAAATATGGGTATGCCATTGTATGGCGGGAAATTCTCCTGTGAGCATGTACATCTCAGTCATCTCAGTTGTTTGTCGCACGTCTTGGATCCATAAATTTCGTCTAAATCAGCTTTTTAGTTAATAAATCATCGGGAAAACAGCGGTTTTCTTAGTTATGGAGAAAAGGCCGGTAAGTGCAAATATGTTTGCCTGTAGAATCAAGGTCAAGTAATGTAACCGAATAATTGCCACAAATTATTTAGAGTATGGATAAAAATCGATCCGGCATGGCCGGGATGTTCATATCATGTCTGATAGCAAATCAAAACTTTTGTAAGCGGTGCCATAATATAAGAATGTCATCTGTTAGGGATCCGGAAGTAAAAGGACATAAGAAATAAGTGAAATAAGTTAGTAGACAAAAGTTTTTATGAAGCAATTTTATTACGTGAAAATTTAAACTTACTTGGTTCTTCTATAAAAGTGTTTCATGAATTGTAAAAATTTTGTAATTTAAAATTGCATCTCATTACCACAGTTATTTGGATTAATACATGTTAACTTAATCTTAACTTATTTCACTCTTTGTTGTTGTTGCCGCTGCCGTTTAACTTCTGTGGGAAAAGGTTAAGCTTATGCGTTGCGCATTTGAAAAGCTTACACTTCGACTGAATTGATTTTAATCAAAATTTGTTGAAAACAAACATTTAACCTATTTAATAGCTAAGTTACATGTAACCCTGAATTATGTATGATTTAAACTTAAATACTTTTGATCAAATATCAGTCATTAATGCTCCCTAAAAGTTGAATTACCAAATGCCATTTTCAAAATATAGGTAGAAAAACAAAGACAACAAAATTAGGACCTACTAATTGCCACCCTGAAGTCATAAAGACCAGCACGGGAAGAAAAATGTAAATGGATGCTCATCATGGTAAGCTTTGGTTAGAAGGAGACTTACATGATGTGGAACATTCATAAAATATTTACAGATCACATTAGACCATTTTTTATCTTTTATTTCACAGAATATTTATTTTACCATGTTTATACTTTGAGTCTCCCAATTCACTTTATATGTAAAATGAAGATCACTTCATCATATAACCATCCCTTTTATCCCTCCATGCCACAGGATTTTACTATTTTCCTAACTGATTAATTTATAACTTAGATTATTTTAAGTGGAGGTTGTTTTGTGCTTTAAACTGACCCGAAGTTATTACTTTCTTATTTTGCAGAATAAATTTAAAAAGATTTATAAAGAGCTTCTAGAGAATCCTGAGAAAAAAATAGTCTTTGACTTTTGTGAACATATCAGGCAGGTAAGGGACATTTAAAAGAAACTGTATCAAGTTCAAATAAATGAAACCCAATAATCTGATGTCAATATTGTCTGTAGTATGTTTAAATGTGTATGGTTTGAACCCAGATGTCTGCCAGAATTAAGTCAATGCCATAGGTAAGTGGAATTTGATTTTGCTGGTAAATGTGGTGGGTACATATATGACATGGTGTGGTGTTAGTTGATCGCTCACTTAACCCTAGTATGAAAATTATGATGAACCTATATTTCAGGTCTCAGTGTTGTTATATATTTGTTCATTACGTTAATATTCTTAACTTTTTTTCTAATCTACAGATGAACATTAAAATCATTTAGGTCAAAATATACCATATGCCTAAATAAGTTTTTGTAAGAACTCCGCTCCCTAAAACTCCCCTATGTGAAAATTCAGCTCTAACATAGTTAGTAAGGTGCTATTCTTGTCACTGATAAGTATCCATTTTTGCAGGAACTGTCTTCAGGACACATAGCTTACTTATCTGCTTGTTTCAAGAATATAACTGATGCACTTACAGAACTCAACCCAGACACCTCAACTTTGGACCAGCTCTTTGGCTTGGACTTGCATTTAATCATACCATTCAAAGCTTTGATTCTTGATGTAGTTCAATAATTAGCAAAAAGATTTCCACTTTTTGCCATTTGATGCGTTATACTATTATCTGTTTAAAGTTCTAATAATTATATACTTTTTAAGTGAGAAAATAGATTTTAATGACTTGTTCCTTTGGTATTTGTGCTTGTTGTTTTCTTTTTGCTACTTTCCTGAAGTGTATTCTGCATCTCTTGAACAAGGAGTTGTCTGCATACCAGATGCTGTAGATCTACTACTTTCATTAACTGGTTTTCTGAATGTAAGTATTGGCACCACTAGTGCAGTGGCTCATCTGTAATAATCAAAGGTCAGACCATTATCTGAGCTAAATTTTTATGTGTTGCACGTACATATAACATTATGCATCCTCAATGAATTCAGCGTAAACAGAATTTCATTGATCAGTGCAGTCCGTTTAATGATGCATGTACTTGACTGTTGAATGATAAATGATATTGGTTTTTAACATTTTCACAGGCTTTATGCGAAAACACTTTGACTGGTGGGTGAATTGATATATTCTTATCTTAAATTTTGTTAAATGCATGAATTCTGAAAATGCTTGAGAAATATATGCCGGGCAGTAACAAATTGTTTTCTCGCCAGTTTGTTCCTATTTTATTAGTAAATAAGCATTAGCAGTACCTGATTTAAAATTTTCATGTTCATGACTGACAAGGTAGAAAAAGTCTGAAAGGAAATATCAAATACTGTGACTGAGACAACAGAATTTAAAATAGATTCAATCCATATTTTTCCTTTAAGACTGTGTCGAAAGATCGCTTTTTTGTGTTCTTTTTAAAACTATTAACCTGAATCATTGTTTCTTGTCAAGGTACAAGATATTTGAAGCTTTCAACACTGAATTGTATATTTGGTTAAGTAGCAACAAAAAGCCAGGAAAAACCCTCTTAATTTAGATCAATAAATTACTCATTTGCTTACTAGCATGTAGAATTTAGGGAAGACATTTTTGAAAAATTGTTTTACATGTTACATGTATTTTACTTTCATACAAGGCAAGACAAAGTTGTTTGAAATGCTGCCAGTCCTGATTCAAGCCATCATCATTTTGAGTGATAAAAGGACCACCCTTCCTCTGAGACTTGATGTAAGTTTTTTTTTAAGTCTGCTCAAGCAGTTTTGGGTAACAGGTCAGTTTAGGTCAGTTAATAAAGTTTTATTAATTATGTATTGAACTTTCAGATATTGAAGCTAACAAATTTGATCCTTGAAGATCTGGATCAACCAAAAGAGCACCCTAACTTTACAGTTGAAGAAATGTATGTTTGTTTATTTTTTAAACAACTTAAAAATAGTTTGTAAAATTATTTAAATTGTAAATCATATACTACTAAATAATAATGTGAAACAACAGAGGCACAAAGTGTCATGCATTGTCAACCCAGCTTTATGGACACTGTTGATCAGTGCACTGTCAATGACTGAAAATCCTACCTGTTGAAACCTTACAATGTGTACAGAAGTGGCAAATGACCTTTGAAACGTCTGGTCTAACATTTAGTCCACCTGGCTGAGTTGCAAACTAAAAGTATCAATATAAAGCCAGATTCCATTGTCGTTTTTCAAGAACAAGACTTGAAAGGTACTCCAGATTGAGACCATGTTAGCTTTAGTCTTCATATGGATAAAACCTGTCTCTGTGACTTTCTTTCTGACAGCCAGACATCCAGGTAATACGGACATTATATGGCATGTCCCTTTCATGTCCAATTATTAACCTGGTTTCCCTGTACCGCACTATTCAGTAGAGTACCACAACTAAGATACCACCACTAAAAATTAAGGACTATACTTACAGTGTTAAGAAAGAGGAAAACTGATACTGGATATCAGTCAATATAACCGTTAAGTTTTAAGAAACTTACAGTGATAAAGAAAGGGACTTATTCCTACTATCACCATCAATCATTAAGGAAGAGCTGTATATATACATATATATTTAAATTTCCCTCTTTCTTAACACTGTAAGTTTTCAAGAAACTGACAGCAATAGAGAAGAGGGTCTTATTCCTTGTTTTGACTTTTCAGTAATTTATATCCATTAACTTATCCCTGAAACAGAACATTAGAACCCAGCACAGTCATTATCAAAAAGAAGTACAGCATAAAATAAGACCTCCTGAGGTGGATATCATTGAAATATTGTCACTGTGCTTTTGGTTTTATCAAGGGGTGGCCTCTAGTAAAGCCTCCTTCTTTCAAATTTGTCCTTTAAGAGAGAGCTTTGAGTGCACATGGAGTAGTTGTGTTTGATAACTGACCTAGATGAACATTTTTATCACACCTTTTACATCCCCTTAGCTTAGAAGGTATTATCAAGTGTCAGCATTGCATTAATGTAGCCTAATAATTAGAAGGCTCAAGCCAAATACTTATATTTCAGTCACATTTCCAAACAAAGACAAAACTTATGCCGTAAATTACTTTCTCTAGAGAAAATAGAATGGAAGATATGCTTGTCTCAGCAGGTGGTAAGTATTAACATTCCATGTTGATGCTTTCCTCATCACTTTATGTTTTAGAATTTAACTATGGTATAAAGATCAATGGACAAACTGCAAAAGAATGAAAATTCAGAAAAAAAAGTTCTAGGAAAGTCTCTTTTTTTAGGTATTTTACTAGGGAGAAAAAATAAATCTTTTTCCTTCTCAGTTTATTGGCATATTACTTTTATTCTGCAGATTTTGAATTTCAAGCAGCATTCGTAGAACTTGTCTTTCGCCTAATTCCATGTGATATCAGGCAAGCAAAGGCCAAGGAATATTTCCGCATTGACTCAGTATCTCAGGCTTTTAGTGATATCCTCAATGAAGAATTTGAAGCAGTGAGTAAAAAATGAATGTATTTACAAGTGTAATTCTTTAATGTGAAGTAGGTTTGTGAAGTGAAATAAATATAGATTGAGCAATTCCAGTCTGATATGAATTTCAAAAATACCTCATTTGACTCGTATAATCATACATATGTACACTAACGTTTAATATCAGGGCTGTAACTATGATTTCAAGTTGATGGGTAAATGCAATTGTTGAGCTGGGAAACAGCCATGGGGCCCTTTTTGGTTCGATATATTTTCCTTGTGTTTCTCAATAAAGTAACCAGGGATCATTCTCAGAGCACCCGAGGGTAATTCGCAGCCCCCGGCCCTTAATGACAGACCCAAGTATACTAATTTATAAAATTACTTTTAAAAATGTTTGATTCACAAGTTTTTTTGTTCCTGTTTACTTTAGGGCTGTCGCAACTTTATTAACACTCTCAATCAGAATCATCAAAGGTATTTAGTAGAATTAGGGTTATATACTTGAGTGCAAAGGTCATTTAATTATATGTGTTGAGTATCTTTTCAAAGAACAAGTTATGATTATGAGCATTTAGGAAACTTTGAGGTGAATTTTGGATATGTTAGCCATTTATTCAAAGTACATTGGTTTACCACTATCCCATTCTGGCATACTTTGCCCGGTTTTGATGCTTGTTTTAGAAAGAAAGCCATCTTATTTTCTTCCGTCATGATGCCAAACTAGTAGTTTGTTAACTATGACAGAATAGTTTATCTTGTGATGACCTTGGCAATCATCCGACAGGTACAAGTTGCAGTTGGTAAATATGTTAACTTTTCTTCCTGAGATTATCACTGTTAAAGGCTGTTCTCCCTGTGCAGAAGTAATGAACCTGCAATATTCCAATTAAATCAGTCTTGCAGTAGTCTTTTGTCACCCAGAGTCAATAGTTAGTCAACTGTTAGTCACCAGATGCCACTTGCTGCTGCAAGGGTCTTAAACTTACTGGGAAAAAAATGAAGGTACTGGCTTTTCCCTCAAAACGGCTTTGCTTGGGTTAGATATCCATGTGAAAAGGCCTTGCCCTTGTCCCAGTGCCTTCAGTACTGAGTAGATCTAAAATCAGTGTTCTCAATATTGTTGTACTTTGGTATATGTGCTTAATGCATTGACACTTAAAGTATTCTTTTATGAGACTTTAGTACTGCACACATTACAATATCCAAAACATGTATCTCCTTTGCATTTTCTTTAGTGTGATGCCACTTCCCTGTTATTCAGCTACGTTTGGTACATCAGAGGTAATATAGTGATATAAACGGCTTTTAGTTCTAATACTTCTGCACAATGCAAACTCATGGAGTGTGTAATCTTTAGTGTTTTGTAGGCGTGCTTCGTATATTTTTTGTTGTTGTTGATTGAGAAGAAGCACATAACAAGTAATTTATTGCAACAGTAATAATATTGTAAGCTACAGAAATATTCTATTTTATAGGTTCATAAACCAGTGGATAGTGGCATAAATGACTTTTGGGTAGATTTCAACTTTGGAAGTCAGTGTATTTCCTTGGTCATTCAGGAGACGCCACACAGTCAGGATAATGAAAAGGTTTTGACGCAATTTACACCCTCTACAATTTGAATGTTTGATATATAGGATTAACATGTTTGACTATGTATGTAGTGTTAAATAGACTCAGACAGTATAAAGAAGGCGTGAAAAAATATTTCTCATATTCATGCTGTCTGAAAAAGAATACATCGGTTTCTGTGTCAAACTATCAGAGACTCCATCATATCCTTGTCGCATCTGACATGCATGGCCTTATTCTTTATTCTTTTCTGGTTTGATCATAATTTAGTTTATTTGTTTGTTTTTTGCTTTCTTTAAATAGGAAGGTGGTGGCTCTTGGGAAATTGTGGTGATAAAAGGAGACAACGTTGAGGATTATCGTCTTGCAGGTGATCCAACCGATCCATTACGAGATATAACTAGGCGAACCTACTGAAATATTTGACGAAATTGAGAACAATTATCTTCTGGTTAAATCACCTTCAATTCTTTGCATTCTGGTTTCAGAGATCAAACACGATGAGGTTGCCCTGTTATTGAAACTGAACGTTCCGGCCGCGGACCTCGTATGCTTCCTACCTCGCAATCCCAGCCAATACATCAAAATTTCTTTTAATGTTGATTATATCCTTTTGTATGTCATGCTGCACTCATTCTGATACGTTTTGTGATTTTTAGATAATTTTCTGTTTCAAGTAGCAGCTATAAAATAGTCATTTTTTTAGCTGTCATTTTTTTCAAGCTAATGTAGGAAATATTTTACCCAGGGTTACGTTTGGAGCAGTTTTTTATTGTGTTCATTATATATTATTATGGATTCATGCATACTTCAGTTTTACTTATCTTTTTTACTTGTACATGTCGAAACATTTTTACAGTAAATCTGAGGCGGGGTTTGACCAAAATGTTAAGAACATGCTGTGAACATAAGCGTGGTACTTTTGCATACCGGTACGTTTTTGTTGTAGAGGAGAATTTCTATCGCGCTAATTTTCTCTGTCATGAAGTAACTGTAACAAAAATTGTCACCACACAGTGCGTCGGGTATTGTTAGCTATTTGTCGCAACAAGATGTTGCTTTACAGAGTAATGAATAAAGCCCCGTGCAAACGGACGCAACAATGTTGGCCAGCAACTTCCAACATTGTTGGATGTTACACTTTGCGTCCTTTTGCACATGTTGTTGCGCGTTGTTGGGAGTTGTTGCGCAAAGTTTGAAACCGGTCAAACTTTTCGCTACGTGCAAACGGACGCAACAACTCCCATCATCATTGTTGGGCATCAGTGTTGCACTTGGACGTTGCTTAACACTTGCATAGCCCTGTGTAATTGGACACAGCATTGTTGGCCAACAATTTCCCAACATTGTTGGATGTTACATGTTGCGTCCGTTTGCACATCCTATTGCATGTTGTTTTCGTTTTTGCGAGTTGTTGCACAATGTTTGATACCGGTCAAACGTCTAGCTACGGGCCAACAATGTTGGGAGTTGTTGCTTCCGTTTGCACGGACCTTATGCGTAACATTTATCAGCCACAGTTGATTATCAGTATCACGCCTTGACACTATCAACATACTTCCAGTTTGACTGATGCGTTAGCAAAGATATTCGGTAGACCAGCAAAAAGGGTTCAAAACAGTGGTGGGGAGTCAGATACAAGTTCAACTGCTAACAAAGCTTCCGTAGCAATTAATCCTGTGCATATACGAAGCAAGAAAACAGAAGTGACACATGTTATGCCAACCGCCAGTATAATACTCCAGGTGAGGTCTAGTGCTTCGAATCTTTCAATTTTTGAAAATTTAAACTCGATTTTTAGTACTTATAAATTTGTGAGGGGTGATATACAAAATGCGAGTTGAGTGTTTCATTTCATTCTGACATTCATACCAGGGCTCGCAAAAAGTCCCATCGAGTAGTTCGGGACAGGTAGCTTTTCTTGCTGAGCAAGTAACTTATAAACCTTACTCGCCCAATGGGCAAGGCAGTGGCGGATCCAGGGGAGGGGCCTGGGGAGACCAGCTCCCCCATTATGTTTAGGCCAAAATGAGGCCCAAAGGGCTGAAGAGACTGCCCCCCCTTAACTTAGAGTGTGGATGACCGCCCCCCTTATCTGATGGTCTGGATCCGCCACCGCAAGGGTCCAGGCAAGTCATCTCCTACCGAAATCATTAGCTAAGGGCGCTTTCCAAAAGTCAGAACTAGCCGGACTAGACATTTTGGCAATGAAATAGGCTTTTCCCAAGAGGTTTTGCTGAAAAACCATCTCCTTTGTGCATAATATTTAGGATTTGACTGATTTTGATTAAAAGCGAAATTCTCGTAACGATGGGAATACTGGCTGGCCGGTCACTTTTGACAAATGAAAAGCGCCCTAAGACGAATAGGAAGTGGCCCCGGCCGGTCAAGCAAATGTGAGAGCCGCTTGTTCAAAGGACAAGCTGGAGTTGAGGTTCTTTTTCGAGCACTGTACACTCGGCGACCCACGGACAGCTAATCAGTTGCCGGTTGCAAACTTTGCTTGCAATTATGTCGTCCGTAAATAATCTTGCTGAGCAATCACAAAACAGTACATGTTTTAGGCAGAATTGGCGTGAAAAGGGAGTCACGTTCCCAGCGGAGGGAACGAATTTTGTTCTTGTCAACCAACGTGGCCGCCGTGTCCTCAGCTGCAAACCAGCAATTCCCGGCCGATTAGCTGCACCTGTGGGGACTCCGCTGTTTAATAATTGGAAACCCAGAAGTGGGTTGAAAACATCATGTTCTGTCGAGTTTTTAGTTGTATATCGAGTAAAACACTCTTAAGAGCGAATGCACAGAAAAATCGAGCAAAATCGGCAAATCGTGGCCACAGCTCAAAACCTAACTTACCCTCATTTTCAGTCTGTAATAAGGTTTTAATGAGTTTTTAACACTGCTGAGGTTTAAATTTCAAACTGCGACCGAGTTTGGGAATTATTTGAGATTTTCGATTTCAACGGTCTGCGGGCCTAAAATTAGCCGCCGAACTCGGGAAAATAGCCCAGTGACAGAATTGAGCTGATTTTTAAAAACCAGCGAATATATTGGCAATCTTCCACTTTAATCTCAAAAAGCAGATATCTAACAATTTCTGAACGGCACATTTTTTAGATTTAGAGAATAGAATATAGACGAACCAGCAGAATTTTGAAACGTAATTTGCATAATGCTTATACATACAACAATTTACCGCTAAAACAAAAATCGAATTTTCTATATGGGGGAATTCTCCAAATCACCCCAAATCCCGCTTACTACCTAATGAGATATGGTACTTCAACATTATCTGAAAGTTAGTCTGGTGTTCTTGCGAACGCTTGTAAAATAGACTGATTATTTTGAGGTTATTTCGCCCCAAACAACCGCTAATTGACCCCAGGGTCAATTGACACGTGCACGTCACCTTAGTTTTATGCGTCGATTTGAGCTCGTTAAAAGGGAGAAACTAACAAGATTCTTTCAATATGTACCTGTTTTAATGAAATACACGCAATCTTCAAAAGGAGAGGCCGTTCAATGGGTAATTTCTGTTCTTGAGATCTTGTAGATTGCAGCATGGCGTCTGCGAGTGGACCTGAGTCTAGGTCTGTTTTCCCGTGGCTGCGAAATCAGAATAACATCAAGAAATAACTCTCCCTCGAATCTTCGTAAGTGAATCAGCTTTGCAGTGCCTTACCTGAGATAAAAAGTGGGCCGAAAAGCAAACATTTCTAGCGCAATTTGGATCCTTTGTGGAACGCAGTGTATTGCAGAGCGAAAGGTGAGTAAACGTGGAAAAGTACGTTACCTTTGATTGCGTGACCAGCCAGTAAACGATAGTCTCCAGCGAAAAATAGGATTCGCAAAAATCTTGCTGATGTATATTTAACAGTTTGTTACTATAAATTTACACCTGGTTTGTCTAAAACTTTAAACAATGCATATCTGTCCAAGAGTATAACAATGTTTCGAAAGATCCACACCCTAAATATCTGTGGGCTACTCCTTTTTCCCCATCACCGATGTGAACTTCCTTCCTACTGTCTTTTGCATGAGGCTTGTATGCCTTTTTAACTGTTATCGACACTTAAAACTGGCCGTTTAAGGCCTGGTTTAAGAACTTGACTGACTTAAAAAACCGTCGCGAATATGCGCTATTATTGTTGGACTTTGGAAGCTTTAAGCCCAAAATGATGGTGCAATCTCGAGAAATTTGCCCGGGTCTAATTATAAGACAGGGAACGGTTACTAAGAAAGGGACGATCTCATTTAGCAACCCGTGGACAATCTGGGCATGCTTGCCTTCTGTCGCAGGGGCAACCGTTAAGGCCAGGTACGCCACCCCCACCCGAAAGGATTGCATGGCATCCACCATTTTTCAGTCGCTTTTTCTACATCATGACCTTCAATTATCATGAATTATAATGCGGGCCTTGATCGTTGCCACCTTACCAGAAGTCTAATCTTCGCACTGTTAGACCATGAGAATCTCTATTATTATTCTATAAATGCACCATTGACTTTTCCTTGCTCAGCTTCCGGTAAACCGATACTCCGAAGCAAAAATAGCTTTACAACGACTCTATCAAGGCCAGAACTCCTGATGTCAACAAATATACCCCCCCTAAAGAGAGCAAACGTTCCCCGAACTATTCACTTGACCCACCCCATCCCTTCGTTAAGAAACACTACGCACTCAGTTCACTGGACAAAACGCGCTCGTGAATATACCAAACTATAGCCGTTCATCCTACAAGCAATCTTAGTTTCAGCAGGCGTGGCCACGTTTCCAGTTGCTGTAAGATTAATTCGACACCTGCAACAGACACTGTAAATTAAATAGCAGCCACAACGCCCTTTTTGAAACAGTCAGGACGAGAAAGTTTATAAAAGAGTTAACAGGTGTGCGCGGCGGTTTCCTATTCTTCCTTCCCTCCCATTGTAGCACTCAAATTCTGACCCTGATATTAATTCTAGTAGTAATCAATCGTTCCTGAACCTATAGGCACAAGGATACTAGTTTCTTGCAAAATATGCCTTCGGCCGCTGATTAGGTTTGGTTCTGTGCTTTGAAATAACTTTAGGAACGAAACATGATACGTGAGGGGCGTGTCCGGCTAAGGGCAAGTGACTCTCGGTGGTGAAGACATATACTGAGCTTGTCAGTATTTCGTAGCCTGTACCACGTCGCGAAAATAGAACAAGCCAAAGAAAAGTAAGACGCCTTTCTTTCCCCAGCCCCGCAGGTTTTTTTGCATTACTTTTTACTGCACTGATTCTACCTTTTCGAGCCGGAGCGAACATGGACGCCCTTGGGGTTAAGTTTCCACTTCATTTTCGGCACCTGACTAAACGCAAGCGCTGACTTGTGCGCCTATGCTTCGTTTGCACTGAAGTAGTAGTATATGACCACGACAGACTTGCTGCTATCCTCGGTTTGAAACCGCAATGGGCAAGAACAATTTCTTGAAAACAGCAAACTATTTAATTTTCCTCCTAACCCTAACCCAAAAAAATAATGTTTGCTGGAAAATCACTTAATGGACATACAATAGCAGAGATATCATGCCTGTAATTTTCTGTTCAATGCACCTTATGACAAGTCTGACTAATCCACTGGTAACCCATGCCTTAAAACCGCCTTGAATCTTAAAATTTAATCCATTTGCCTTTCATGCGTAGTGGTTGGGGGTAAAATCAGAAGAACAGAACATTCAGTAAGTATGTTTGCTAATCATCTTAGTTAACCGCCTTTAAAATAGGAAAAAAGGACACCTGGTCATACAGGAAAATGAGTTCACTGTATCCCGAAAGCTTTGGTTTCCCGTGCACTTATTTTTCGCAGGAGAGAATCGATAATTGCCTGGTCACGCAATCGGAGGTTAGTAACTAATTTTAAAAAAGTCATTGATACCATCGCCCCTTAGCAAATACACTACGTGCTGCAAAGGATCCAAATTGCGCTTATAGAATGTTTTCCTATTCGGCCCACTTTTTATCTCAGGTAAGGCACTGCAAAGCTGATTCATTTACGAAGGTTCGAGCGAGAATTATTTCATGATGTTATTCTGATTTCGCAGCCACGGGAAAACAGACCTAAACTCAGGTCCACTCGCAGACGCCATGGTACAATCTACAAGATCTCAAGAACAGAAATTACCCATTTAACGGCCTCTCCTTTTGAAGATTGCGTGTATTTCATTAAAACAGGTACATATTAAAAGAATCTTGTTAGTTTCTCCCTTTTAACGAGCTCAAATCGACGCATAAAACTAAGTTGACATGCACGTTTCAGTTGACCCTGGGGTCAATTAGCGGTTGTTTGGGGCGAAATAACCTCAAAATAATCAGTCTATTTTACATGCGTTCGCAAGAACACCAGACTAACTTTCAGATAATGTTGAAGTACCATATCTCATTAGGTAGTAAGCGGGATTTGGGGTGATTTGGAGAATTCCCCCATATAGAAAATTCGATTTTTGTTTTAGCGGTAAATTGTTGTATGTATAAGCATTATGCAAATTACGTTTCAAAATTGTGCTCGTTCGTCGATATTTTATTCTCTAAATCTAAAAAAATGTGCTGTTTAGAAATTGTTAGATATCTGTTTTTTGAGATTAAAGTGGAAGATTGCCAATATATTCGCTCGTTTATGAAAGTCAGCTCATTTCTGTCGCTAGGCTATATTGCCGTGTTCGGCGGCTAATTTTAGGCCCGCAGACCGTTGAAATCGAAAATCTCAAATAATTCCCAAATTCGGCCGCATTTTGAAATTTAAACCTCAGCAGTGTTCTAAATTCATTAAAACCTTATTACAGACTTAAAATGAGGGTAGGTTAGGTTTTGAGCTGTGGCCACGGTTTGCTCGATTTTTCTGTGCATTCGCTCTTAAGAGCTATTTGTGTGACTTCTGAAGTGATCGATGGTGCTACAAAGAAAATTCAATGCCCTATACTTTTGGTCGTGGTTTCCATTTGTTCTTCTTTTTCATGAATCATTAATGAGTTTGGCAAAACAATTCTAACGATTCTAAAACTACTTTTTAGACTTTCCATGATATATCACTACACGTCTTGTTTTGGAACGTTTCAATTGTAGCCCTAACTGGAAGGGTCTTTTTCCTCATCTTAGCTTTCTGAAAGTACAACGGACCATGACGAAGAAAATGTTCAAATGCAGGAAAAACCTAGTGGAAGAATTAGTGGAGATAACGAGAAACCTGAACGAAATAGTACTGACAACCGCCCGGTAAACGACGTCACCTCAGACAATGATGAAGCTGAACATGAGGTAAAACTTTATTACACAGTATGAATGTATGTGTGTGAAGCGGAAAACTAGTCTAACTTGTGAAGAATTAACTGATATACTGCTCTTGTTCAGATTGGTCAAACACCTCTCGTTTATTCTTTATTTAGATATGTTTCTCCAGACTCGTAGAAGGTATTGTAGGTTATATACACAAAAACTAAAAATAACGACAAAAGTGTCGTGCAAATCTCACGACAATTCTTGAACAGTTTTCGTACTTCTTTTTCTTTTTATATGTTAAGCCTGTGGGGAAAAAAAAAACGAAACATAATATGTTCACTACTTCGACCTCCTTGTATAACTGTTTGCCTTTCTATTTTCTTCTTCTTAAGGCTGGTGATACTTTGAATGACGATCACTCAGTGAACGAAGATGAACCCCTGAAAGGCCCAAAGCAAGATGAATCTTCGGCTGGAAGTGAAGATGAAAACAACGATGCATGGAAACAACGTTTGGAGCAAACAGTGCGTAGAGATGAATCCGAAAAACGTCCTAAGCAAGCTGAATCTTTGGCAGCAAATGAAGAAGAAAACAAAGATGCAGAAACTACAGAAAGAAAAAAACCATCCACAGTACCTGTAAAGCGGATTTCTGAACGTATTCGATCGCGAGATAATCTGCAGTCAGTACAGGTAAGTCAGGGTCCTCTTAATTCAGTGGTAACCATCTGTTAGCTAGTTTATTTTGACAGCACGGATAATAGGTAGATCATATGGCGTATAACACCTGTAACCCCCTCATGCATGTTCTTCTTCGTGACATTTGCTCGGGATCTATTCCTTTCCATCAGTCCTCCTAAGATGTCTTCCTTCAATCTGTGCAACCGTTGAGTAGTGTAGTAGGGATGTATGGTACCCATTTTCTGAGCGAAAAATTGGCTGACATAAGGCGCCAGGTCACCGTGCTAGTTTAGGCCTTTCAGTGATTTGCAAACGGTAACTAAAATTAATGTAATATCCAAATAAATGCTTTAGACTCTTGAAGAAATTAATCAGGCTACTGAAGTTAAACAGTCGATTTAAATGTTCTTAAAACATAGCCAGTCTTAACGTCCTATTGATGCTGACAGTTTCGATGACTGTCAGCCATCTTTATCAAAACTTGAAAAACATTAAAAGTGTCAGAAGCCTTAAATAGGCTTCTGAAGGTGTTAATTATTGCGATAAACGCGCAAAGTCACTCTGTAGACGCCCCCTCCCCCCCCCCGGTTTGGGGGTGGAGATCACTTGTGTCCATATGGGAGAAAGCTGATAGGCTCCCTCGTCCCTGTTCATAGTAGGAGTGTTCGATCTAATACATATGCTTTCCTTGATCCATCGCTTAAACTTGTCGCTTTCCAGTTCAACCATTTCACTTGCTTCCCAATTCATAATATGAATTTTCTGACAGACGTGGTCTGTTATGGCTGATTTATGGTGTTCATTAGTAGAAGCTCTGCGGGTGGATCTTGTGAAATTTCTGTCAGAAATTTAGATGGCTGATAGTCATCGAAACTGTCAGCATCAATAGGACGGTAAGACTGGCTATGTTTTAAGAACATTTAAATCGAATGTTTTAGACTGTAGGAGAATGCAAAAGATATATAAAGAAAAACGGATTGCACTTACCTGAACTTGAAAAACAGCAACCGCTTTTTTCCATTTTGTCTCAGATCGTGTGAATATGTGACTAATAATCCTTGGGAATAATCTTTGTTTGTTATATGGCGCTGATTTTGTCGATGAAAAGCGCTTCGTTTAGTAGTTTGTTGTTTAAATCTCGTATTCAAAGAGAATAGGCAAAGTCATCGAAACCTTCTTACCCTTCCAAACCTCTTGAATCTAAAGTGTCTGTCTGTGCTTTATATTTTGTTGTTAATTCAGCATTCTTCAGAGGAGGATAATAAAAAAGATAGAATGAGGAGGAAATCGTTGCCATCAGCTTTTAATGTCAGTGGTAGACTGGCTGCCAGTAAACAAAAGACCATGCCGACTAAATCTTTGTCAGAGGCTGCAAAGAGTCGCAGAGCTATCAGAGAAAAAGTGTTTGCCAAGGCACGCCGCTCCCCTACACGTATACAGGTAAGTGTAGGTCAATAGACTGATTGACTTGCTTCCAACATTTTTAAGATCCAAAGTGTCTTAATTTTCTTTTTCACACTTATTCAGTTAAATAAGAGAGTAACAACAGTATATTTGGTAACCAGTCAGGAAAGACTTAAAGGTATTTTGACCCAGTTTCCCGTGTGATTTCAAATGAAAGAGTAGGGAGTTACCTTAGAATACAACACCACACAGTGGTCAATAGTCATATTGTGATTTAATCTACCAATGCATGTATCCCATAGACTGATTCCCATGGAAGCGATTAGTCCAGTTTGCTAAAGCGTTACATCCTTTCATCACAAATGATCTTGAAGCTTCAATCATACACATGCATGATCTTATTAGACTAAACAACAGCCAGAGGAATCTCTTACAACACTTCTTATATTAGCTGTGACTGATTATTACTTTGTGATAATATTTTGTTCTAATTATCTAACTGAGGGAGCCCATTCCTCATAAGCCCGGTGGCTTCTCTTGGGCTTCCTCGCCATGAGAGTTTAAGTAATTAGATTTTATTTGATTTGTACAATTTTTGGCAAACAAAACAATAAACAATAAACAATAGGTTGGATCCAATTTCATGCCAACTTGTGTCCATACTTGTGAAGCGGTTTTAGTTGTAGACAAAAGTGGTCTTCGTTTGCTTTACATGCATACATAAATGTACTTTTCTAAAGTGTCGGAAAATAGCTAAGAAGCTAATTGGGGACAAAAATTCCTATCTACACATACATTAAAATAATACTCATCTGAATATGTACATTAAAATACAAAAATTGAGATTAATGGATATTTATGTACAATAAAATATAAACATTGAAATATATGAATAATTTGATCACTTGCATATAAATTTCATTACAGAAAGTTAATTATGTACCACAAGTCTGACTTTCCTATCACATCCTCACAAGCAGTATGCTACTTGGGACGCTTCTATTCTTTGACTTTTAAATAATTTGTCTACGAAGAACATGTAAAAAAAAAGAAAAAACAAAGAAAACTCCCTAAACTGAAAATGAAATAGTAGACAAAACACGATTTACAAACTAAATGTCTAATTATGTTTTATACACATTGTTATAGGACTAATAGGAGCAAAAAAAGGTTTTGTTAATGACTGATATAAATCATCGGAAAAGGCTTATAAGGCCACTGAAACACAAGAGCAAATTATGCCATAAATTTGATAGTAAATAGATTTCCATATGTAAATAATAACTATTATCCCCAAGTGGCATAAAAACTGCTCATGAGGATGTGATAGGAAAGTCAGAGATCTGGAATATATTATCGTGCGAGAGGGTTTTCATTGCAGTTGAAAATTGGATGGCGAGGTGTTCTCGAACTAGCCTGCTTATTTCGCCTCAGAACGAGAACCTTTGAACCTAAAAACTGCCAAGCGGTTTCTGCAGATGCTGTGTTTTGTTTTCTTAATATTTTTGTCGAAAATGAACGGACAAATGCAGAGTAAGTTGGATAAATAGAATATTTTTAATTTCAACGCGCATGTAGCAGAAAGTTGGTTGTATTAAAGCGCTAACTGTATTCGCCGTAGTTGTTCGATTACTCATTTTCTTCCAACAATGCTTTGGGCAAGAACAACGTTTCAGTTAAGAGGTAGTTTGTCAGCTCTCTTCCGCTATTTGTGCGTTTACGTTCACAAATATGTTAGCCTATCATTTTAGCATTAAATTTGACCAACATTTTGTGGAGCGATTTCTACGGTCACGATTGCCTTCAAACTTGCAGACATAAAACTAGAGAGCTCTGAGGCTTATTTGTCGAAGTTACGCAAAAATCTGTCGTGGGATTTCGAAGTTATTTTCATTTGTCGTAAAAATTAGGTTTTAAATATATCCCGATATCTCAAGCGCTTTTATATCTATAAGAAAATAAATAAAATTTTCTTAAAGTTCCATCATTATTTATAAAGGATGCAAAAAATCGTACAAATCGGTTGAATCTTTCATTCTGAGAAACGCGAATCAAAAACATAACCAACACGCATATAAATAGGAACGGACCACCTTAATATGGTCGTCTTACAGATAGAACTGATTACATTACATTCCTGCTTTTTCTTTTGTTCAACGATAACTTTAGACAGTAACGCGAAAGTTAATCTTTACTGGTTAGCACAAATTAAAATTTTATCGTGCCTGCTATCAATTGTAAGTTCTGCCAGTCCCATGGCGTTGAAATCCAGAGGACTTTGGTTGTGTGGAACTCGGACGGTAAATACCCTGCTTGTACAACAATAGTTTCTATCAATTCTTTCAGAAGGTAATGGAAGTCAAGTATGGTAACAGTACGTTACACATGATGAGCCCGGCAAGACTACGAGAGCCTAGATCTGGTAAGAGAAGAAAACGCATACTCAAAGCTTTACCGATTAAAGGTTATAAACAGAGGAAGGCAGACAAGCCTTTCAGTTATAGTGATGTTTCTTCTTGTAATCAAGGTGATGCCTCAGGTAATGATAATGAAGACATAAGAGAGAAATGTACTGATGTAATTCAGGACTCTTTACCGATTGCTGACAGTACGGAGGTAAGTGGATTTGAGCTAGATAATATCTCAAAAACGGCACTAATCGTCACAGATCCTTTGGAGGATCAAAAGGAGGGGCCAGTGGGCACCTTACTTTTATATGGCCAAATGAGACAGGCCACAGGGCCCAAGCGAGAGGACCCTGGGGACGAGGTTGCGCAGGGCCAAGAAGAATTATTTTCGATGCTGGGTCCCTCTGTTATCCAACGGACTAAATGACCGGGTCTCTAACTTACGTAAAGATCTGAATCCACCACCACCACTGATATCAAACTCTGAAAAGAAAGTTGAAAATACAACGTGTTGTGAAGTATTTTTGACGAATTACGAGGTGTAATGAAACTCAAACACTGTTTCGAGTGCTTGATATAAATTGTTTAACAAAATGTTTTTGATGGTAATTTAAGTATGCAAGTTGAAAAGGAGCAGTATTTTTTATCCAAACACGTCACAATGTTTGATTCTCTATTTGCGTTAGAATTTTTAATGGCGTATTGCTTTGTGTTTAAGAGGAAAACTTGCATATCAAGTGATTTTGTTCTACAGCGCATAGGAGAGCTGAATAAGGTAATGAGAATCTCTCTCTCTTTTTTTTTTTGCTTTCAGGATGAGAGTGGGCCAAAACACCAAGATATTACTGGTGGTAATAAAGGATCCCTAGTTAAGGAGGACAAATCGAGAGCAACAAGACAAAGGATAAACGTTGATATCGCAGTAGCTTCCAAAAACAGCAAAGCGGCAAAAACTCCAAATGGAAAGTTACCTGAAGGACGAAACGCAGGTAAAAACATTTGCACCACGAACTTTACAAGCTGCTCTTTAGGCCTTGCTAGATTTGTTGCACTGAACCCCCTCTAAGCGACCAGTCATTTTTAGAATTTACCCTAAAATAGTTTTAACCACTGACTATCAGACCGGTCGAAAAATAATACTGTCGTCTGAGTATTTAATTTAAAAAGTCATCTTCTGGTCGTCATCTAGTCAAATTTTATACCCACCACCTTCACATCCATTATTTCCTTAGCCGCCATCACTGAAGGCTACATCGCTCTCTGCTCCATTGATAATCCGAAGTTGTTTACGCAACTCCTAGGCAAAATCACAACTGCAGGAAAAATGGCTTAACGTGTCAGCGGAGTAAATGGGAATAAATTTTGGATTGTTCCGGAATTTTCTTTGTTAATAGAATGGAAATAATGACCCGCAAGGTTATTTATTGAGTTTCAACCATGTCTCAGGATTTATGTAACAAATATAGCAAGATATTTTCCATGTATTTATACTGGGGCCTTAAGCAACCCCGACGAGCACAGCAACAAAAACGTGAAAGACAACTAGTTTTGTAAGCAAGACATCAGCTTTACAAGTGCATCCCAATTTTCTGTGACGTCAATGCAACCTTTTATGGAGGATGTCAACACATTTGGACGATTTATGCTTTCTCTTTTTCTACCTGGATAAAGTCATTAAGAGTTTAACTCCAGGCAAATACGTCAGCATTTGACTATTTGAACGAGGTATAGTAAGCGCAATAGAGTTTAAAAGAGTGCGAATTTATTTTTTGTGTCATTTTTACTTACTTCTTCCTCCTGCTTGCCCAAGCGCTCTTCCGTCTGCTTGTTTTCCTTTCTAGAATTAAAAGCAAGACATCAGATAGAGCTTGTTTTTCTTTACAGAGTCTAAACGGATACCCACCAAGAGGAGGCCTACAAGAATGGAAAGGAAACAAAAAGATACTCTACCCATGGCGCAGCCTCAAGACACAGAGTCTGGTGATCAAAATGAGCCAGCATTGAGTGGTAAATTTACCCATTTTTAAAAGCAGATCGTAATTTGTTGTTGCCCTGGTTCCTTGTGTAGCTTCCGTCTCGAATGATACAAAAGTAGAAACATGAAAAACATTTTAGTCATCAAATGTTATTTTTGAAGAAATGACCTTTTGTGCTCGTTATTCTATCTTGTTGGCCATAGAGGATGAGTAGTAAAACTGTGAGGTCTTGTATTTTTAGATGTCAAGAGGAGGACCACAGACCAGAGACGTTCACAAGGAGTGAAAAGAAAATACCAGAAGCAAAAAGAGACTCGTCACTTGGTTGTGGTAGATAGTGACTCAAATTCTGAAGATAATCCTAAAATCCGAAATAAGAAAGTGTCAAGAGGTAAGACTCAATTTGAAAAAAAATTGAAACCAAACTTCATGGCTTGGTTCCACTGTTGTGTTTTATGTACGGAGGCAGCGTGGTCTGCAGGTTATCGCGTCGCATTCGTATTCCAGTGGTCGCAGCTTTGAGTCCCGATCAGACCACTGGTTAGATAGGTTCATGGTCGTCCCGAAGTAGTATGGTGGGGATGTTTTACTCCTATAGCACATGACCTTATAATAAGATAACGATAAAGGGCTATAAAGTCATCGCGTTAATGTTTTCGCCCGCAAGTTAATGAGATTCCCCCGCAAAAAAAGAGGGGGAGAACGTCCCTACCATACTACTTCCCAAGTTCAAATCTTCGGTTTTGAAAGCTGGCTGCCTCCTAACAGCTTAGGTCTTTAATCCTGTTTTGTTACATTAATTGTATTTATTGTCCAAAATAATTTGAGTGGAGTGCCAGTCCACCAGCTAGAGCAGGTAAGCTGTTGCCCACTATATATACAAAGCATTTACCATTTTCCCCCATTTACCTTGGGTAGTATTCTGTGTAAGCGTCAGCTCGACTTGTAAGTGAATTCCTCCAGGACACGCATTTCTGACACATCGTATATCGAAAGGTTATTGGACGGGTAGAAGCATGACAGATAGAATGACGGGCCTCGCTTTAACTTGATACTCTTCTTTCCAGAAGTTAACAAAAATTCTACAAGCAAGAGGTCTTCACAACGGAAACAAAAAGATCTGCCCAAGGACGAGGCTGAAGCCAGTATTTCGGAGATCGATGACAAGAATGAGGATCACAATGAGCTTGTTTGGAGAGGTAACTATACAGGGTTTTCTCTTAACAAGTCTATCTTCATTTTCTCAAGATGAAGCTTAAAGATCCAAGCCTTAAGTTAAAAGCTAGGTTTTTGTGAAATGCAAGATATGGTTCAGTAGTTTACAGTTGGGGAAACTGGAAAGTTGCTCCTGAGAAGCTGAAAAAGACGCAAGGGTTTATGTTTAAGTCTGATTTTCTAGGTGACAGCGGCAGTGATGAAGTTACAGAGTGCTATGGCGAAACAGAATGTTACGTTGAAGACGCCAGTCCCCTTATAAATTCATCACCAGTTGCTCAAACTGTTAGCAGACGAAGAAGACAAAGTCTGTTGAGTGGAGACAGCCCTACGGGAGATGTTGGCCTCTGTATTTCAGCGAAAAAACCAGTACCCAAGAAAAAAAGGCCATTAACAAAAGCTGACATCGTTATGATGAGAAGTTTCACAACACCGCTAAGCACACGAGAAATTGAACTGCAAATGGAGGGATCACCCCAGGTGAGTTATGTGTAGATGTTTTGAGAACTTTGTCCGCGATTTCTCCTTCATCTTTGTACCCCTTCTGCTGTCTTTCCTTTTTCTGATGAGTTGATGTACCTATGTACAGAACTGGAACGGTTCTGTTTATATGATATGAGAAATTGTAAATTAGATTTCTCAGACTGTGGTATCTGTTAGTAACTGGGCCCGAGGTGGTTGGAAGGAGATAACATTTCGCTCGGATTTAAGCAAAAAAACGATTTCTAGTCTAAACACTCGTAACTGAAGCTTAAAAAATAATTGACGCTCTACTAAGAGACCCTGTTATATTAATTTAATAATGTCTACGTGGAAACAATGACTCTTTATCATTGAAGGCCTTGCCTATCCTTGTATACTTTAATGTTTGTCTTAATTTGTCAGCAGTCCGCTCCAGTGAATTCATTCAGAGATATGTTTGAGGCATTTACAACCCCAGGTGTTAACGTGCTTGTTTTTTGCAGGCCCAACCGTCAGATGTAGAATCTGTTAGCTCTGAGGAAGAGGATATTCCTTTAAAACGTGCCAAGGTATTAGGCCATTTCCTAGTTCCCAGGGGCCTCTGTATCAAAACGAAGTTAAGTGTTCAGCCTTTGATGTAGGAACGATTTTTCGTTCTCGTGCTAATAAAACTCATTTTCACAAGAAAGGTTGTGCACTCGGCCTCATTCTGTCTTTTCCTTTCTTTGTACTGACTGAGGCATAACCACACAGACACGTAATTCGTCTCTTACCCATCTTTATAGAAAGAAAACGTGCACGACCACACTCGTATCTCTGAGTTCTATTTACTTTTGTAATGTGTGCAAGAGATGTCTCCATCAAGCTTTATTTTGTAAAGAATATGTTACAAGCACGATTGTTCTTGATGTAGTTCTAAGGGCTTTGTCATCACTTTCAGATTGCTCCAAATCTTAAAACACCAACGGAGTTATCTCAGCAAACAGACTTTAGTTACACCGCTAAACAAAGGGATGATAAAGAGGACGATACTGGAGAAGAATCGGACTCTGTTCATAGTGATCCTGAACTGGAGTATGACTTTAATCTTGATAGCAAACCTTATGGTAAAACAAGTCATAAGAAACAAGGCAAAAGTCTGGTAAGCTACTTTTTTGCCAACCTTACTTTTTAATCTGTTTCTTTTATGTTCGTTTTCGGTATTGCTGGGCTCTTTTCCGCTAGATTCAATCTATCACCACGGGGAAAATTGCACTGAAAATTAGAAAGATCTGTTTCTGCCCCAAAGTGTCAATTCAGCCCTGCAGGACAAAGTCTGATTCAGCCCTTCCTGGAGCCATTTGAGCACAGTTTAGGCCAAAAAAGCTCGATCAAAAGGCTATTCCAGCCCACGGTAGGGCCCATTTTAGCCCTGGGACCAAATCAGCCCTAGCTAATTGGACTGTATTGGCCCTGATTTAAGGGAGCCAAATTAAACCCAAAATGTACTCACCGAAATGGCCCTGTTTTTAGGGCTAAAACAGATCTTTCTGATTTAGAGTGTGAACAGAGTGTGAACAGCATATATGACCGCTTCTTTGCCGTTACGTTAGGTTAGAAATTTGACGCGTAAAAGACACCCTACACGGCTTATAATTCAGCCGGTGTAAAACACTACAGTGTGTGTAAACCGTTAACCTGGTGTACGGCTAGTCACAACTAACAGTAGTTGCCTTTATAGAGACCACCGTTTGCGTCCAGAAATAACTTAATCTTCATAGACCACATCCCTCATCCGGGGGTTTGGGAGGGAGAAGACTGGAATCTTCTCACATTCAAAGATTTTTTGTATTATTTCCCCGAATTATTCGCACATGCGCGTTGTTTCCAGTTCATCACAAAGAGAATACGAAAATTTACCAAAAAGTGAAGGCCATTAGTACAGAGTGCCTGTTTCATAGTGGTTCATCATATTTTCCGTGTTTGCTAAATCTGTTAAACGTAATGACACCTGTTATACATAACAACAAAATGCTTTTGCTACACATTCCAAAGAAATGTTCAGGGAAAACCATTCAACAATTGTTATTGCTGTTCTTTCTCTTACTGTCTTTCTATAGACTGGCCCAGGCTCTGGAGGATCAAATGCTGCAAAGCGTTCCATGATTTTACATGACTCAGGTAGTGTTGATTATGGATCACAGACCGTTTTTATACCTATAGTATGCTTGAAATGCTTCTTCGACACAAATTATTGGAATTGTTTCGCTTCTTTTTTGCTTTGCTGTTACACAAGATATGTTACAAAACAAGTGAACCCATTGTTTCTTTTAGCTATCATTGTTTAAAACCGATTTGAATTAATGCTTCAAAAAATTTAATACAAGAGAGCAGCTGCAACATCTTAGGTGTTGCTTGGGAGGCTCGTCTTTTAGAAACGCATGTAGAAAGTATCTGTTAGTTTTTGTCTTTCGTTCGCTTCACGGTCGATTTACACTACAGAAAAGTTGAAGAATGCTGTTGTTGTCAACTAAGTGCAAAAGATAAATTTACGGACACATTTTTTATTTACAATATCTGGTCGCTTAGCTGTAAATTTCCTGTTGTCTCGTGAAAACTTGAAATCTGTTCATGTATGACCCGTATTTTAAGCAGTTTTCCGTATGTTATTGCGGAAGTCGTAACGTGCGACGTGGCGTTTTCTTATTTAGTTGTGACTAAAATATTGCCAAGCCTTGATTAGATGGGAATACTCTTCTCGTCCTACACGTTTAAGACCAGGCCTGGTTTAGGACAATCGTTGACGTGAGACTTGCGCAAACGGAGTGCAAGATAACTCTAGAAAGAGATACTATAGACGGTAAAATAAGCAAGCGAAGTTGAAGAAAAGAAATTGCATGCACGTAGCATGAAACTACGTCTGGTATTTGTTCGATCCTTTGTGTGTCTTTCTTGTTTAGGTATTGGTGAAACACCGTTCGGAGAAGAACGGCATAAACGGTCAAAACAACCGAGGAAAAGGACTCGGAAACCACTCCAAGTGTCTGTTGCAAAAACACCAGTTACACCAAAATCAGATCAAGAAGAGCCAGGTAAGATCAATGATATCGTTTTATTTTTTGTTTGCTTGCTGGTTACTTTCTTTTTTTCCATTTACTTCATTAACTAATCTCTTGATACCTTTAGTTATTCTTTGTCTCTTTAACTATCCTCCTCACTTATTTTCAGCTGAAGATGATTCCGCAAATGCTGAGGTACGTAGCCTGTTTTGTGGGAAAATGAATACTACTCTTGGGAGGGCTTTGTCACATTACTTACATATTAAGAAACGGTCCAGATAAGAACGATAGCACTGAACGGCAACGAACATGTTGGAATGCAAAAAAGGTGCTAACTTTTCTATTGTCTGTACTTACTTCTGATTGGCTTAAACAGCAAAAGTTAAAAAAAATTCATAAAGCAGTACATATATTCATCCTTACTTTCCAACCATCTTCCATGTAACAAAATCTGGTCTTAGTTTAATAACAAAGAAATCCTATGTGGGGAACATGTAAAATTGTAAACTTTTCTTGGCTATTGTTTTCAACTCTTGTGATTGGTCAAAATCTTTTAACATAAAAAAAACCCCCTTTCAAAGTGGAGTGTGAATGCATTTTATTGCGTAAACGGCCTTCATGTAGGTTTATGCATTCTCTGTGTAAAAATGAGAACATTCCTATGTGGGGAAAGCACTGTTCCCGCATAACAAAAGAAATTGCTATCCACCTTACTCGGATCATTACTTAACTGTAAATTGATCCAAGAAGTCATACCATAAGTACATGTAGGTGCGATATGATCTCCCGGGTGAATGTAGTCCTGCAGAGGACTGTTGTTGTCAGTGTTCTATCGTTACTGATAAACTTAGTTGATGGTACTATACTCCAGTTTTTTGCCTCGGCTTTTCAATCCACTCCCTGTGTTAAAATGTTTGATGATCACTTGTGCATCTAGGTTTTAAAACGTCACCAGCAGTCCCATTCAGGATATTCATGACTAGGCTCAATACTTATGTGGTGTAATTTGTTTGTAGACTGATGAAGAGTCTATCTCACCTGACTTAAAGCCAGCCATGGTTAGTGACAACAACTTTGCCTTCAACTAACCCTTCGAATGCAGCCATCTCCTGTCGTTCCTTAGCCTGCGTATCAGGCGCTTGAAAAAAAAAACAGTAATGTCAAGAAATGTGGGCAAGAAAGGACAGGGCGCGCATTCTTTCTTGCTCTCTTTCAAGCGCCTGCGTAGTCGCTCCCTTCGCTGATGAGGACGTTTCGCGACGGGGAATCATGAGAGGTGGCTGTATTCGCGGGCTATCTTTAACTAGTGCCTTCCAACTTTGTGCGTCTTTGTTTTCTTTTTTTAATACATTAAAGTAGGTTTCCTTTAAATATATTTTATAAAAAAAATTGAATTAATTATAAAGCTTGAGTCAGCTCGGTTTTGGCGAAACGAGTGAACTAATCATCAGTGTTGACTTCTTGACCTTTCGTTGTCCCAATGTATAAAGTCATGTGATAATGCTCTTGAGAACAGGTCCTTTAAAGCGAAATCGTTCTATTTCGAATGAACTAGAGTTGCATTCTTGTCCACAGACCAATGGTTTTCAGCGTGCAAGACTTTTTGAAGTTACTATGAAAAAATCGCATGGCAACAAGTAATGTACGTGTACTAATTGATAGTAATGTTCACCAACGCTAGAGATATTATAGTCAGTCAATCTTCTTGACAGTGAAATTTTTGATACTTTATCCAAGTTTGTGATCGGTATTTATCTCACTTTCAGACTGGAATGCTCAGAGGAAAAAGAAAACTTTTTGACTGGTCAACTTCAGGCCCTTCCACCTCCCGTGCCCCAACAGGTACAGCATAATAGTAAAGACATTGAATTTCCCTGTTTCAAACTAAGGCCCTCATAAATCCGTTTTCCCCAGACAACCTTTTCTTTTTCTTCACACCACTGATCCATATCGGTAACCTCTGTACAGTCACAACGACCATAAATGTCAATACCAAGAGAAAACTATTCTTTTCATATTGCACATATTATACCTATACTTTCTCAACGTCCAAAATCCCCCGACTGGTTAACTCGATTGCTTGGATATCAGACCATTTACACAAACCACCCGGGTGGAAATTCTGTGCACACCGTGATTTCTTAGGGAGTTATTTTAACTCCAAAAATGGTGTAAAAATTTTAGGTACAGGATAACCCCTTTTTGTGGGTTACTTTAACTCCTAATTTAACTCCGAATTTGGGGTCATTTTTACTCCTGAAAAAGAGTTCTTTTACTCCCAGTCTGGAGTTAAAATAACTCCGAAATGGGGTTATTTTTACTCCTTAGTTACATGGATTGTTTTTACTCTTTTTGGTGTTATTTTAACTCTGAAAGTGGAGTAAAAATTTTAGGTACAGGATAATTCCCTTTTTGGGGTTATTTTAACCCCTCAATATCTGGGGTCACTTTTACTCCTGAAAAAGGGTTCTTTAAACTCCTTTTTGGAGTTAAAATAACTCCCCAAAAAATAACTCCAGTGTAAGGAGTTAAATTAGCCCCACTAGAGGAGTTATTATAACTCCTTGAAAATTACTGTGCGTAAACATAAATATTATAGAATTTGACGTGCTGGGAGGACGACCCGCCTCAAACTATACCCAAATCAGCTGAGCAGACTAATGAGAGTAGAAAAATTACATCATCGCTAAACACAGCCCATTTTTTCTGAAGCTTCCCAAACGGAATGGCGTGAACCATTTGATTTTCCAACCGGAATTTTCGGTTTTCCCAAGTAAATGGTAAGTACCCCAGCACTTCGATTCCCGCCCGGACGAACAGTCAGCGGGATCGCGGTCATAAAATAAGTGAGGAGAAGGGGCCGCTGCTTTTACATTACTTGTTACATCTGAAAATGGTGAGGAGTTCTAATCTGCTCTACCGAAAACGAAAAACTGTAGGCCCGGTCTCGCAGCTGTGGCACTTATCTGGGGCCGGATTGTGCGTGAAGGGTACTCTCACGAATAGCCCTTACGTTCGACTTGAGCCTTACGTTTGACGCTTTTTGGCCCCGTCTACGTTAGGAGTACGGCGTTGACGACCGTTGCACTTAGTCTCTGGTGTAACCATTTTATCCTACCGACCCTTGTCTCTTGTGGATGAGAAAGAACCACTAGAGACGTAACACTCTCCCGGTAGTGCCCATCCCTAGTACCCGTCTCCTGCAGAATTTCGGATTTTTTATTTTTTGCACTATTTCAAGAGGTTACCACAAAATTTACAATACATAACAAAGTAAGAAAAAAGAAAACATTAAATTACATGAATCTTCAAAGGTGAAATGTACGCAGTGACCAAATGAGCTTAGGCGTGTAACTAACTGCGTATACGTTTACATAAAAACTACAAGTAACGTATAAGGGAGAAAGGACAATTAAAAGTGCATAAAGTCTTAATTCCAATTTTATATAAAAACAGTAGAAATGATTATTGATAGTAAGGGCAGGGATATCAAATTACAGCACTTTATTTGGGACCAAGCTTGAAACGGTGGTCTTGATACGCTCTCTGTGGTTAATTTGTTCTAAATCGAAATATATCCCGTTCTCATGATTGAATTTCCTGAGTGTTTCGTTTTGAGACTGAGTCCTTGGTAACCCACAATCATCACCGATCTCTCTGTTCACACAGCAGTTAAAGGTCCCGTCCACAGTAAACCGGATAAAAAATATGCGGTTTCAAATATATCCGTCCGAATTCGTGTGGACATGGCCTTAGTAGTATTGAAGTGCCTTAGTGATCGATGTCGCTGCTATTGCTGAACGTGTTACCATTTTTCTATAATAACGATCATGAGAAAACCAGTCTTTAATCTCATTCTCAAGGTACAAGAACGTCCCGTACTGAAGGCTGGTATGCAGAGACAGTGCACGTAAGAAGTCAGCATTTTGGCAAGCCCAGAAAGCTTTCATATGACGAGGAACCATGTGAGTTCAATTGAGTCAATTATCTTCGGTTTTACTTTTAAGTTCTTCGTAAACGATTGCAGTTGATTGTTTTTATAGATGACGTTGACGAGACGGATGAGGTAGTAACTGAAAGAAGTGGAGATTTCAGGTTGGTACGATCTGCTCGTTTGAATAAAAAAAGTCCGTATACAAGTCAGTTTGAGCCTCCTGAGATAGTGGAAGTGTTACACGACTTGTCTACCGTATGTGTTGTGTATAATTTTCTGTAGGAGAGATATTCAGAGTCTGATAAGCCTAGCTGGCGGCAAGGTTACCCAGGCAAATCGGGTAAGTAGCAAAGTAGTTAGGTTATGTCGCCTCCAACTGTACTTTATTAGCGGGCGAGGGAGGAATCTTTGTACTCTTTTAACCCGGTGTGAGCTAAAACGAGAAAATTCCGTGACACAATGGCGTATGCAGTGCTTCTTTTCAAGAGTAGACTTGAAAGAATCAAATGCCCAAAGTCGAGAACGCTTTGAATAGTCGGCAACTAATAGATTGGTTATGGTGTGGCTTGTTTTAAAGTACATTGACACGTCGTGTTCTGCTTAACTAGGATCGTCCAAATAGTAGAAATACTAATATTGGGTGTTTAAATATTCTGTATTAAACTTGAATATTCTGTATTTCACTAACCATTATCCGATCAAATTACCATGACTTTTTACAGAAAGCTGGTCAGATCATCAAGTCGTATGCGCTAAGAGTCAACGAACTGATGTCGTCTTCCATTGACACCTTCTGGAACGAACAGCAGGCAGCCAGGTAAAAAACAAAACAAAAAAAACAATGAGCTTATCTATTATCTGGTAATTTGCAAAAATATATGTACATGTTGCTACTTTTACTTGTAGCAAGCGATGCAATTGACCACTCCAGAAAGTACCATAACATACCATAATGCTCTTTGTTTGTCACCCCAAAATTTTGCGTAAGCATTGTCTTCAGTTTCTCTTGGGAGTTAAAATGGCCCCAAGAGAAACTGAAAACAATGCTTATACAAAATTTTGGGGTGATAACCAAAGAGCATTATGGTATGTTATGGTATTTCTGGAGTGGTCAATTAACTCCCGTGTATGGATCCCGCTTAATTTCATCCTGTGAGTCAGTATTCACGCAACTTGCAACAAGCTGATTGTTGCAAGACAGGTTTGAACGTGGTTGGTAAAACTGGCAACATCGCTGTTCAACTAGTTTTGCAGAAATAATGTAAAATAAGTTGCGCGTTTAGGTTGCCCGTGTTATACTAGCTTTAGACCAGTGACGTTTCAGAAATAAATGAAATTTATACCCAAAATTGCACAGTAGCCTTCTAACTGGGTAATGCTACTGTTTTATACGTGGGTTACATTCATACATGTGGTATACTAGTTGTCAAAGTATTAAATATTACATTATTAAAAACTGAATCATTGTATAATGCAATTCTAGAGCTCTGATTGGCTTAGCCATCATGGTATATGAGCCATTATACCATGCTCTCCAAATATGGTGACAGTACGTGTCTGCTCAAAATTAAAAACAACCTGAAAAGACGCTAACTTTTTCTTTTCATTTCTTATGTATACTAGTTACAGTGCTATAAAGAAATACAAACGGCAACTGGTAGACCAAATTAAGGGCCTAGAAACAGACTTGGACAAAACGGCTTCCACTGTAAGAGAAATGGAGGTAGGTATATATGGCAATCCAACGATCGGGAGTCCGTGTCCTTGTCTCTCGATCACACTTTGCTCAACTCCTTGGCTATGATTGCAAATGGACAACCGGTTGCCTCCTGTCAGCTGTTGTTTTACAGAATCCTGCTGTATATATATTTTTTTCTAATTATTTAAGTGGAGTGCTAGTGAACTAGCCTCAGTGGAAAACCGAAGTGCACTTTCACGGTGAACAAATTGAAGCATTTACCACTTTACAATTGTTGCACTATTATTTTCCATGAGATCCTTTTTATCTAGAATGTACTGTGTTAGAATTCTCACATGGGTATTATTTCTGTTCCTTAACACTGAATGTTTAAAATAAAAACACGGAAAATGATGGATTGTAACGTTTGGATTAAGTCCGAATATATTATTATTCAGTATCGTGGAGCTGACAATTTTGTTCTAGTCAAAAGCATCTAAAATGCCCAGCCTAGTTTTAAGTTACCAGTTGGAAAATATACTTTGGATCACTGCAGTCTTTTTCCCGTAAGCACTCTCATCTTATATTTCCAGAGTACCTTTCTCAAACACTGCAAGGTTCTCAAGAACCAGAGGCAGGTCGAAGAAAAGAGGTGAGTGATAGCTTTTATCATACGCTGGGCTAAGGGAAAGTTTTGGTAAATCAACTGTTTGTAGCATTTCCTGAAAGTATGTCGGTCTTGTTTTGGTTAGTCACTCAAAAAAATTAAATCCCATCTTTATGCGATTAACAAGTGCTAGCTTAAGCAGTCATCGCCCGGTCAGTTGATCTACTGGCCAACAATGGCAAAATCAAGGTCTGAAGGGAACTAGCATGGCTGATTGATCAAGAATTTGAAATTTATTTACGTCAAATTTTGTTTGGAAAGAATGTTTGGTTTTCCCACAGGCGTCCCAAGGTCACGTTACGAGTGTGGATTGTAAATGTACTTTGTCACAAGAGAGTCGGTGCCGCATTACAGGCGACCGTTGAGACGTTGTATGAGAAATGAAACACTGAGGTCTGCAAACGTTAAATATCATTATATTGTACCTTTTTTTCTATAAAATAAATGAAGGAGACTTACCTTTGATGTATTCCTGTGTTTTGTGGGAAGAATTCATCGAGTTAGTCGTTTTTTGGCTGTTATTGTGTGTCCCCTGTCACTCGTCACACAATAACAGCCAACATTCCACACTCGTAACGTGAGCTTGGGACGCCTGTGCTTTTCCTTGAATGTGAGTTTCGACGAAGAAAGGCCCAAGAATGGCTTTTAAAGAGCAACTTTCTTGTCATACTGTTTATCCTGGTCGTTATGCTAGGTTTAGAAGAATTCAGCAACTGCAGGAATTAATGGAAGCTGAACTGACAATGATAGAACAAAAACGAAATAAAGAAAAGGTAAAAAAAGTACATAATCGCCAGTGTTATAAACAACTGACATTATTAAATGAACAGCCTCATTCTACTGATTTTGAAAATCGATAGAATCCTCCAGAATACTACAAGATGTCGTCTTGTTTTAGCGGACTGCATTCTTTATTGTGAATTTTTACACTTTCTTGTTGTACCCAAGTTGGAACGAAAAGTTAATAGAAAGTGTCATGACTTTACTTTCAGATAAATCTACTTTTAGTGCTTACGCTAGCCGGAAAAAGTAAAGCGATGTGTACAATTCTTTGTTATCTTTGTTGTTTTTCGTTTTCAGGCCACTTTACAGGCCGAGTTGGAAAAAGAAACGGCTAGATTTCAAAAGAAATTTCTTCAAGAGACAGTAAGTGAAACGATAAACTTTGAAAGGAATTTGTCATTGAATATAATGACAAGTCAATGTTTATATCCAAACGTTGTCCGGTCGTACTGTTGATGGATTTTTACTGCTGTACCAAAAAGGAAAAAAACATGAGGGTCATTGAGATTTCTACTTTTGCACACGCGTTCAATATATGACGTGGGTGACATGCTCACAGTCAGTATACAAATGAGCAATAAGTGCGAATTCTTTTATTTGGAAAAATTTTTCCTGGGTTAACTTTCAGGTCGACCCGAATACAGCAGAAAACCCGCAACCAGGAACCGGGTTTTTAAGAACCTGTTAGGCTAAAATATACCAGTTAGGCTCCCGCTTTACAAGAACCTGTTTAGCCTAAAATTTGAAACAGGTTCTTATTTTCTAAAATCTATAAAAAAAAATCTGTACAATTAAGCAAATAAGATAAGTCAACATTCATGATCCTCTTTGGAGATATAGGTGCATGCCTTATCACTTCAACTGCAATGTAATGTTATGCAGATCTTCTATAAGGATTAATCCGAATATCACTAAATGCTCTTGGCTACAATGTATTTTTCCTTCAGAATATAAGAACCTATTTAAGAACCTAAATAGCCTAAATTTGTGCTAAATACCATTTATGTAAACTTGGAAAAATACGGGTTGTTAGTTGCGGGTTTTTACTGTTTCTAGGGAAGAAAATTAACCCATAGACCACAAAATTTCTTACTTAACCTTTTGTTGATGGTGGTGTTGTTGCATGATTTTACGTATAAAGTCAGCGGTAAACAAAAAACACACTAGTTGAAGTTTCTCTGGGCGCCAATCATTATGCTTTGTCAGTAAAGCGCGGGATGTTCTGAAGCGCAGATCAGAGATTCATGGAAAACGAAAATAACACTTGTTTTTTTCTCCGTAGCGCAAACAGAAAGAAGATCAGTTGAAGATGATCTTGAACATCATGCGGATCCCATAAGATATCACGATAAATTTTTTGCTGATGTCTAACGACGTGTCTATTACATAGTTTCATTCAGTTCAGGGGCTATTTTTCCTGAAAGATAACATGTTGCCCCTTTGAAGGAAGACCTCAATCGGTGTTTTGAAACTTATAGCCCATATTTATTCCCCAAATCGACAATTGAGCTCAAATTTCTAAACCATTAAACACACTCAGTCGATTTCTATTTATATATTCATTGACTTAAACTTATTGGTTATTACTTAGGTATTAAGGTTAACAAAAACCTCTCTGTTTATGTTTGCTGGTTTCAAACGATTATTCAGGACTTAATGTATGGCGGTGTTCCTATGGTTAATGTTCAAGTGTTTGTTACCCTATAGTCCTATACGGATACCGGATCGGCGTGCTTCACAGTGTATTATAAAATGGACGCGTTTATTTAAAAGTTAGAATTCCAAGTATTATGTGCTCTTCCATTACTTATTTTATTAATTTATTTATTTCTGTTCGGTACGCACTAGAAACCCTTTCTTAGCGCCTATCTCTAACCAATGAAATCATAAATCGGAAAGGGAAAAAGCCCTTTAACATCTGGAAAAGTCCATTTTAAGCAGCAATATCTATTTTAACGCAGCTCTGTTGCGGAATTTGTTCTTATCAAGAGAATGTTTATGTTTCCTTGTTGTTATGTATATCTTTATTTAAAAGCGACGAAATAATATCTTTTCGGGCGTAACACAATGGATCACGCGAGCGTTTCACGTTTATAAATCTCATGGTGTTGAAATATTAACTCTTTAAATATTCATTCATTTGAATGAAGTTCATTCTTTTGTACGATGACGTGGAGTCAGTTTGAGTAAGTTGTACCTATTATGTCTTTTTGTGTAGTTTGTAATTGCAGTCGGGATATTTGGCAGGTTTGAGTATGATCTGAAGAATTATATATGAAGATCCGACGTTCAAAATAATTCATACTTTAAAACATGCATACCTTCATTTGCCTGTTACGCTGCAAATTCAGAATAATAAAAGATGTTCAGTATATTAGGTATACTTCAAATGTCAGTTGTCATCCACTGAATTTTATTTTTGGTGTTCTTTTCATGGTTTAAAGAAGTTCTGCTATTTCTTCTCCAAATGTGAGAATGTTCTTGCATTTTCTACCATATTAACTGAGCTTACCCAACCTAGTCCCCAGGGCCTCTTGGTTGCCTTCCCTTTTTCTGGCGATAGCCTGTATCATTAAAAATTGAATCATTAGATAATGCAATTCTAGAGCTCTGATTGGCTTAGCCGTCATGGCATATGAGCCATGATACCATGCTCTCCAAATATGGTGACTGTACGCGTCTGCTCAAAATTAAAAACAAACTGAAAATCGGTTGTTTTTACGAATAAAGTCGGGAGGAATTCTCGATATTTTGTGAGCGTTTTTGATAAAACAATTATTCCATTCGCGCTCGTTGGATACGAGATGATTATAGCCAACTCGGCGTTACGCGCCTCGTTGCGCCTCGTTGGCTATCTGCCATCTCATATCCAACGCGCACTAGTGGAATAATTGTAAATTATTGAATGTCATTTTACCGAATATCGCAAGCGTCTTTCGAGTTTGGCCAACGCTAGCTGGTTATAAAGAATCAGCCAGAGATTTGAGCCAATCAGAAGCGGAGAAGTATCTTGAATAACAATGTGCGATTTCTCGTCCAAAATAGAAATATACTGGGAAAATTTTTTTTCCCTTCCAATATGAGTTTTCTTCCCAAATATGAAATGTGGAGGCCAGGTTTAAAACCTCTCGACTAACAGCTAAATCGCTTGGTTTCTGTAAGTCTTTCCTATTTTCCTAAGTCATTAATTCCAAGGGAAGGAAAGGAGATACAGTTTATCTTGCAGGTATGTCAAAGGGGTGCTACTCTCTACAAAATTAACATGTGAAAAAGGGTAGAGTGAAACCTCGATACAACCATAGTTAATTGAGTGGAATGGTTATGAAACCCGTCAGACTCCTTTGTTATATGTTTTTGTGGACCTGAAAGTGCACAACGTTCAAAAGAATTCCTATCATTTTGATTGTATTGACCAATAAAAACGTTGCATTAATTTATTCCGTAACAATTTGCCAACAGAAAACAAAGGATTGTGCACTTTCACGGTGCTTTGAACATAAACTACAGCACTGTTGTTTTTATCATTGATGTTTGCCGCTTTTCATAACCAGTCTCCTCTAATAACTATGATACAACGAAGGGCCAAGGGACCAGCAAATGGTGTTTGCTAGAACGAGGTGTCGTTATATCGGGGTTCTTTTCATTATTCCTAGGACTTGGTTATGTAGTGATTCGTTATATCGAGGTTCCACTGTGGGAAAAATTTTTTGGGTTCTCCATTGAATTGCGCCAGATCCCTGAGAACATGTCGTGCACGACGTTATTCATAGCCTTTATTTTCAAATAAAGTATGTCAACGTTTTTCCATAAATGAGGACTTTGCAGAAAAACTATAACTATACTTGACTGCGACTTACTTCCATTCCATTCTAAGGGTTTTGGTTTCTACAAGAATTGTTTGTGGAATGAAGTGCCTTGGTAAGGGCAACGAGGACTCCTTTTTTTGTTGTTGTTTTTAATAATAATAATAATAATAATAATAACCCCTCCTATGTTCGGTAACAAGGGCAAAGCGTACAAACATGTACAACTATTTTGCATGTTGAAGTCCCGAAGGGTGTGTTCAATTGGGAATTAGTGATTCGGTATCACTCGGATGATCTTAATCAACTCTGGGGAAGGATTCATGGGTTCCGTTGATGCATCAATCCTCGAAGGACTAGGGGAAGTCAGTTGGGTCAGAAGAAACAGCGCGACAAAAGTGTTAAGGCACGGCGAAATGTAAGGAAGAGCTTCCTTCTTCCACTCGTTCTTCAAAACTTTCGGCGCGCCTTTCCGGCAAAACTGACTGTCCTTGACTGTCTTGACTGTCCCTGGGTCTCCCTCGTCCCCAGGGTCGCCGCCACATTGAAAAGCGAGAAGACCTTGGGGAGGAGGTTGTCAGAACGGAGAAAACAAAACCAAGCATTTTGTTCTAATCTGTTCGAGCAAGAAAATATTCCTGGAAATCGTTTGTAATGTAGGTTTTAAGGTCAGTAAATCAAAGCTCTATCTAAATGAAGTACGATTGCTTTGTTAGCACGATCAACGCTTTTACTACCATCTATTATCCATGTTTAATACTACTGGGGCAACGTATTTTGTCCTTTTGGTCATGGACTTTTACACTGGCTTGATACAAAAATCAAAAACACTAAAAAATCAAGGACAAAGTGTTTTGCAGTTTTTTCAAGCAAAAAATAGAACTACATAACGATTACAAAAGCTCTATGGAAACATGACGCACTGAGAAAAAAGAACATGCTGGTATGCTGGTTGCCTTAGTAACACAATGTTTATTCAGTTCTTCTCTCGCTTTATCGCGACTAGTCGTGTATCTTACTGCGGATAGAAGTTTGCCAATCGTTCGGATATTTTCGGAAGTTTCATTTTTCTTCAACCCAAGATGGGTTGTGGAGCATCTAAAGCGGGTCCTTGTGTTCCCGTTCAAGTTCCCTGCACCGGTAAGTATTTTAAAGGCCTAAACCATCTTTTCCGAAATTCAAATGATTCACGCAGCCCACAGAAACTTAATTTAAGTAATTTAGTATCTACTTATCGAACTGGCAGGATATCACTTTTAAATGAACAAATCAAAATTAACTGTTTTAATCATTGTTAAGGCCCACCATTCAAAGACACAGAAGCGCAGAATTTTAATTTTTAAATCCATGAAGCAACAGAATGCCTTCGAAAGGAAACAAAAGAAAGTTGTCGCTTTACCGTGCATACAAGAAAAATGATAACTGGATGAAATTATACTTGCTTTTCAAATTTTCCTACTCTAGGTTTTCTGTAAGTATTAACTTCATTAATGCTTTCTTTTACAGGGAAGACCTCACGCGGGTTGAACAGTTCAACTGAAGACAACAAACCAAAAACATCTTCACCAAAAACTAACAAGGCGGCAGAGTTGAGAAGGAAGGCCAATGAGGCCAAACTTAGTAAGTTTTTAAAAAAGTGGATCAAAATTGTTATTAATTTGTTTTCTAAATGCTTTTTATGGTACGTATCACTGTTAAATATATTATTATTATTATTGTTGTTTTTTCTTATTATTATTTTATTTTTTTAACGGCTGGTAACTCTAAGTCTTGTGAAACCCCTTTCATCTGTTACTAACCAGAGACTACTTTAATTAACCTTGTTGTTTCCACGTTTTACCGTCAGGACAAAGGGTAATTATCCAATGCAGCCTTTTATTTGTTGTTTTTAATAAATTTTTCATAAATTTCTTATTTTTTCCAATTTTATCATATACATCCTGACCCTGGTTGTTAAAACAATGGATAGGACTATCTGATGGATAGATCATTATCCAGGAGATAAGTGTTAGGAAAATCAATTATACTATCCACTGGATGGAGATTATCTACTGGATAGCACTATCCACCAGAAATTACCAACAGGTGTGAAAAGGGCCAAAAAAATATTTTCAGTCTCAAGGATATGTTTTAAATACTTATTGTGCTCTTGTTTTTTTTTATTTTTCATTTTTTTCAGAAACGGTTAACAGTTCCAGCTCAAGTTCCTCACTAAAGAACAGTGCATCTAAATGTACAAAAGGAAAAGTCACAACCTGCCAAGTCATAAAATCAAGCCCAACTGTCACAAGGCCAAAACAAAACACTGTGGCAATTAAGGCAATACCAAAAAACTTGCCTTCTTCACTGCAAAAAACAGCAAAGAACACTACTGAGGAAAGATCAGCAAGTTGCCAGTCTGTGAAAAAAGATAACTCAACTTCAAAGTCAGCAAAGGAGAGCACTTTGGGTGCCAAAAATGAGGCTAAAAAATGCTGCCAGCCATCTAAAAGACCTCAGTCCAGTCCAACTTTAAAGGAGAGTTCACCTGATATCACTACTGAAGATAAACAACTAAGCAGCCAGCCTTCACGAAGGCCAACATCAAGTCCTGCAAAAGGAGAGGAACAACCTCGTGCAAGTGATGCAAAATTACAAAGCTGTCAGCCAAGGGCCAGTTCTTCTTCAAAGAACAAACCTGCAAGGAGTGTCTCTAAGGAAAAACAATTAAGCTGCCAGCTGCCTGAACAACCCAATTCATGTTTGTCACTAAAGGGAAATCTGCTTTTAAAAGAGAGCAAGGCTGAGGCAAAACATAAACGTTCCCAGTGGACAGTGCGACCAAAGTCAAGCCCAATTGACAACAAGAGAAACAAAACATTACCTCAGCCTACAAAGAGACCACAATCAGGTCCACCTTTCAAAGCTCATCCAATCAAGGCCATCAATGAGGCAAAAGCACTTGGCCGCCAGTCCATCAAACAGCCCAAGGAAGATCTACCTAAGAAAACCAGTGCAGCAAAACAAAAAAGGTGTCAGTCTTCTAAAAGCCCAGTGTTGTGTCCTGCATCAAAGGAAAATTCATCCAAGACTGCTGAAACCCATGGAAGAGGGCAGCATGCAGCTTTGGAAGCTGAACATCTTGCTGATAAAACAGGAGAGCAGTCATCAGTCAATGAGGTGACCATGAAGGAGGTACTCAAGGAGGGAGCCACCATTAGAGAAGGAGTTGTTGTAGATAACATTCAGGTAACTAAATATTCTAGAAGTGACTTATTAGTTGTTATAAATACAAGAACAAGTATTATTTTCTTTTATGTAAAGTTATGGACTTAAAAGTCTAAAAGAGAAACAACTGATCAACAGACCGGCAAACTATTTGCAGTATGCCATGCAGCTGTATAGATACAGCTGATAGGAACACCCTTAGACAGTCCTTACTATGCAGCAGACATGCTAATAACCCACATTCGATATATTAAAATTCTATCATGAGTCTAAGAATTTCGGGTCAAAATTGCAAATTTTTCACGACTCCATTGTCTCGCAATTCCCAGAAGAGACTTTAGCACAAAGAAAACCAAACCAAATATAGAAAAGTGACCAGAAAGCCTCGGAGTCATGTTAGAATAATTATTTTAATATATCGAACATGGGCTATCATGATCATGATTTTAAGAGAACTGATGAATTCATATAGTTCACATTAATTTTTCTTCCAACAGGAGTCCTCTGCCTTAGAGGCAGGGCTTGATAATTTCATTGCTGAGGTTCTCCAGTCACAGCTGAGTCTCGTTCAAAGGGTACCATCTCCAGATAAGAGTCCTAAGCCTCTCAACACACAGTCTCCTACCACAAACTCACCTACTGCAGAGCTAGGTAACTACATGAACATTAAGGCCATTTACCATATTCATTCCTTTCAAAGTAACAATAGGAAGTACCACATTTCAGGCATATAAAAATGGTTTCAAGAACAAAATGCCTTGTGGATCTTAAGACCTAAAAGACCCTTAGGATTTAAAATTGCAAAGACAGAAAAAGGTTGGTTTACTTTGGGACAATTACCTTGATCCCAATATACATGTACATGTATATTGCTTCTCCTTAACCCATTCGCCCCTGAACCGCCCGTAACCGCCCGTGCGGATCCAGGTCCTTTCTACCCTTTGTGACGTCATCAGTTTTAACGGTCAAGGACAACTTTCTTCGCTAACTTGTGCAGGGTGAAGAGATCTTTCAAACCATACCAGAATGAGCACAATTCAGTCAAGGACACCGGAGAAAGAAGCAAAAAACCACGTGACAAGGACCTGAAAATCTCCATGAAAATCTTGTTCCATTACCCACCTACCTTTCCTTTCACCTAATCCTAAGATCCTAAAAGCTTTCCTAAAAACTCTTCCCACCAAAATGAAGCCTACTAAATGCCCAGCAAGAGAAAAAAAAAATGAGGCAAGAAAAGCGAAAAAAGAAGGGAGGAGAGAAAGCGAAAAGTAAAAGTCAAGACTGCTGTGTCACTTTTAAACCCAAAAACTATCTCGAAATTTTGCTTTCTGCGCATGCCTGAACTTCGTAAGCTGATATTTTGCATCTGGATCAGAAGGCCGCCAAGTGTACGACCTGTAAACCGGTTTGTGGTAAGTTTTAGCTCTTTATAGCACGACAGTGACCAGAAAACCACTCGACTAGCCTCAAAACGCGTTTTTCGGCAAAATCTCCAGGAGCGAATGGGTTAAAGCATGTACTTCATAAGAACAGCACAATGGTCCATTGACTCTGAGACCTTAATGGTATTAAACTATTTATATACCTTAAATGAAAGATGTGGTGAGTTTATGTTGGTGTGTGGTGAGGATACAATGACTGAACAAACAAATTTAATTTGCAATTCAACACAACTAATATTGTTATCTTTGAAACCAACCTTCCCTTACAGGTCTCGTGCAACAAGCCCAGTTCATGGGCTCTCTAACAGATGCTGGAGTGAAAGTCAATAATGATTGTCAAAAGAGTTCCAACAGTTCTACAGCAGTCTTTAATGAAAGCGAACTGATAAATGCCATCTCTCAAATCACTCAGAAAGCCTCATCCCCTACAGGCAGAAAGGAAGACAAGAATTTTGAAGTGAATACTGCTTCGCCAGCTCCAAGTCATTTGACTGTCTTCCCAGATGAGAACCCTGATATTGATTCCAGACAGATTAATGGAGTAGAACAGTCCCAATGCGGTGTAAAAAGGAGCTCTGGCAGCTTGAAGTCATCTCCAAGTGCAAGAAGACCTCAGGAAAAGGTTACTGTGGAGGCTAAGAGTAAATGCAGCAAGACTTCAATCAATGAAAGAAAATCACCTCTTCACTCCACATCTGATTTGAATGCCGGAATAAGTAAGTCTGCATCAAACTTGAGAGCAGGGGATTGTCCTTCGCAAAGAGCCACACCTTTAAAAAGTAGGCCCTCCAGTACTTGTTCAACTACAGATGCCTCAGTGAGTTCAAAGGGTCGTAAATCCAGCCAGAGACCCTTGTCAAGTGTAAAAGCGCCACCAGAAAAATCAAACACAGGTGATAACAGGCCACATCCAAGGAAACAGTTGCCATCACTGTATGATTTAAGGGGGTCTGATGCTATTAAGTCACCAACACCAAGCAGCAAATTGTCTCATGGTCAGGTGTCAGTTCCAAGCTCTGGAGGAAATTTACATTCATCAAGAGCACCAAGTGCAGAGAAGAAAGGACACTTGACACCAAAGGATTCGAAGAGTGAGTTGTCAAAGCAGTCAGTGAGCCATAACTCCTCCAAAACCAGACAAATGTCCCCTGCTGTGGATAAAGAACTGGAAAAGTCTGAGTCTGATGACAAGGTACACCAAATGCCGAGAGAACAAAAGAATATGGTGAAGAAACAATCTTCCAATTATGAAGAAGCAGAAAATGCCAGACCAAATGCTAAAGGGAAGACTGAAGCACGAAATAGCCAGAACAGACTTTCCACATGCAGTCTACCTAAAGCAGATCTGGAACAACGTCCAAAGAGTAGGCAACCAGTTAGCAAGGGGCGTAGTTCTTCCATTGTCAGGTCAGAGGAGGATTTGCACGCGACTCGAACGTCTTCACCAAAGCAAACAGACATATGTAATTCATCATCAAAGAGTTCATTCAAAAGCACAAATGAACGTTCTGGAAGTGCAGGCAGCTCAAGGCATTCACTGAGAACTTTTGAGGTACTAGATTCAACAAAAACTTTGCAGTTTTCTACACCAGCATACTCAGAGGTGCAATCTAGAAAAGCAACAAGTAAAACCACACTAAACAAGATGGAGGTATTAAACACTGAGTATGAACAAAAACAGGTGACCTTGTCTAAACCATCCTCAGGGAGGTCTGTGCAAATGCTTACCCATGAGGGAAGGAGTAATTCACCTGAAAATTGTATATATTTTTCATGACTATTTCAGTGAATTTCAATGCATTGACATTAAGTCTGAAATAGGAGAGATTGTTTTGTATATAAGTCACATGATTAAATAATGTAATGCGTTACATGAATAAATGCTTCACAAGTGATCAATGAGGAGTTCTTTGAGACATTGAAATATTATTTTCAAAATGGCCTTTAGAATGTACTTGCAAAGAAAAGAAAACAAAGGAGAGAAAAAGAGCTCTTTACACCTTGAGAATACTTAAAAACAGCAGTGACACACTCGCTTGTGGCTAGTGTGCCACTTCTTTGTTTTTACCACATTTTGATGTCATCTGTGATCTATTACTGAACAGATGCACGGCAACATGGAATCCATTTGTTAAATATTAGACATATATATATATATATTTTTCCTTAATTGATCTTGCAGCACTCCAGTCTCCATTACTGATCTAAAATTTACCCCCTTGTTTTAATCCTCTATGAATACTCAAATTTCAACAAATCCTTTTATTAGATTCCAGGTGGCCTGACAAAGAGTGTTATCAAAAATTAATAATAATCTTTAAATGGACTTTGGGAGCCAAACTTTTCCCTGATGCCTTTGAGGGTGTTCGCTAAAATTTCAAGCCTTTATTTAACAGCAGAAAGGTCTGGAGTCTTTATTGTTGACCTAAAGCAAAGAAGGAAGGAAGAGCTTAACTGGGATTTTGCAAGGACTAGTAATGTGAACTTTTTCTTTTTTCTTTGTTTTGCAACTTGTAGTTTCCTAGATTCTATTGAGTTAACTACTTTGTTTTACATCACACATGAGTTCTACAGGTTCTTACACCAAGGATAAGCCACTAGTAAACAAATAACAAAAAAAACTGAAACTGTTGCTTTTAATATATTTTTATTGGAGCTTATCTTTACATCCTGTAAAATATACCACTGCTCTCTGTGGTTAAAAAGCATTTTTGTTTGTAACTCTAACACTTTGTAATGGAACAAAATAGCTTTCTGATAATTCATACAACATAAAAATTACCTTCTTTACAGCAACTTGGCATATTTTGCACATTTTGTTTTACGACTTGCAAGGTGATCAGTCTTAGAAGTCATGGCAAATCCTTTTGACCTGAGATGACACATCTCCATAAAACGCAACAAGAAATAAAATCTGTAGCATTTTTTTTACAAATCATCCAAATCAGAAAGGGAAAATAAAGAACACGAACCAACCAAACAGCATTTTAGGTTTAAGTATTTGTCAACATCCTCAGGGTAGCAAGTCTGATATTAAGAGCTGATGAAAGATGATTGTCTTTCAACATCCAAGTCAAGTGACTCTCTAAATTATCAACATGCTCTATGAAGTTTGTCCAAAGTGGGTTGTCAGTTGGGTATCCTGTGACACGGAAGTATGACTGCACTAAATGAGACAGTATCAAGAGAAACTCTTCACACTCTTGTGTAGTGTACTTGGAGGCCACCTGATTAGAATGTGTATTAAATGATGAATCTCCATTGTTGCCTTCCATGGACTGAAGAAATTTTGTAATCTTTCTATCTTTTGTTAAGTCCAATGGTTTTTTTCCAGTAGTATTTTTGGCTTCCAGCAAACGTATGCCTTAAAAGAATGAAAGTGTAAAGTTAATAAGATTACTTATTTAAAGTCCATGTAAGACAAGGAACTGCTGCAGAAGTGACACACCTTTCAATATTGATTTAGCATTTGGCAACCTAGTTCCTTGCGTCAACTATACTACAATATTATTTTATATTTTGGAGATGAAAGGATAAGAGAAAATTCAAGGAGTATTGTTTACCCCGCCATCTATGGATAAACTACAATGTTTTCCTCTTTTCTGTTACTGCAGCGTCACCTCAAGTAGATTTTCTTATTCCTGAAAAAATTAACATACATGTATTCAACTAACCTCCAGCAGCTGCAAGTTCCTTGACCACTTGCATGTGATTGTTGCCAGCAGCATCATGAAGAGGTGTTGTACCACACCTTGGAGCTGCCAGTACATTAAGCACACGGCAGGAATCTTTTAAACACAGAGAAGCAATTACAACTTAAAAACAAACAAAATAGTCCCAACAACCTTGCATTAGGCTGCATTATTACTTGGAAATACTTGCAAAAAAGAAACAAAGCTCCAAAGGACGAAAGCAAGGAAATAAAAAGTCACGTCATACTGGGGACAACAAATAAAAATAATGTAGTAGTATAGTAAGGAACTGTTATGCCATCTTATAAGAGTAACTGATTAATGGAATAAGGAAATGCCCATAATGTCTGTCATTGACTGTGGGCCAATGAGCGATAATATCTTCTTTCCTTGACAAATTCCATTTGCTGCATTTCATTTATGAGAGCCTGTGAGGTCAGTGACGTTAATCCAAAATGGGGCCTATGAAATTTATATGCAATCTACCGTGTTCTTGATTCCCACACTAATAGTTGTCTGTTTTGCTCAAACTAGACAGTACCTGTATCCAGTCTGGTTGTATGTGTGGGGGTAATTCAGCTCATATTGAAAGTAATTAAGTGAGATGCATGCCATTTCACCAGGACAACCCAACATTATTCCCTTTACTTGAACTAATATGGTACAACCAGTTCTTGAAAACTACATACCATCCTCAGCATTTATTTCATAAACAAGCCTCCTCGCCTTCAGCAATTCTCGCACGCACTCCACGTGACCATGATTACAGGCCTCATGCAGGGGTGTCCACCCCGCATGATCTGTGATGTTAGCATCTGCTCCTGCTGCAAGCAACTGTTTCACTTTTACAGCATCATTTTTAATGCAAGCAACATGCAGCTTTGTTTCACCTGAGAACAATGAACCACACAAAAACATTCCTTTGTCAGAATTTTCACTTCTCAGTAAAAATTAAATTTTGGACAGAAAGTCAGCACAGAGGAAGGAAGGAAAGAATGATATTGTCAGTGGAATAGGGTATCCTGATACAAAGAAAACATGGCCACATATACTATATAGTCAACTCTTCTACAATGGAGAGTTTCAAAGTTTCGTATAGTTTAAGTAAACAAAGAAGCAAAACCAGAATAAACATAGCAGTCGGAAACAATCAAAAGCTGTAATCTTTTTAACTATACCTTTAATATTACGGCGATCAATTTCAGTGACGCCATTCAGCTTCATGTTTATGTTGTCCCTAAAAACAATGAACAAAGCCTCCATATTCAGGAAAAGTAGATGGATAAACTAAAATGGTGATTACACAATCAAATTAATCAATCAATCAGCAACCCTTTCCTACATGCCTGTAAACAATGGAACCAAGTCAAGGCTTGCATGGGGGTGATGAAATCAACCTCATTTCATTCTTACTGTTGCAGAATGCGAATGCAGTTGGAACTACAGTATACATTCACAGCAAAATGGTGGTGGATCTAAAGTACAGGTCACATTCCACAGGTCAAGAGTACAGGTCACTGCGCCATCACTAAATTACCAAGCACACAGATTTCCCCCAATCTAATGGAGAATTTTACTTTTGTTAAGAGATTATGGTTAGGAGACACTTATTGCTGTTCATTTACCTGTATAACCTGTAATAATCTGTACTCTGACCTGTGGAAAAGTGACCTGTATTTTAGCCCAGCCATAGAGCAAAGGAGTTTGTGGGGTCCTACAGAACCTCGATGCATCCAATCAGCTAGTCTTCAGTCTAATTGATTATTTGAGCAGTTAGATTTTCAACCTCATGACTTACCTTTTTATATCCTGTAGTGGAGTTCCTTTGCGTTTGTTACCCTTAGCAACATTAGGGGTAACATCGTCAACACTTCTTCTTGGTGCCAAAAAGAAATGATAACAGACCTAACAAAACGAAAAAAGTATACTCCCCTAATAAAAAACTTTGTGCAATTATCATAGATGTACAGAATCACGAATATATAAATTTTTTTATTAGTAGCCGATTGATTCAATATCAATTATCATAGCTGTACAGAATCACGAATATATAAATTTTTTTACTAGTAACCGATTGAGTCAATATTGCGTTACTTACAATTTTCTCTAAGGATAAAGTCTTGCTTTTTAAATGGCGTTTCTCAAAAGGTACTGACAGATCAGTGTAGTTTGCCAGGAGAATTTCAGCTATATGCATCTGAAGCCAGGGGGAGCATGTCTCTAAAAAACGATTCATAGAAGCTTCATGGTGTGTCCCTCCATAGGCCAGCTCAGTCACAAAGGTTCTTGAGCGCTCACTTAACCTGCTGCCCAAACCAACCTCATCACACTTTAATGACACCAGGTCAGTAAGGATATAGCACTCAGATGCCATGGAGACAACACTTTGCAAACTCTGCACTAAAAAAACCTGAAATAAAAAATGTTAAGTTTAAAAATGTACAATGTATAAGGTCGAACATTTTGAAACTGACAGGTCCATCCATAAGCTCCCTTCCCCTTTAAAAAAACCCAAGCACTCACCCATTCAGTTCATTCAGTTCAACAGATACCAGTACTGTCAAAGCATTTGTCCTTGTCACTAACCTGATTTGGGTCATCACAAGCACTCCATGTTAGTTTAAAGAGCTCTCGCAGGCGTGTATTGAAAGAGACTGTGGATGAGCTTGGCCAAAACATTAACCACAGCAGAGACTTTTTAAGCGCATCCAAATTTTCACCAACTGATAACATGCTGAAAGATGGGCAAAAAATATGTTTTCTTGCATTAAAAAGCATAATTTTTTTACAGCAGTATAGAAAAAAACAGGGAGAAGAACTTTGTGTCAGAGTCAGGAGATTCATGTGTTAGTAAAATAAGTTAAAGGAAATATTGTATATCAGCCTACCTATTACAGGTACGATCATGGAAATCCCTCTCGAGTGTTGTGATAACAAACCGTAACAGGAGTAGGCTGTTTTGATCCTTCTTACTGAAAAACAAAAGAAAGTGTAAAAAAAAATACAAAATTACAAACACGTGAGAAAAAAAATGGTGCCACCAGGTCTAAAAAACCCTAAAATCAGTACCTGCAGAGTGACTTGAAAAATTCCCACTCATAGCCAATGTTCTCTACTGGAGTCACATGGGAATTAACTTGTACATTGAGCATGGACTGGTACAGAGAGGTGTTGTGAGAGGGCGGATGTAATACCAGGAGTTGCTGGAGCAGCAGAAAAGCTTTAGCAGCCTGGGCAGAAGATGATTTCTGAAAAATATTACAATATACAAGTATTTAAAGTACAATAAACAACTCTTTTAAACAGAAGTCTGCTTAAAAGAACCTGGACGTTGTAGTTTACAGTCATGAATTGTACATGTACTTGAAACTTACAGATAATGTATGAGTGGAAATAAATACTATATATATAATAAACATATTGTATGCAGACTTCTGCAGAATGGTAAAATGGACTGGCAAGTGGAAGCAGTAGTGTGATTAGCACTTACAGCTGTATTCAACACATGCAACTGTTGGGACAGAATTCATTCATGGGAACTGGCTACAGCTATAGTTACAAAAGGAAGCTGCGTGAAATCTCTGTTAAGGCAGTTGTGAACTAAAAACTATGTTGAAATGTGGTCTCATTGAAGCTAGTTTAATAAAAGAAGTTCTTATAATTTCATTATCAAGTTAATTATCTCTGCTTTTCAGACGATCAACAGTGGCACTTGGAAAAATTACTATTTGATTGGCTTTAAGTCTCCTGGCTAATTTTTCATAACCAACCAGCCTTACCCAAATTTGGAAGATGTGAGCAATGTACTGTATACATTGATTCAATGGTACATGTATATTGACTTGGAAGCAAGGCTGATCGACGATACATTGCATAATATTTGCCTGGAAAGAGGGTTGCATAGGCAATACACCATCAATCAACCTCTTTTCCAGGCGTGGCCGCCTACAGTGAACTAAAGAATAGCAATCACAGCTATCTGAAGGCAAAAATGAAGAAAACATTTGATCGATGGATGTTATCTACTTTTTGAGGAGTATCTGTTTATATTGTGAAACCATGCCAAGAATAGGCCAAAGTTTAGGAGAAAGTCTATTAGGAGGTAAGCTCGTTAAGAATAAATGAATAATAATAAAAAAATGAATTTGGCTTTCATACTATGTGAAGAATTATGCAGATGTCGAAGGATGTTATCAACCATAACCTTGGCCTTCCGCCTTGGTGGGTTACATCCACTTTGATCTGCATAATTCTTCACACCCTGCTCAGCCTTGTTCAATAACTGCTAAGTATTTTTTAGTTTTAATTATATACCCTTACAAAGGTTAATATCATGTGCAATCAAGAACAAGCAGTCAAATTTACCAAAAGGATGTCCATGATGGTGTGAAGCAGTCGTGGAGGAGGATACCGCTTGGAGGTTAGAAAAGAAGATATGGCATCCAAGACAGTGGACTGGTGAGATTCCTCCACATAACCATCAATTGAGTTTAAAACATAAGCTGGAAACTCATCTCCACACACCTATAAAGAAAAATTAATGATATTGTCGGGGCATACTTATTTTGGAAAAAAATAAGTTCTATTTACAAGTGCACTGTATATGCATGAAATAACTAAACAAACACATACATGCATGGGTAGTGTAAATGCATATGCACTTAATGCAACTGCAATGACAATATTTTAACAGGTGTAAAATGCAGTTACATTGTAATAAATTATTAAATTGACCATAATTATTTCACATACATGTACCTCGCTTGTACTAAACACACGTGCAATCAATCTGGGCTGCCATCTGTAATTTACAAAACTGGAATCCAGGCCCTAAAAAAGCATACAAGTCATGTACAGTGCTGTAGATGATTTTGCAAAAGGGAAGCATGTAATTAGTGGGATTTCCACGGTTGAACTGTGCATTTTTCAGGACCTTATATCTGGCAACTACATGGCATTTATACAATAATTTGTATAATATTACTGGTAAAAAAAGCTGAACACAAAATGAGAAGTCTCTTTAATTAACAGAGTTTTGACAGAGTGAGGTGATTCCGGCCCCTGTATGTGTAGGCCCTATAGTATGTGTAGGCCAAACACCAACCTTTGAGACCCTCAAGGCTGTTTTTAAAACAACTGTAGCTTCCAATACCACAGAGGTGATTAAAGAATAGGTAAGGGTCTATCTATGAATTCACTAGTACCTGCTTTTGTCTCTTGCTTGGGGGCTCAATAGGACCTAGGGATACAGATGATGCCTTTATCTTTCTAGATGTTGACATTGCATGTGTGTTACTTTGCTTTCCAATTCTTGACTCTGTGACATCACTACCCAGGACAGGAGTGTTCTTGAGTTTGCCAGTGATCCTCTGAAGACTTCTAACTGGAGACTCGTAAGATGTGATGGAAAATGTTGCAACAGGAGGGGCAGGGTCCTAGCATTTCAAATCAAACATGAGGCCATGCATTCTGTTTTATTGGCTTGACTAGACTTCAACTAAACAGCAACACTCCCTGGGATGTCTGGAAAACTCAGATACCAAGCCACAAAAAGCTTAGACCCCGTGGATGTCTGGTGTTGTATGGCCTGATTTTTCCCGAGCCTGTGTAATTATCGTGGGCTTGTAAATGAAACCCCCCAACCCCCATAAAAAGTTGAAATCATTCAGAGGGTTCCTATTCCCTGTTCCTTAATGAACAGGTGAGTTATAATACATCATTACTTCCTCCTTCACTTAAGACAAAGCATTAAGCACTCACTTGTAGTATAAATTCAGGAATATAATCTGGAGAAAGACAAAGGACTCCAGCATTCTGTAAAATCTTCACATCATCTTCAAAAGCCTTCTCCACAAACACATGTGTCAGTTTTGAAGCAAGATTGGATGGGTATGGTGGCTTCCCACTCACCATCACAGCTCCTCCTACCTCTAACAACCTAACAGTGGTGACAGAAAATACATGAACAATCAACTAACGATCTAGCATCAGATATTTTTATTCAAGTTAATAGGGTGGGGTTGTATGAAGCAACTCAAGATTACATGTAAATGTGAATCATTGCCTGTTGTTTTGTGCAATTAGGCCCTTGTATATGTAAGCAATAAACCATTACATGAATTAGAGAGTCTCTGATTACAAGTACATGTACACACATAGTTCAAACTGTGTTATGTACAGCTGTAGACCGGCATATCTGATCAATGCGTCCTACAGTACATGTATGTGTGGTTTGGTTGTATGGAATTTAGCAGAGTTCACAATGAGGAGCTTTGTGCTTCCTTTGCGGTCAGTGATACTTCATGATGTGCATGCACCAGGACTCCATGTGCAAACCAAAGTGTGCTGTAGTATTTGGCAAGAGCATGAGCATTTCTTTAGCAATATTAAAAGAGCTTAGAGCTCTTTTAATAAGCCTCTCCCTCTTTCACTGTTTATAAGTGTGACAGGGACCTGTTCTCTTCCCCTTCCACATGGCTTCCATGGGGGCTCATGGCTGGGTGGCAGTGTTTGCCAGCCATGGGATCAGTGTCCATCTAAGAGCGAGCCACAAATAATGGCAGCTCATGTTTCAAGCACTAACCTTCACTTGCAAGGAAGTTTTCAATTGTTGTAAAACTTATTAGCCAGAAACACTGCCAAAAATCTGAGAATGTTTTTTTGCAAAATGTTGGAAACCAGTATACATGTACAGCTTCTCTTACACTGTAGGTATTAAAATATAAAACACAGTGTACTGTGGCTTGCCTTTTGTACGCGGCTCTTCTCTTAGCATCTGCCACAGCCACCAGTGCTTTCCATCCATCAAACGGACCTCTCTCTTCCTGTAGAATTCTTCTCCAGCGGCCAGGAGCAGCAATATGACTGGCAGAGACTCCATCTACTTCATCTTGTTCACTCCACTCATACAACTTCTCTTCCAACCACCTTCCAGCCTTAATGCTGTCCTCAATGAACTCGCGCTTTAACATCCACTTACCTGGAATAAAAACATGTGTATAACATTGCTACATAATCTTGAATAATATGCTTTGTTCAATGATTTCCAAAACTAATTTTATTATCACTATTAGTAAATTATTTACATCATGGCACTGACTAAATGAAAACTAGAGTGTGTTGTGACCTGTTTATAAATGTATGAGGTGAGCCGCCAGGTTACAAGGCTTGCCTGCTTTACCGGCTTGCTTGGCTCTTGGGCTTGTTTTCTCAAAAAAATGTCATTGTGTTTATACATGAAAAGGCGGGCAGGCCCACCTCCCAGCTAAGCCGGCTGGATCACATTATATAACTAGGCCCTTACTCTGCCACCTGCACAGCCCTGGCTTGCTATCTGACACGTTTCAATACTCACCAGATCGTCACTCTAGCTCCTGATATTAGGCTAAAACATTCTATCGTTCATCAACACAAGTCACCCAATAAAAGTAACATTCTTTTCAGAGTTTGCTGACTACATACAGCTTACACGAGACAGTTATGATACCCAATTTTTCTTCACCAGATTGTAATACATATGCAGTATCTTATTATACTGCTTACATGTGACAGTTATGATACCCAATAATTTTTTCTACACGAGATTGTCATACATGTGCAGTATCTTATTATACAGCTGACATGTGACGGTAACGATACCCAATTTTTCTACACCAGATTGTAATACATGTGCAGTATCTTATTCCTTTAACAACTATTTTAGCCGTTATGTACATCGTATGACGTATATGTACAGCACTGTACTGCATGGGATGTTCCATATTTTATTTGCACCCCGACCCTTAAGGATGATGGGTTTTCGAACTACAGTGTAGGGGATTCTTGTACATTTCTCAAAGAATCTGACAAAATTTTGACTCTTCAGAAAAATTTTTAAATGTGCCAACAATGAACAAACCCTTCAGATTCAATTTTTCAAAGAACACTGACAAAAATTTGATGTTTCAGATTCCTATCATCTTTAGGTTGGGGGATAAAAAATGGAACCACTCTCTTCAACCTTCTGATGAGCATTATACATTGGAACTTCAATCAAACAAAAGGTCAAGGGACTGGCAAAATGTGTTCGCTATGACAAGGTTTCGTTAAATCAAGCTTCTTTTTCATATTTTTGGTTTGCAACCACGTGACAAGGCAGCCGTGTTGTGGGTCAATACAATATAAAATTTTTCTTGAAGAATTTACATGAAAATAGAGTCTAGTTCCCAGAGAAGAGGAAAGCTTTTGTTCTTGACAACCAACATGGCCGCCATGACATCATGTGCAAAGCAGCAATATTTCACTATCACTGGGATAAAGAAAATCATTCGTTATACCAAGGACTTCATCATTCAGAGGTTTGTTATATCGAGGTTCCACTGTCACAGATTTTTGGCAACTACCAATGCTACCTTTTAGTAACAAAGTTTGGTGGTTACTGAGTCTGTAGTAATATTGTATTTGTGTCTTTCTACAATGACTCTCTCCTCTGTAGAGGCTTCTAGAGATTGCTGGAGACATGGAAAAAGAAAAGACCATCTTCCCCCGTCCGCTTTCTATTTTTTGATTATTGCTATTTTTATTGGGATGCCCAGCGGGAGCCTCTGCTGAGGAGAGAGCTACAATGATAAAATATTCACGAATGGACAGTTGTTTTCATAATTTTAATTCCACAACAACAGCGTGCATGTATGGGCGCACATTTTATTTTACCAGAAGCTTTATAACTAGAGCCTGTACCTGATGCACAACCACAAAGGAATTTTTCTCCTCGACTTGGCTTACCACAGATCACATGTGAACAACTTCGAATAAAGTGCTGAGAAAAAAAAAAAAAGCAACGTATTTTCAAAATCAATGTCACGCTCCAGGGGTCACGCTCTATCATACTGCGCGCGTTGCCAATACATGTTTATGAATCATCAAATTATTACATGACATCGAAACACTCTCAGTTGTTCAATAACTTGAGCTTCAAGATGATACTTTTTGTCAACTATTTATGACCTAGAGAGATGCAACTCGCTGTACTCTTACATAATGCACGCCATTGTGCACGGCCGCCTCGACATAAAACGTAGCAAATGGTTCACAGCACAAGCACAAGCACAAGCTTGTATAATAATGCCGAGAAGCGCAACAGAACGGACTAGTAAAGCGTAGTTTGTCATTTTTTGTTATTCTAAGGCGTTCAGGGTACCTCGTTAGTCCAACTATTGTCAAAGCATCCTTTACTTTCTTTAATATCTTACTCCCAGAGACGTAAAAATCAAGCGCGCGATGTTTGATTAAGGCGCGCAAACAGTAAGCTTAATCATTTGTCCATTTAGTAAACGACCACTTAAAGTTTTCTAACTTACCGGCGTATCTGAATAAGTCCCACCAAGTTCTTGAATGGATTGTGACAACTTTCCTTTCTCCTCGCTGGTAAAAGACGATAGCAAAATGTGGTATCTTCTCCTGGAGTTTGCCGCCATGTTGGATGAAGCAGACTTCCCGCCAAATGATTTCATTTTTGCATTTCCGGTCTGATCACTCGTTCCAGGCTGTTTGGAGAAAACTGACAGTTCAAACTGGCACGTCCTTCTTTTGATGATGCGGCTAAAAATATGGCTTCAGATTGTGACTGTGCAGAAAGCCAATTAATGAACTGTTTTAAAGTTGAAATTATCTTGAAAAGGAACGATGATGACAGTGTTCTCCTTTGGAGATGGAAGGATGAAAACAAATGGGAATTGCCGTGGTTTCTTCTTAGGGAAACCGAAAGTTTTCAACAAGAAATTCAGAGATGGTGTTCGAATCAGTTGGTAAGCAATGTCTGCGGTTTTACATTAGCAATCGTGCTGTACGTGGAGACAATATTAAAATCCAACGTTTGTATTATATAAATGTTTATACACAGTTGTACGCATGGATCCCTTGGACTGGGGGTATCTGTTTAGACTGCAAATGAAAGTAGTAAACATGGAAAAAAAGTAAACATGTGGGAGGGGGGGTGGGGGTACTCCAGATTAGAATACACCTTTTGCTGTTTATAACGAGAAAATACACAATCATTTGCCTTAAACGGCGACCAATAGTGTGGAGATACAGTCATTAGCGCGAAAAAACAAACATTTCCGCATATATCAGATTCAATTACAATTTTTGCATTTGAATCAACATTCAGTAACACTCTTGGGCATTCATATGCGTCATGCGGCATACAAAAGAGAAGAATAATTATACTTTCATTAACGCCAACATCCAAGTCATTAACACCATATTGAAAATCAACAGGGACAACAGACAAAAAGTAAAGTGCAAATACTATTCATAAAATTTTTATGACACTATTAAAAAATTTTGGCATGAAATAATACCCCTCAGCACATTTAGCTGGGGTCACAATGATTTCTGCACAGAGCTTCAAGAAGGTTTTGTTTTCAGACTCCCCTCGTGGGATAGGGCTTTGACCTCATTCCTGTTATCCATACGTCTTTAAATTTCCGGATGCAAGATGTCAGCCTTGATTGTCACTTTCAGACAGCTTAATACCTGTTCCACGATATTGAGAGGGGGAGCACAAGCTCTGTATGTATGGGGCAGGAAGGGCTGGATCTTGGTAGGCTGTCACTCCTTCATACGCAAAGATTACCAACTTGTCGGGATCCATATCTGTCCTTGCCCATGCCAGGAAGTAACTAAAATGCCTAGCATTCATTATGCCCGCAGCTGCTGAGCAAAACATTGATAGGTGATGTTACCATGGTCACATTCAAGTTTCGTCCTCATTGGCCACACACTTGGCAGTGCACCCTCTCCCCCTGTCATGCCCTACCATGACTTCTTACCTTCCAAATGGTAAATTATAGCCGCATTCGTCGACAAACACACAGTGGGGCAGTATGGCGTGGTTCTTTATACCAGGTAGCGTAAAAAATTCAGACCAATTTTTTTTAATTGGTATGTTTAATTGAAAATCGATTTTTCTATATTAAAGGTAAAGAAAACTCAATTGATTGTACAAGCGCTTTAATGTTTGTCTTATCCATCCGTAAAGGCTATCCAGGAATGGTATTGAATTGCAAACAGGGTCAAAAAAATGTTAGTGAATAGTGTTTGCACTTTAACGTTTGTCTATTGTCCCTATTGACTTTCAAGTGACTTGGACTTGGATGTTGGCATTAATGAAGGTATATTTTTTTCTTTTGTATGCCGAATGATGCATATTAATGCCCAAAAGTGTTATTGAATGTTGATTCAAATGCAAATATTGTAATTGAATCTGATTTATGCGGAAATGTTCGGGGTTTTTTGCAATTACGTACGAATGTACCTTCTCATTATTGGTCGCCGTTTGACGCAAATGATTGCGTATTTTCTTGTAACGAACAGCAAAAGGTGTAATATTGACCGGGATGATCAAAGGATCTGGGTTTGAAGTTTTCCATTCTAGAATTTTTTTAGGTAAATTCAGCATGCTTTTTGGGTGCAGGGTGATTTAATTAAGAGAGATTTAAGTACGCGCTGGAACCTGGTGAATACGCAGACCAAGGGGGCATGCTATGGTGTCTGTATTAAGTAGGCTCTCCAAAAAACTCCCAGACACAAATTGTATTGATATAAAGACTAAAGCAGACAAAGAGGAAGTGGGATATCAAACATATCACATTATTTTGTTATTTTGTGCCTGAGGACATATAAAAGTATCCTTTGTCCATATATGCTGGTATCCTCATTAAGCAGATTAATTTTACAGAAAAAATGTGAGCTTTTCATCAGAACAAATGGAACTGTCCATTACACCCCATTCCTTAAACACATTCCTCCCCTCTTAAAGCCTTTTTTTTCCTTTAATGGTTTTTTTCCATCGGCCGGAGCTTATCCTGGTTTCCTTAGCATGAAGCATGCCTTGGTCCGCATTGCTATTCCCCCCTGGACAGGATGCTTAAGTCTATTGCAGGGTTACCCCTCAGCAGTATGTCGCTGGTACCCATTTATGCACCTGGCGGGGTGTCAAGAGAGACAAAGTGGAGTAAAGCTCCTTGTCTAAGGAAACAACGCAATGGGCGAGGCTTGAAGCACAGACACTTCCAGATCCAGTGTTTGAGGTGTTAACTGCTCAGCCACACACACCTCCACTTTTTTTCCATACCCCTTAGAAATATTCCAGTGTCAATTGTTCCGATGTAGTAACCCCAGCCCCTCAGAAGTAACTTTCAAAGCCTCAGTCAGAGATTCCCATCTGTTGGGGGAAGGGTTTTTGTAGAGGCTGGTACTAAACATAGGGAATTCGATTTTTATCATCTGGTTATGGCATTAAAAAAAAATTGAAAGGTCCTGTTTGTGGTCTTTTAATTCCTATTATTACTTAACAAGCACTGACCAAGATCTACTGATGAAGTGTCAATCAGACCACAAAATTGGGATTGTGTGCCTTTAAGAATGATGTAACTTGACAGTTGGCCATCTCAAGTGCCTATTCTTTTTTTCCCAGGGAACTGAGGATGATATCAAACTGAACCTTCATGGTGTCGCTGGTATCAAACATTGCATTAATGAACAAAGGAGATTGATGACTTTGATATTTTATGTGTCTTTTTCTGATGATGAGCAACATACAAAGAAGAATTTGGAATGTGAACCATTCAGGTCAAACCACGGTACAGACATGATGACTGGAGACCAAGTTTTAATTAAGTGGCTCTCAATTTCTGAGGGTGATGAATCTTACAGTGAAGCTGTTAAAGAAGATGCCTGTAACTGGATCAAGAAAGCAACAAGTGAAAGTAATATCGATATTTACAAATTATTACTGTGGTACAGTAAAATCCCATTAATACAGTCACTGAGAGGGCCATAGAAGGTGTCAGGATGAACTGGGTTTCCGTATTAACTGGGGTTAAATTTAGAGAAAATTTAAGGGTTTTCTTTTTCCAGGGACAAAGAAAAATATCCTTAGTAATGAGGTGTCAGTAAAGCGGGCTTTGACTCTAGTGATAAGTATAGGAGCACTTGTGAAAGTAAAAATAACAAAAAGAATGTTTGTGAGGGACTCATGCAGGCATAGCTCTGGCTTGTTTACCAGCTGCTGTTCAGAAAAGATGTCCCCAATCATCCCCCTGAAAGAGCTCTCTCAGGGAGGAACAAAGGCTGTTGGAAATTGGGTTCTCTCCTACCCAAGTCCCTGTGAGGCGAGATAGCATCTCTCTCTTGCTCTCCAGGAACAGGTAGTCGAGAACCGTGGGAATGAGGTTGGCACAAGAGTATTGAGGTGACTCGATAGGGTTTTTCAGGGTCAGTTTAAGCATAAACTATGTCGCCATTAACAAAGATTTGGAAAAATTACCACCACAACTCTATTAGATAAAGATGAAAATTTGTTATGATCAGGGTTACAATGACATTGGAGTTGTCATAGCAATGAAATGATGCCATTACCTATTTTACTTGCAGCTGTATTTTTTGGTACTGGGAACAGTCTGCCCTTCCAAAATAGTTCACAGGAACTTTTTCCTCCAATTGCCACCTCAATGTTCTGATATCATTGTAAGCCTGATTATAAGAAATTGTCATCTTTATCTAATACAGCGGTGGTGGTAATTTTTCCAAATCTTTGTTAATGGGAACGTATAGTTTATGCTCAAACTTAGGAGATATTGACAGTGAAAACTCTATCGAGCCACCTTAAATTTGGTGCCAAAGATTAAATCCAACATTGGTGGATAGCATGGAATATAGCTGACGGTCCTGATCATCCTGAGAAGTAGGGGTAGCTCAACATTTCTCACATATGGGAGGTGTGGATATACTTTTGGAGTAAGACAATTTCACTTTTGTTGTAACTTGTTTTCAGGACTGGTAACCGTAGACGTTTTTGAGGAATTTGTCAACTGTCCAGATGTACAAGAGGAAGCACCAGCAAAAAGGTCCTCAGAAAGAATTACTGCAGTGACTGAGAGTGCATCATCAAATAGCACATGTACAATTGACTCTGCTGGTGTAAATAATCATGCACATCAACACCGCAAACTGTGCAAAGTTTCTAAATGTGTAGATGACACTCTAATCATAAATGGACACAACTCTGGGACAAGTACTTTAACATGGAAAGGTGGGGCAAAGTCTCAGAAATTCGAGAAAGATGTATGTGCACTTACATCTGCCATGGAAAAACTCGTGGAGTCAGCCAATTTTAGAAAGCTAGGTATGCATTTTTTGTGAACTACAGTGGCAAGTATATAATAGCTGAAAATATGTATTTTCTCTGAGACAGGTGATTTTTATCCCTGAGTATTTGGGGTTGGAAATAATTTGCCATAAATTTGATGATAATAGTGTTTAGAACTACAGTGGAACCTCTTGTTTGGGACACCTCCATTCAAGGGGCACAAAATTTGATCCTGGAAAATGTTTTCATAATCTTTGTACCTGTGGCATGTATTTAAGGGACACCCATTTTCAGTGGAAAAGGACACTTTTTTTAGGTCCGGAAACCTGGGTTTAACCTTCATTGATGGGACACCTTAGCCCTCAAAAAGCGTCTGACCATGAAAAGTGTTGAGAAGTTTTTGTGTATACTAATTACAATGGTGACAGCTTTCACAACATGAACCATCTCACTTAAATCATTGTATAGCACACTTTAAAGAATACAACACAAAATATCCCATTGATTAGTTAATCGTGATTTTTAGGCATTATCTAGTTGCTTGAAATAATGACTGCAGCAGATTCGACTTGACAGAATAAAAGAGAAATTCTTCATTTGTTGGTTAATTATTAAAAATCCCCAGCACAACCTCCGTTCAAGGGACACTTGCCTTGGTCCCGAGGGTGTCCCCTGAATAGAGGTTCCACTGTACTGCTACATCTTTTTTTGCTGTACACATAGTTCATGAGTTAAATTATCATGTTCACAGAAAGAGATTTTATTAAGAGGAGATTTGAAAAGTGCAGTGGTGGAGCTCAAATGATTGGAATTGCAGAGTTCACGCTTTTTATGGAGGAACTTGGCGTAAGAACAGACAAAATCAAAGACCTGTTCAGGTAAAATCCCATCTGATTTGCTGTTAGTAGTTTCCTCAGTTTCCTCAGGCATAGATCTAGGATAAATGCTGACCGATTTCCTAAACGAGTACCAAAGGCGCAAGCTTCTAGGGGGAGTCCAGGGGCATGCTCCTCCGGGAAATTTTGTGGATTTTAACTCCCGAAGGTCCCCTTTCTTGGATTCATGAGTCATTCAGACAGGATAATATTGGCAGGATTTGAACTTGGAAATTTTTTTTTATTAAAAATATATTTATTTATGATGTTTAATTAACATTGAGATGGTAGAACTTTGCTCTCACTTTGGTTTATCCATCCTTTACGAAAGTGGGCCAAAGGTCCTTCGAATTTTCGTTTATTAATCTAGTATATAACTATTAATTTTCTGCAGGAACATTTGGTTCATCCTGACATAATAATGAATTGAATAGGTTACAGGGAATCATAAAAAAAGAGCACATAAGAAGCAAAATAGCAAATAGAAACAGCTATCGTTATAGGATGTATCTGCGATGCATCGGTTGCCACAGTGCGATAGAAATGGTGATGATGATGATGATGATGTACATAACGCTAGAATGGCAAATGGTGCTCTGCCACGGATTAGAAAAACCAAGAATCATGCTGTTTGTCTGGTTCTGTTTTCGCCTAGAAAAATGATATTGGTCAGTGACAATGAGCAGTTGACCTTATTTCCCACATGTTCATTTTTTTTGTCAGGTCATTCGACTTTAACGATCGCAATCACTTGACATATGAAGATGTTCTCTTTGGAGTGGCAGCTATGGATTTGTCTACACCTCATGGCGGGCCATCAGGAGAGTTACGCTGTCGATACATTTTTAAGTTCTACTCCACTGAAGAGGAAGCTTCTCTTTCCTTTGAGGAATTTAAGTAAGTTAGAAGGTGCACGTAGGATGGCAAATGGTTCTGTGCCACGGATTAGAAAAAACACGGATCATGCTGGTTTTCTGGTTCTGTTTTCGCCTAAAAAATGATGTTTAATTTTTTTTTTTGTCAGGTCAGGTGAGACTTGATGAAAAAAAAGGGATGCAATTATTGTACCTTAGCTGTAAGCCTATGTTCACGCTATACCGCGGATAGCTTTTGCGCCGGCGCGAAAACCATACCAAATAGGGTTAAATAGGGCTTGTGTTCACACATCAGAACGGTGATTTCGGCGCAATTTCTGTAAAGGAGCGAAGCTGCGCCACGCCCAACCTCGTTCCCAGGTTCTCTCTCGGTCCGTAGGGACGGGTAGGAGAGAACCTTGAAAACGAGGTTGCGCCGCGCCAATCTCGAAGTCGGAAAGACACATATTGGATCGGTGTTCATACTATAGCGGACAGTTTTTCTGTCGGCACGAAAAGCTTTCCTCAATAGTGTTAACGTAGCCTATGAAATCGGATCCGTGATTAGCGACCAAAAGAGAATCCTCGGATATTTGTGTCTGGAACGTAATATCCGTATCGCATGTACATCGATCTGTCTGTTTCTCACTGTGCAAGAAAACAAAGAGAATGCACTGATTATTTTTACTTCTCGGAACTGTTAAACAGGGGAGGGATCTTTTTTCAGAAGTGTCTATACTGCGTGCGATCGGGGGTACTTAACATTTACACCTACCACTCGGGTGGATTTCTTGTGCATAAACATAAAACAAGAAAATTTGATGTGCTGGGAGAACGACCCGATATACAGAGTATATCCAGATCAGCTCAACAGACTAAAAAGAGTAGAAGAATTTCATGGTCTCAAGAGACAGCTATTATTTTCTGAAGCTTCCCAAACCGGAAATGGCGCGAACCATATGATTTTCCAATTGGAATTGAAGTTTTTTTCATGCAAATAGTAAGAACCCCAGGTGATCTTAAATGGAGCTGGGGGAGCGCGAAAATCGGTTAAATAAAGACAGGAGAAAAACTCTGGATCACAGGTAACAAAATCTGTTCCTCCTATCTCGTAGTTCCGCCCTTAGTTTCGAGCGAAATGTTATAACTTTTGTTAGAAGTTCGCGATTTGACTGGTTAGTTAGCAACGCATTAGCGTGGTTAAGTAAAGTGAAATCGTTTCTCGCTAACAGTACTCATGATGGTGTTGTTTAATTTGCACAAACTATTAACACATCACAGGTCGATGGTTAGGGATATTCGAAAGATTAAAGGAGAAAGCATAAAGGAAACTGATGTCTTAGAGGATGCAAAGAGTAAAGCCAAGTATGTGATACCCTTACCGGCGTAACAGATAATTATAGGAAAAAACAAATTTAATTTATGAGGGCACTTGGAAATGAGCTTATAGAAAGTTAACCTGAGGGGGTACATGCATGTTACATTATTTTCCATCTTTGTAAACAGCTACAACGTGGCTTGGCATCATTTAAATTCCAAAAACGATGGTCCAGTTTTGTTATTTAAAACTATATTTAGGCATTGAAACTGTTTCCTGTCGTCTGTTGCTATGGATAGCAAGAATGAACATGGATTGAAACTTCACACATTTCCAATGGTCACCACTGACTTGTTCATGTCGTAAAATCTAAGACTCAAGTGGTACGAGACGTCAAGCTGTGCGAGTGGTTCAAGTGGTGAATGTGATACGTTTGAGTGAAATAAAGTGAAGTACATTATGAGGCTGCATCTCATTAGATTCTTTATACTGACTCTACAGGAGCTTTAGATGAATGAGTAAAGGCAGTAAGTAATGACTTTAGCACAGAATTGACCTAAAACAGCGTTATCCTCATCGACATTGTCCCTTCAAGGGTTACTAGTATCCACCATTGCAGAAAGTCTCTCATATGTGTTATGTTTTGACTTTTTCATGCAGACTCTTTGGGACCGGACACACTGAAAAGCTTTACTTGGTGGACTTTTTAGAAGCTGTAGGCAGCCTTCGATTCCGTGGGACATCTGTGTTGCTTCGTCTACCTGTGTCAGTTGTTGCACTCGCTCAAGATGAGCTCAACGAAAGCCTCAGTGATGGTCAAAAAACACGGTAGTGTGCATAGGCTATTGTATTAACCTTTTCATCTTTGATGTTTTGATTGTTTTTTTTTTGTCCTACTTAATAAAGATCATTAAGGTACGTGCTCAAGACTTAGCATGAGTACGTCTTCCGAATTTCAAAACCCGTCGTTATTAGTCTAGCTTGAGTGTCAGGCGTTTTGTGGGGAAATGGAAAAGAGAGAAGCGAAAATGGGAGGCAGAGAAGGGAGAGAAACCTTCCCCTTTCTCTTTCACCACCCCCACCCCCACCGCCGCCTCTAAAATCTCCATTCTTCTAACATCCAAGGAAGACCTGATACTCAGGATATTGTCACTTTATCTTCAGGTTTGGGTGTCAAGACTGGTCTGACGAGTGGTTACGGTTTTTTAATGTTTAAAGTGCGAAAAAGATTGGAGAAGTCAAGCTCGTTCGAATTCCAGTCTTAAACCGTTCCCTATTCTGAGAAGAAGTTAGAGGCTGCATGATTTACACGTTCGATTATATTGCGCGATTTATCGCGCAACAACAGCTGCGATCTAGATGTAACCCCAAGTGTCGTGTATAAACATGTACTCGGCGGAGTCAGCCCAATTTGTCGCAGCCAGCCCGCCTCAATTTCGCAGAGACTTTTTCATACCAGGAGCCGATATCTTCTGTCTGTGCATACCAATTTCTCTTCCCATAGTTTTTACAAGCAACTGTATATGCTTATTGTTCGAAATGCCTGTCAAAAATACCACTTTCGTAAAATCAGAATCAGATCCCGCTTTTGTCGCAAGGTAAATCACCTTTATGAAGGACCCTTAACGTGTGGTTAAAAAAAACGTGTATTTAAGGGATGTTCCACTGAATTGTCTTTATCTCATACGACTGGCTTTTAAAGGTTAAAAAGTTATAAGTTTGGGGTGCTTCCTATGGCAATTAAGAGCCACTTCATTTCATTGATACTGAACTCATGTGCTATTCACAACAGCTCTGATTCCCCAGTTAAGAAACGAAGAGGTGATGACAAAGAAGACGCCATGGACTTTCAAGGCTCAGACGGCTTTTCAATTGAGTAAGATGAAATTTCTCTTTTGCCCCTTTTTAAATACACACGTAGATCATCGTTGAAGTGATTTTCCCCTTTGACCGCGAGTGATCGTCCCTCTTTCGTCAGAATAGGGAGTTTCAGCAAAGATGACGGCGACGTCAGGAGCGAGAACGGCAAAAAAGCGATAGGTTTAAATTAGCAAAACAACAACTCTGCACGTGCATCACACTTTTTTGTACATTTCTTTGATGTCACTGCACGTCTACAACGTGAAAATAGGCTTTATGGAGGACGTGAACAAAAGACCAGGACTTTCTTTTTTCTTTCCCTGAACTTCGATACAGTCTTTTAGAATTCAACTCCAGAAAAAGTTGCCAACATTTGACAAAATGAACGAGGTGGAATAAGCGCGATAAAGTTTGAAGCAGCGCGACTTCACTTTTTAAGTGACGTTTTCATAGCCGTCGCCGTCGTTGTTGCCATAGCTCCCTAACTACGTTCGGCGGGCGATACGCGCTTGCTCGTAATTTACCGTGACTCAATGCAAGTGAAAGATAAGAGACTGCGCTGCTCGCATTTTTTTTTTATTCTGCCCAATTAGCGTTCGCTGGCCGGCCTTTTTATCGTCATTTTGAAACAGGTGTGCCGATCATACTAGCCGGTTTTACAGTAATAAGGTTATCATTCTGAAAAGAATTGCGGTTAAAAAGTTTTTTGTGCGTTTGTTTGTTCGGGTTTCCAATATATCCGGAGAAACGACGAAGTCTTTAAATAACAGGCAAACACAGAGGGACGGTTGTTTAAACGAAGTCTAACTTAGTCCGCGGTTTAAGAAATCATTTGACTCCCAGATCTCTTTCTTGGTAGGCTAATTTAAGAAAATAAGTCCTTTTCCAGTCTACGCCATATGCTTTACTGAAATTGAACACCATAGGTGGTGTTTGGGTAAAAGCTTTGGGCGAACTGAAAATGGCTTAGAATGCGGTTTTGTTAAACACGTGCTTTGCTCCGTTTAAATAACAGGCCCACAGTCTTTTGTACTATATTCAGCCTTAGTGCTTTGTTCCTCTCTTCAAAAACTTAACTGCAGTTTTAATTTTTGCAACGTCTCAACGTGACTAACTCCGTCGTGTATGCTAATTTTTCAGGTCTCTCACAAATCAGTACGAACTGGCTACTCACACGGTGAAAGTCCGACGCAGTGGAATGTTAAGTGACGTCAGTGTATTATGGGATACCAGTAAAGGTATCATGGTAACAGGGAGTGCTCACAGAGAAGTGACAGCCGCTAAATTGAAGATAGAACGGCTACCGTCCATCAACTGCTTTAACCAGGCATGTAATTGAGCTCACTTTGGCTTTCACTTACGCCATCTTGGGGAGCATAAGCAGAATAAACTGACAAATTAATTCTCCATTTCAAAAATAAAACGAAATCATGAAATTGTTGCCATGTGGATTAATGAAAAGTCGGTGGAAAGCTATACCATAAATATGTCTCTTTCTTTTAAGTTATATACCCAACATGAGAAGGGGTTTTTCATCTAATGTCCAGACATCGATGGGCAGTCAGAGTTTTTTTTGAAAGCCATTATTTCGTCGTAACTGTTTATGAGATGGAACACTCTTGAGTGTTCGGTATAGCTTATCAAATTAACAATGGTTCTTGAAGATATTCAAAGCTTTGCTCCTCTGGGAACTAAACTCTTTTTTCATGAAAATTCTTCGAGAAAAAATTCTATTGTTCTGACGCCCAACATGGCCACCTTGTCGCGTGGTTGCAAACCAAGAATTGGGGTGTTGCGGAAACCATTGTTGATGGGCTATTGTTTTGTGGTGTGCGTATTGTTCACTGTCTTCCCAATTTTTTGTAGTACGTCATTTAACTTTTTCCTCGCGTTCAGATCACGTGGGGACAGCGTAAAGAGATGTGACAAGGGAAAACAGCGAGGGGGTGGGTAGCGGGTGAGAGCACAGCCTCCCTAAGCCTTTCTCAAAGCCCTTCGCTTCTCATTTTCGGTTCCGGTAGTTGGCCCCAGCGCGTCTCTCGCTCGCTTTTGCCGCAGAAAACATAGAAAGTCTACCACGCGCGCTTCGCGCTCGTGAGAAAATTTGAGCTCGACTTGTGAGCAAGTCTAAGCCTCCCTCTCCCTCTCTTCCTCCTCGTTTTTTTTTTCTCGCTCTCTGACTTCGCGCCGCATTCCACTATTTGAACGCCTGGAACTGGCTATACGTCAGTTTTTGATAGGACACGTCCGGTCCACATCCGCTGCTAATCTCGTACCCAGATCTCTTGTCGACAAGAGATCTGGGTACGAGTTGAATCCTCAGCATCAAGAAACAACGAAATTTCATGCTCCGATTAAGTTCCAACCCCCTCCCACCCCTTACTGCAGTGATACTCTTCGTGTTTCGAAGTATGATTAAACTGAGAACGTTATATTCTTTTACTCTAGCAATCAGACGCCAATCAAATGCTGTCCGCTCTGAGGTACTTTGAACGAGCTGTCAAACCAAACTCTGCTGCTAGCAAAGCCGGGGGACCAAAAGACAGCTTCAACTGGGGATGTGTGGAGATGTCTTCACTAGGCAACTGTTTAGTCTGCATCTGCCGAACACTTCTCGATATCGTTAAAAAAGAGCCTCGGCTTATCAGAGTCAAGTCACCCACCTATGTTGTTGGTAAGTGGTCATGAAGCTTGATATAGTACTAATATTGTGTCTTTAAAAAGCAGTTTTGATTATAGTAAAAAATAATTACGACAGCGCGGTTTTCCGGGAGCTCCTCACTGACTCATATCTCCGGTAATCTTAATCTTTGTGAAACGCCCCTCTAGTTCACTTTTTAATCTTTCCCTGAATTTAAGCATAAACAGAACAAGGTCGTTCTTTTGTTCAGCTTGGTTTGTCACGGTTCTAGTTGCCCAAGCCTCTGTTTAAAGCGAGGCTCAGTGCGAAGCTTTAAAGACTCGTTTTCACCAAAGAGGATTTGCACCTCGCAACTCGGAAATGCTATTCAAGGAAAAAAAATGAAATTGTCCTGTTTGTTTGTCTCTTTGGGGAAGATATGTAGGTTATAGGATGAGATATCTAATTATAAAACAAACAAACTAGTAAACGGTAAAAAAACAAAAACAACAACATCAACCATTCAAGCATATTAAAGTAATCGTCTTCAGTGATGTTTGTCTTGCCATCGGCTACTTTCTGCAATATTTTTAAATTGTGATAACTTTTATTTTTATGTGAAATGTAGATCAGCGATAACCGAAGTAGATGAATTAGCTACAAAAATATATCTTTAACTTTTACCAGGTGACCTTCATGGTAATTTCCGTGACTTGGTGTGTTTTGAGAAAGTTCTTTGGAGACTGGGACCTGTCCTTACACCCGCTAGTTTCTTGTTCCTTGGGGACTATGTCGACCGAGGAGAGAATGGAGTGGAGGTATGTTTTTAAGTCGAGGTTTGCCTAGTAAAAACAGTGTTGGAAGTCGATGAGACTGTCATACTTCTGGCCTTAGCTTGGCGTATCAGATCAGCGTCCACCCTCTTCCTGACTCCTCAAATCCAACTGTTTTTCCGGACCCAAGTTCACGCCCAGACAAGATCAGGAGATCCTGACTTGATTATGTTTTTCATTTTACTTTTATTTTATGACTTTGTGTCCTTTTTTGTTATTTTAATTTTTTTGTTCAGGTTGTCGCGTACTTGTTCGCGCAGAAATTGCTAGCCCCATCCAAGTTTTTGCTGATTCGTGGTAACCACGAGATCAGACGTATTCAGAAAATGTTCACTTTTTATGGGTAAGTTTTATGAATGCAGCGTAGAGAACAAAGATATCACTCCCCCAATCAAAAGTCTCAGTTGCTGTTTTCCTTTTAGTTTTGAACCAACAGCAAAGTAAGCGAAGTTCAAAACAAGTCAAGATTAAGATTGTCTTTCGTCCTTACCAGTAAATAGCTCAGGAAAATACCTTAGTAATCCTTTAAACATATTGAATTGGTAACGCTTGTAAAGATGTTCTTTTCCTATCTGAAATTCAAATATCATGAATTTGCAACTGTAACTATGGACTGAGCTCTTCCTTTTTTCCTCTCTCACGGCAGTGAATGCATACAAAAGTTTGGCCCTGATTTAGGCGAGGAGGTCTGGGCAGCAGTCAACTCGGTATTCGATGTTCTTCCAATAGCTGCTATTGTGGACGATAAGGTAACAGTAACAGTTAACTTTAGGTAAACTAAAACCTGCCCACATGTAGCAGGCGCATGAAAATAACGTGGGTACAAGAAAGAACGGGGCGCGCGAGCTCGCGTGTCTTTGTCGCACGTCTCGTTTTCTTTGGCCCCCATATTACTTTCATACGCCTACTACACAGGCGTAGCTAAACTGCTGACAGACACCCCTACATATGGTCATCACACGATGAACATACCGCCGGTTAGACGGATTAACATTGTCTCAAGATAATTGACAGCTGTAGCCTGTGCCAGACTCTCAGGTAGTAGGGACGTCGCGAAAATAAGACAAGCCAAGCAAAAATAGACGGCGCGCGATCTGGGGAAGGAGGCGGTGGTGGGAACCGCCCTCTCTTTCCAAGCCCCGCGCGTTTTTCACATCGCTGTTTACTACACATCTTGGAGCCTGGAAAAGGCTATGACTTATGATGAGCCCATGCTCTATCAAAAGGTTATAAGAAACTGAGACGTATGTTAGTCTTGTAGATGCGTTGTACTTACGGGTATTTTACAAATATGAGTAAAAAGACTTGATGTTAGCTGAGATAATGTTTAAGCGAGTTGTAACTCTCGTTAACATGTCACAACAATACTTAGAAAAGTAATAGCAAAATAAACCCGAAAAAAATTTCGGGACTTCAACGGGATTCAAACCCGTGGCCTCTGCATTAACGCTGCAGTGCTATGAAGACCAGTACAATGGGAGCAGGCCAATTTGTTGAGTTCATCTTAACCCGTGAAAGGAAAAAACATCAAGATGATGTGAACTGCGGAAATAGAATTTTTTTTGAAGTCCCGAAAATTTTTTTCGAGTTTATTTTTTACTAGTTACTTAAATTGCACTTCCCACTGCGACGATCATATCTTCATTTTAAAATTTGTATTTCCGCAGTTCACATCGTGTTCAATACTCAGAAAGGAGTGAAATGGTCCTAACGACTGCTATAAAGACATGTTACAATAATTTTCCCCTTTTCAAATGATGTTGCAGTCGGGCGATGTTACATTCTTGAGAAAATGTTAGATTTTGTAGATATTCGTACCTATGTGTCTACTGAGTGTTTTTAGGTGATACACTGTAACCTGGTGTTTGGGTTTACGGGGCGTGGTAATCCCGCATCATAGGCAGACGGTGCCCCCTCCCCCCTCCTCCTCCCCCTTCTTCTCGAGGCTGTTGACAAATTTGAAAATTTTCGGGCAAAACGTTCATGATCCGGCTAACAGCACTTGGGATAAAGCTAAAAAAAACTACAACAACAACAAACAAATAGAGAGAAAAAACGAACCAACGACTGTCGTACCCGAACGTCAGGCTAAATGTGCACTTGCCAAATCAAGGGTTGTTTGGTTATCAACTCTTGGTCCCATTGATTAGTGAAAGATGTTGATTACATTTTGTCATTCTTTCCCGCGGCGTCCATCTTGAGTTTAGCCTGCGTCGCTGATGTAACTTACCCCCGGTTAGTAACGTCTGCGAAACAGCGCCGAGATCCTTGTTCCGGATCCCCCAAGGGACTCAAGGCTAAAGTGCGTTTCAAATTTCCTATCAGACTGATTGGCAAATTGACAATGGCTTTTTTACAGCCTAGTCATGGCACCTACTCAAATCCCGGTACACAGGTGGGGACTCAGAACAAGAATTTCAGCGCTGTTTCGCAGATGGACTTTATCAGAGTTTAGTTTCCTCTGTGGCGCAGGTTATGTTGGAGTCTCTAGCTGGGTTAGTCTGCAGACAGGCTCTCTGGCTGGTTTTGGGGGGGACAGAATACAGCTTGTTCTCAGGCTAACCAGGGGTCAGTACAGTCAACTCCCTTTATAGCGGACACTCTAGGGACCTCGAGTTAGTGTCCTCATTAGCGAGAGCCCGTAATAGCGGAAGTTTATTTCAGTCAAACGTCTGTAATTTGTTTTCGCCGGGGAATTAGCTGCTGTCCATTTTATCGAGGTGTCCGCAAGGCGAGAGTTGACTGTAAATTGTGTTTGTTCTGTAACAAAAAGGCAAATTAACAATCACAATAAATATTGTACCATGTCTTTTCAGATTTTCTGCGTTCATGGGGGTATTCCGCTACCCAGTCAAGACGGCGGGCTCGTCTCCTCGATCGACAGTATTCCTAGTGTCCTGTTCGAACCAGAAGAACAAAGCGAGTTAGCCTGGGAACTAATGTGGGGAGATCCTTTGAGGTACATACTTCTTTTAGTGTTTTCCTTCTAACTAAGAACAATACCAAGATCTTTTATAGAGAAATACTTTATTCTCTCAATTCCAACGTACAAATATATACTTTGTGTCACAGTTGCATAGTTGGTTAGCCCCTTGGGTTTTAAATAATTCTACTGCACTCTTATCGAAATAATTTAGTTTCTAAGTTATCTCACATTAAGATATAAATTCAGGCGTACTTTTGATACAAGACTTAGATAATACGGAGTATCATTCAATTTCGACGAAGCATGATCTATTTTTTTTTTTTTCGTATTTTCATTGCGTTTGTAATTCGCGATAAATGAAATTTGACCACACACTGTCACCTCTTCAAATGTGCTTGAAATAAAATAAGTCTTCTTGAGGTGGCTTAATAGATTAGCGACAGAATGAGAGATAAATCGCGCGCTTTGTTTTTCTAGTAATATAATTTAAAAACACGGTGTTCGATATTTAGAATCCGTTCGTGATTGGATTTTGGACGAAACTCTCTTTGGGTGTTTGGTAAACTGCATTCTCGATAGAAAATTCCGAGCAAAGGTTTGCAAAATGTTGTGGTTGGTTTTATCCGGTATCCAAACCATATCGACGGTATAGTTTTTTGTTTGTTTCATTGTTTGTTTTTTAATTCATTATGATTGACCTAGAGAAATAAATAGGGACTATTTCTAGAAAATGGAATACCCGCAACGAAATGAAACTGTTCAGAAACCAACAGATGCTCATTTTTGTTCCTGTCACGTGTCCTCTTCTTTTTTGCTCTCCTTGTTAATGAGCGTTTGTTTAGGGGACTCGTCGTCGCTGGTCATAAGGTTAGAAAGAAATCCTTCATCATTCTCGCTGTCGCTACTAGGAGACAGCGGTCCATCCTCACTGCTTAGTGACCTGGCACGCTTACGGACATAACGTGATGGCGCCGTTAGTCGATAGAGGAAGTCACGTGATAGGCTATCTTCGCTCAGTCGTTCTTTGCTGTTGTGAAAGCCATACATGAAGTAGATTACCATACCTGTTTTAAGAAAGGAAGAACTAGAAATTTTAGTCGATAGTTGATTGTTTGAAGAATCTTGTGGGTTGTAGCTTTTGAGTATATTCACGTACAGTTAATTACAGTTAGTAAAATCTTAATGAAAGCCGACATTTAATGTTGAAAATTGAAAGAAAAATCATCATCAGACTCTTTAAATGTACAGTCCTTAAAGGACACCACAAAATTCGCCAAAACATGATCTAATTTTTTTAAAATTTTCATTGCGTTTATAATTCGCGATAAATGAAATTTTGCCCCACACTGTCTCTCTCCTCTAAAATAAGCCTTCTCTAGGTGGCTTATCAGATTAGCTACGATATTTGAAATTAATCGCTGTGTTGTTTAGAATCTGTTTGTGTCTGGATTTTGGACCGAACACTCCTTGGCTGTGAGGTACAAGTTCTTAATGAAGGGGGAACCGCAATGAACTCGCGCTGGTGCGAAAGTCGCCCCAGTATCATATAGACACCCCCTAAATAACGGAGTTTCTTTCTTTGTCTATGAAAACCGCTAGTCAACCATCAGTCAGTGAGATAGGTGGTCCCACAGTCAGCAAGTTAGTAACTTAGTTAGTTTTCTTGTAGTTTGTTAGAAGGTCACCTGTAAACTCGGAATCTATTAGAGGAGAACGATAATAGAAAGTTAAGAAACGGAGGAGGAGTACCGGGTGGGGGAAACTTACCGAAAAACATCCAGGCCGCAAATCGAGCCCACGTCCAGCCATTCAAGTTTGTCAGCAAGTAAATATTAAGCAGGATACTGGCAAGAGGAACAAACGGAATACAAGGTACTGCATGGTCAATCTTGAGTTTTTTAGTGGGCAGAAGAAGCAGCAACACTAATGCCAGAATAAAGATCAGCGCCATAAGACAGGACACAAACAATACCACGGGGTTTTGGTGTAAAATGTAGTGTAGGCCACTTCCTGCTGACACTGTTAAAGAAAAACCGAAAAAGGCAAACACTAAGCACGCTGAAGCCACCCCTGCCATACGGTGGGTATCTTCGCTAGGTGTCTCGCCCAGTATGTGACAGAAGTCGTATTTACTGCGGTATTCTATGTACGGCGAAGAGAATGTGTTCTGTATTTTTTCGTGCAGCTTTCCATAACAAGAGACAGCGCTTTCGTCTTCAGACATTTCTTCATGTTCTACGTTGGTTTGAAACTCCATGTCCAAAGGCTTGTGACGCTCAAGTATAACCGCCAAGGATACAGCTGTGTAGGCTAAAAGTGTGCCGATTGACAGCATCTCCACTAGGTCTCTCAAGTCCACGAATAGTGCAATTGCTGCCGCGATCATGCCACATAGAAGCGTCGCTCTTACAGGAACATGAGTTCTAGTGTTGATTCTTGCCAGACTTTGAAATAACAGTCCATCGTTGGCCATGGCATAAATCAAGCGTGCACCTGCATAATTAAAGGTTAGCAAGGCGGCAGACATTCCAAAGAACCCTCCGATGGCAACGAAATATCTGCCAACTTCAAATCCTTTGTAGGCAAAAGCGTCAGGCAACGGGCTGAAATCACTGAGTTTTCTATACGGAATTATGAGTGTTAATATGGCGGCAGTTATGAGGTATATAAACACGCCGACATAAGTGCTAATGGTATTTGCGAATGGTACAACCCGCTTAGGGTTCAGCGTCTCTTCGCTTGACGAGTTAATAATATCAAATCCAAGAAAGGCAAAATAACTAAAGGAGGCCCCCGCCATGATTCCGTCGAAACCATACGGGGCGAATTTTTCAAATGTATCCCAATTATGCGTGTCCATGAAATAAAACCCAGAGAGTATAACAAACACTATCACAAGAAGGTTGATTAGGGTGGCAAGGCGCATAAATATGGCTGGCTTCCGCGGCCCTGTGGCAGTTAAAATGGTGAAAATAATAACAATAACACAAGCTATTAAATCTGGAAAGGAGCGAAATCCCTCCACTTTCCACCAGGTGAAGTTTTCTTGCATGAAACTGTAAAGTCGAGAACCGCTGAGGGAATTTGTAAACTTGCTAAAAACGTTTCCTAGAAGTGCGATAGCGAGGATATTTTCCAAAATGAGATTCCAACCTATCATAAAGGCCCATATCTCGCCGAGAGCGATGTAAGTGTAAACATACGAAGAGCCGGTCCTCGAAACCAGAGCGGAGAATTCAGCGTAGCACATAGAAGACAAAATGGCCGGAATTGCTGCTATAGCAAGAGAGATAACGATAGCGGGGCCCGCCGTATCTCGAGCGATCTGCCCTGTAGCCACATACAAACCGGGACCAAGCATTGAACACATTCCGAGTAACATGACATCCAGGACGGTTAGACATCGGTCGAACAATGTATCTTCTCCAGCAAGATCGTGTCTCCTTGTGCGGACTAAAAGTTTACAAAAATTTACGCAGCTCATGTTTGGCTGCCTGTCCTGTGATATGGGCCTATAGAACTATCCTTGATGCCTTGGAAAAACTTGATATTGCTGTGTATAAGAAGAGAACCTGACTTGCGATCTTTGGTGCTGAGTTTTTCGCTAGGTAACTCTTCCTTCTTCGTTTTAGCTTGACAGTCAGTTAACAACAGTTTCCCGCTCGCTTTCTGTACCTTTCCATTTTACACGTCAATATCGCTTAACATTGTTCTTCAGCCTTAGATGCCCGTCTCTTGGGCAACACAGAAAGTACTAAAACGTTGTATAATTTTCCAGCAACCTCTTGAAAACAGAATGTGCTGTTGTTTTTCTTTTCTTTTTTTCAACCGGCCTAGTCAAGGCAGTAACGCGGTCCCTCTCTGCTTCACTAAACTCGTGATTACTTTCCTAAACTATGCAAAACAACTTTCAAAGGAGCTTTGTTACGTGTTAGCTTCCTTTTGTTGTTAATGTCAGTTTGTTGGCACAGTTCAAATGTTATGTCATCGGTGTAAATTATTCTTTGAAACTTTTGTTACTGCCGTATTCCTTCCTTGTCACCCGCTTCAGCCCGAGCGTCAAAATACTCCTACACGAAAAAAAAAAAGTTGTCAATTGACTTTTCAAAAATAGATCAGACGAAAAATTACTTAGCTTTAAAAGCATCTTTTGTTTAAAATTCAAAGGTGCCCACATGGGAATTACCATCTCATTAGCAAATTTTAGACCTACGCGGATGCAATGTAAAAAATATCCCACCAAATGCATAATGTAACATACCGAGTCCACCAGTAAACTACTGAGTCCACACTGTAAACTACTGGGTCCATCAGCAATTGTGCGAGGCAGTGAAGTCTGTTTTTTGATATTTCGCCGTTTCATTCCTAAAATGTGAGACTAGTGCTGCCTTTGAAGACTAATGGAATATAAAAACTGCGGCATCTTGTGCTATTTTAGACTTTTGATATTGTAAATGATGAAAATTAAGTTATCTGCGCTCTTCTTGTGTTAAGGGACGTGTTTGTGTTGTAAAAAAATGCATCTTATAATATTGATCCTTTCACCGGTTAATGATTGTCTGACGTTTCTCAACAGAGCGGAATGAATTTTACCAATTTTTTTTTAGATATTTGCCGGCAGCTTGGCCTTATCAAAAAATCCCAAAGACAAAAAAAAGTAAAATATAACTTATTTTCAAGTATTCCCTCTCTTTATATTTCGATTGTAAAGGACTGCAAGGCAAATCTTTCCTTGATAGCTGAAAAGAAAAACACGACAAAAAGAAATCAGGGACAAAAAATTAAACTCTACATCCTCTGTATGAACTCTTCCTTGTGAACCAAGTGGCCGGTCAAATTTTTCAGGCGGTCGAAAATTCGTCCGAAGCCTTTTGAACGTAGTCTTAGTGAATAGCTGGTCTAATCTTTTTTGTGTCGTTCTTAGTGACGTTAAGGCTACCAATAATAATCTCATAAAACATATTTAAGCGTATGAGCTGATGAGTACGGAATCCGATGTGTACAATAGAGCAAATGATCCTCGACCGAAAGTGATCCCAACAACAGAGCCAAATGATATCCAACCGCAAATGATTCCGCGGAAATAAGAAATGGAACGCTGCTTAGATTCGCCTTCATAACAGCCTTATGTAGGGCCTGTAGGTGTTGGATCAGTTTTTTTTACTAATGTGTATTTATGTCTTGCAATTTACGACACAAAAGAAACAGAGGAGTTATCTATTGTCTTATACATTCTAACAATTTATGCTTTTCTTTCGGCTGACTTTATACATCATCCATGCCTGAACTCCAATCCATTCCTTAACTTTCCACAGGACTATGCGGTCATCAAAACGGATTATTGCGATCTATTTTGGGGATCATTTACGATACTGCACAGATATTACGTTAATTTTGTCCAAAGCTTTAATTTCAGGCCAGTAAAAAGAAATGACGAAAAACTTCTCAAAAACATTTGATGCAGAAAAAAAACACGTGTCTTCCTTTCTGAAAGAGTGAAGTTAAGAGTGCGTTTAAGTAATCTGCGATGTTGGCGGGTTCGTTGGAGTGTGGTGATAGGAATGAGTTTGCCCAGTTCACTGCGCTCTAGTAAAGCGCAAGCTACCGTCCACGTTAATATTGCGTGAAATAAATAACTTCGTGTTGTTTTTCCCAATAGCAGTGATGATGCAGACATTTCGCTGTTTTTTGACGCAAACCCCAGCTTTAGGCCAATACAACGGAATCACGTGAACTGTTACTAGAAATAGCACACAGCCCCCGGTTAGAAAGATTGGACTCAGGGATGCGGTCACGTCAATATTGTACTTTAAAATAGTTTCGTTTTGATGCAGAAGTTCAAGTTGCTGAATCACGTACTTGTGGTTTTTCTTGGATCCTAAAAATAAAGAAAAATAACAAAGTTTTGATACTGATGCCAGGTTGTTTGCATATATTGTGGTTCAATTTAATCTTTGGTGCAGATACTAAGCTATAAATATTTCTTGAAGCCCAGTTTCAGTCAAGTATCCACAAATGACGTAAAATCTGTATTATGGTCGACGTAAAAACTCTGTAAACACAAAAAATGACACGCGGCCCTCAACAGCGCAAGATCTAGATCGTTTTCACATGGCGTCATGGCGGCCACATTGGTGAACCAAGTCAATCCTGTGGGGATGATTTCTTTTCTCTATTTCGCCACTTGCACATCTCACAAAATGCATCTTGTTTGCCCCTCGAAATTTTACATTAGCATTGTTTCCAATTTCTCTTGGAACGGCTGTAATACCCAGGAGAAATAGAAAACAAAGCTTATGCAAAATTTGTGGGGTTGAGGGGAAGGGAAACAAGGTGTATTATGGGAGATGTGCAAATGGCGAATTATAAACTTCCTTTTGTTTCAAGAAATTTTCGTAGCTGCTGGTCACGTCACTGAAACCGATCTCTAGGGCGTTTTCACATGACGTCGCATTCGCCATATTGCTGTTCCAAACCAATGCTGCGAGAGTTGAACCTTTTTTTGTACAAAACATTTTCCTTTGTTCTAATGAATTTGCATAGCTATTGGCCTCCTAAGTGAAAACCCTCTATATATTTTGATTCAATTTTTATCTCTGGTGCAATTTTTTTTCTATTTGTATTAGGGCATGGTAATCACATGGTATTATATGATTAAGAGTGGAACAAAAAACAAAAATGCTCTAAGTATGAAATCGAACCACAGCTTATACACATTAACAAACGCTAACCAACACTTTGCTTCTTAGGCCCGATGATATTAACCCTAAAGTTGTGGAAGAACTTAAACAAAACCAAGGATTTGTTCATAACAAGAGACGAGGCACTGCTCATCTGTTCAGGTAGGTGAGGTGTCTTAAGCGTGAAATCGCGGGAAAATTATACGTTATTTTGAGGGCGCCTTTTTCTTTTTAATTTGTTGGAGACCTCCTTGGTTGTCAGAGACTAAAGGCTGGCTTTGTCACCCGCGTTAATATCCTTGAGGGAACTTGGGTGCAGTGAAATCTGTCCTTTAGCCATTCTCATGGACAAGTCCATTTTCGCAAGGATACCTGTATAAAACGGTAGCCGATGAAATGTAAGCGTCTATCTCTAACCCATCGGTGTCCGTATTCAAGGAGATTTCGCTGAACTACTAAGTTCTTACCATGATTTTACCCATAAATTTAACAGTTTTTCTATCGCGGTTTTCCACTAAAGTAACTGATTGGATCTTAAAATTTCTGCAGTGAGAAGAGATTAATCTTGTCTTTTCGGTGTCAAGGTTCGTAGTTCAAAGTATCCTTATGTGCATTTGATTTGGGTCTTCATCCTTTGTAAGCTCCTGAACCGCTACATCTTATGCAAAGTAAATGCGCGTGATATAGACAGTTTAGTTGTGCTGTTATTTTGTCGCTGTTGGGTGGCGTAGGTGACATTTGCTTCTACCATCTCTCTCTGTCTTTAGCGCGGACGCCTTGGGCGCCTTTTTGAAAAGGAACAGTCTTACTCACGTGATCAGGGCACATGAAGTACAGGAGGCTGGCTTTCAGGTAGGTGTTCGTTACGTCACTAGAAAAAAGGAGTAATAAGTAAAAAGAAATAGACTATTTTACAGTTGTGGACTTAGTACCCTAGCCTTCGGGTGAATGTGAGGCTGACGGTGACCTTGTTTTGATACAAGCCTCCTTTGCTTTGTTATGGAAATTGTCCTTAAAAAATACTAGTTAGCATAAGAATAACGTGATTGACATAATAAAGCAGGAAGGTTTGTATCAAAACAACGTCACCGTTAGCCTCGCTTTCATCCATAACTGTAAAATGGCCTATTCCATCTAGCAGCGACCAAAACTGGAACAAATATTTGCAGTTGAGACAACGTGTGGGTACAGTAAAAACCCATGTGTAAGAACCTGTAGATTAAGAACCTCCTGGCTTCAATTTGCCACTTTAATACCCAAAAATACAAGAAACTGTTTAGCCAAGCAACATCGAGCAGGTTCTTATATGTGGGTTACAGGTGAGTTAAAATATGATAAACAATTTAACCAAGGAGTGTGACTTTGAAATTGTAACTTTAAGTGTAACAAAAACACACTGTACCAAACTGCATATATAATGGTAATAGGACTGATTGGAGTCCAATTCTGTCTTTAATCAAGCGAGTGATTAACAACATCGAACGACCGCATACCGGGAGTTCGTTTTGTTTAATCACGAAGTCCTGTTACCAATTAATCATAACCTTTTCAATTTCCGAGAAAACAAAGAGCTTTTCATACCAACTATCCAAAATTAGGGGTATACTGTACCATATTATCGTGTGAAAAGTTCCCCAGCATGTGTGCCGGTTGTTTAACGACTACTTTCTCTTGATTAACGAGTTTACCAAAATGACCTACTGTCCCGTAAAGTTTGTCAGGGTAAACTCGTCCACTACAAGGCCTAACGTAGATTTGGGGCCATGTGTCAAAAGGCTTTTTAATTTGGTTCCATAATCTTTTTTTTAATTTGGTTCCTTAACTGCAGGTTCAACAGAATGGGAAACTGCTCAGCGTCTTCTCGTCGTCTCGGTATTGTGGTGGCTCTAACGAGGCTGCGTGCATCCTGGCGCATCAGAACAAATTGCGCACAATCAGACTGGATACCACGTGACCAATGAGAGACATTCAATCACGCATGTTCAGCGAGTTATAAGCAGTGTAACTCAGATTGTTGTTGTTGTTGGTTTTTGATCGGATATCAAATCATCTAAGTTGAAATCGTAAGTTTTGATGGAAGATTTTCGTTGTGGTTAGGTGATGTTTCTTGTGACTGCGAAAGAGAATTGGAAGAGATCAAATCGAAAATGACTAATAGCCTGAAGTAATGATGATATCAAAGGAAGACAGATGCAAAACATTTTGCAAACACGGTTATCATTGCTTGCAAACGGACATCTCCCTCGATAATTTAAATTGTCAATTCTTCCGCGGAGCGGACAACTGCAACAGGCTTTGTGTTTGGTAAGAAGATATAATTTATATAATTCGAAATGAGGTGCGTTATTTATTGAAAGAAGATTATTGTTAAATGTTATTACAGTTGATTTTTCCAACCAAGTGGTCATATCTGACCAGTTTTTAGGCAGTTGTTGTAATTATTTTAGGTGGCCGTAGGTTCTAACCCATTGTTCATTTTTACCTTGATCGGTGCAAGAAACTGCACTTTTCTCTCTTTTTTTATCCACTGCGCTGTGGTTTTTCATTGTTTCCTCCTATCTTTTTTTAGTCGTGAGTTCAGGACCGAATCCAGAGACTTTTTATCGGAGAGGTTTAAACTTTTTTGTGCTCGCTGTTGGAACTGTTTCACAACCTGTCGTCTTCTTCAACGTTACAAATTATCGTCTAGTAAACGAAACTACGTAAATTCTTGAATGTGACGCTGGAGTGGTAGCGATGTGACCTGCAAAAAAAGTCATTCAATAGCCAAAAATATCTTTGGTCTGAAGGGAGCGCAGAAAAAAATAACAACTCGTCTCTCTGGAAAAAAGATCCACTTAAGTGCTCGAATAATGCTAGCATAATGTACAAAACCTAAATGTGACATTTAGGAACTAGCTTGTAGGTTCTTGCACCGTGGACAACCTTCATAAGTTCAGTTTACGTTTACGAAATTCTTAAATTTTGCATCATTACATTTTATTTCATTGTAAGAAATGTACAGTTTCGTTTTTGTGCTTCTTAGAGGTGAATTTTTTTTGTAGACTTTTCTATTGTTTTATAAACGTAGGTATAGCGTATATGTTTTGTAACTTAGGGAAAGAATTCTGAGGATAGTCTCGAAGAAGGGGGAAGTTTCAAGGACTGTGTTTGTGCTATCGGCCTTGTCGTTTCTGTTTCTATCGACTCTAAAGTAAAAAAAAAATAAAAAATCATGTTGTTTTTCTTTATGCTGTTTCAAAGTTCTAAAATATCGCCGAACATTATTTCTTGGCCCATGTACTAGAGATAAATAAAGATATTTTCACGCAACGTTATAGGGTAACCCCTTAGAAAAATCCGAGATGGCTACTGGCCAATATCAAAATCTTTAAAAGTGGTCTTGCTGATCATGAAATCACTCTAAAATATTGTAATCATGATCTCTTGGCCTACTTTGACAGTAAACAAACACAGAGGAAATTTTTTAAATTTTGATAAAAAATCACACACCTTTGGAAAAATCAAATCCGAAATCGAAGTTTTCAAAACTGGTCTTGGTAGCCTTTTCATCTCTCTAAAACGTCCCCAAACATCATTTCCTGGCCAGTTTAGACTATAAACGCACATAAAGAAATTTTTTTAAAATCGTGGGCCAACCCCTTTGGAAAAAAAATCCAGCATAGCAGCTAGCCAACATCGGGATTTTTGTAAATGGTCTTAGTGTCTTTTCACCGCTCTAAAATATCCTCAAACTTCATTTCTTGGTCAATTAAAATTATAAACAAAAAACGGAGAAAGGTTTCCAGTTTGACCCAAAATCGTGAATTAACCCCTTTGGAAAAAATCCAGCATGGCTGCTATACAACATTGAAATCTTAAGAAAGGTCTTAGGAGTCTTTTCACCGTTCTAAACACCCCTAAACATCACTTCTTGGTCAGTTTAGACTATAAACAAACACAGAAAATTCCCAATTTTGACCCAAAATCGTGAGTTAACCATTTTGGAAAAATTTCCAGCATGGTAGCTAGCCAAAAGCAAAACATTTATAAATGGTCTTTTCACCGTTCTAAAACACCCCCAAACATAATTTGTTGGTCCACTTATACTAGATACAAACATGTAGAAAATTTTTAATTTTGACCCAAAATCGTGAATTAAGAGGCAGTCTCCTTAAAAGGACTAAAAGCGGTCCACTCGATTTCGCGACAAAAAATGCTTTTCCTTTATTTTTTGTCGTTGAAGAGGCTTTAGTAGGTATATACTAAAATCGCTATTTTTGTTTTCAAATTCTTATTCTTAGCTCCGCTACAAGCCAAAAACTAATTGAGTCCGTCTTGGCTCCTCAGAGAGTGCTTCAAAGACTAAAATTGATGGATTTTGAAAAGCGCGTTGCAAACAAACGAATGCCCGCACAAAAAATCTGTTCGATTCGGTTTTTTTAGTTAACCTTCGATAGTTCACAGGCTAAATAAAAATATCTTTGATCAAAACGTGTTCAAGTTACGGTGGTTCAAAGAATAACTATTTTGCAGGCTTAATCCAAACCCTGAGAGTAAGGAAGGTTTGAGGGAAAATATCTCAAAAGTTGCGGCCTAAATCTGGTTTAAAAATCATATCAAAGTAAAGTTTTAAGCTTATATTTTTGGTTTATAGGCTCAGACTTGTGGGTATCTTCTGGGATTGCAACCAACAGTAGATTATAATTAATCTGCTATTTTGCGTATTTGCATAATTACTGGCCGTGTCAGATGTCATGATTGTACAGATTAAAAGTTCCATGAAATTGCCTCTTTTGACACTCGAATTCGTCTCGGGCCTCGAAAAGAAAGTAATTAAGCTTCTTTAAGTACTTTTGAATCGAAAGAGATATAGTAACAGGGATTATCATGCATGTTACTGATTACCACGATCAACTGACCGGCGCAGTCGTCTTGTAACTACCTGCACTGAACAGTAAACAATGTTTTTAATAGAATTCTCTAGATCAGAAGTTGATCCAAGCTCTCTAAGTAATGAAAATAAATATCACTACCCCGGGCCATTTTTGGACCAAAACCATGGCTTAACCCCTTTGAAAAACGTCAATTTTTCGACTTTTTGAATTCTTGTTCTTATTGCCTAGAAAGGCAATTTTTCATTCTAGAATATCGTAACAGACATTTTCCTGGCCTATATTGCCGAAGAAAGAAAGTCGGAAAAATGGCCATTTTTGGACCAATACCATGGGTTAACCCCTTTGGAAAAACGTCAATTTCTCGACTTTTTCAACTTCCTGTTTTTATAGCCTACAAAGGCATTTTTTCGTTCAAGAATATCGTAAAAGACATTTTCCTGGCCTATATTGCCTAAAAAAAAAAGTTGGAAAAATGGCCATTTTTGGACCAAAACCCTTTGGAAAAATGTCAATTTTTCGACTTTTTGAACTTCTTGATTTTATAGCCTAGAAAGCCGTTTTCGGTCTAGAATAGCGTAAAAGACATTTCCCTGGCCTATATTGCCTAAAAAAAAAAAGTTGGAAAAATGGCCATTTTTGGACCGAAACCATGGGTTAACCCCTTTGGAAAAATGTCAATTTTTCGACTTTTTGAACTTCTTGTTTTTGTAGCCTAGAAAGCCGTTTTTTCGTTCTAGAATAGCGTAAAAGACATTTTCCTGGCCTCTATTTCCTAAAAAATAAGGCTTGGAGAAAAGGCCATTTTTGGACCAAAACCATGGGTTAACCCCTTTGGAAAAATGTCAATTTTTCGACTTTTTGAACTTCTTGTTTTTATGGCCTAGAAAAGCGTTTTTTTGTTCTAGAATATCGTAAAAGACATTTTCCTGGCCTATATTGCCTACAAAAAAAAGTTGGAAAAATGGCCATTTTTGGACCAAAACCATGGGTTAATCCCTTTAGAAAAATGTCAATTTTTCGAGTTTTTGAACTTCTTGTTTTTATGCCCTAGAAAGGCGTTTTTTCGTTCTAGAATATCGTAAAAGACATTTTCCTGGCCTATATTGCTTAAAAAATGAAAGTTGGAAAAATGGCCATTTTTGGAACAAAACCATGGGTTAACCCCTTTCCTGGCCTAGATTGCTTAAAAAATGAAAGTTGGAAAAATGACCATTTTTGGACCAAAACCATGGATTAACCCCTTTGGGAAAATGTCGATTTTTTGCCTTTTTGAACTTCTTGTTTTTATGACCTAGAAAGGCGTTTTTTCGTTCTAGAATATCCTAACAGACATTTTCCTGGCCTATATTGCCGAAGAAAGAAAGTCGGAAAAATGGCCATTTTTGGACCAATACCATGGGTTAACCCCTTTGGAAAAACCTCAATTTTTCGACTTTTTCAACTTCCTGTTTTTATAGCCTACAAAGGCATTTTTTCGTTCAAGAATATCGTAAAAGACACTTTCCTGGCCTATATTGCCTATAAAAAAAAGTTGGAAAAATGGCCATTTTTGGACCAAAACCCTTTGGAAAAATGTCAATTTTTCGACTTTTTGAACTTCTTGATTTTATAGCCTAAAAAGCCGTTTTCGGTCTAGAATAGCGTAAAAGACATTTTCCTGGCCTATATTGCCTAAAAAATAAAAGTTGGAAAAATGGCCATTTTTGGACCGAAACCATGGGAAAAATGTCAATTTTTCGACTTTTTAAACTTCTTGTTTTTGTAGCCTAGAAAGCCGTTTTTTCGTTCTAGAATAGCGTAAAAGACATTTTCCTGGCCTATATTTCCTAAAAAATAAGACTTGGAGAAAAGGCCATTTTTGGACCAAAACCATGGGTTAACCCCTTTGGGAAAATGTCAATTTTTCGAGTTTTTGAACTTCTTGTTTTTATGGCCTAGAAAAGCGTTTTTTTGTTCTAGAATATCGTAAAAGACATTTTCCTGGCCTATATTGCCTACAAAAAAAAAGTTGGAAAAATGGCCACTTTTGGACCAAAACCATGGGTTAATCCCTTTAGAAAAATGACAATTTTTCGAGTTTTTGAACTTCTTGTTTTTATGGCCTAGAAAGGCGTTTTTTCGTTCTAGAATATCGTAAAAGAAATTTTCCTTGCCTATATTGCTTAAAAAATGAAAGTTGGAGAAATGGCCATTTTTGGACCAAAACCATGGGTTAACCCCTTTGGGAAAATGTCGATTTTTTGACTTTTTGAACTTCTTGTTTTTATGGCCGAGAAAGGCGTTTTTTTGTTCTAGAATATCGTAAAAGACATTTTCCTGGCCTATATTGCCTAAAAAAAAAAAATTGGAAAAATGGCCATTTTTGGACCAAAACCATGGGTTAACCCCTTTGGAAAAACGTCAATTTTTCGAATTTTTCAACTTCTTGTTTTTATAGCCTTCAATGGCGTTTTTTCGTTCTAGAATATCGTAAAAGACATTTTCCTGGCCTATATTGCTTAAAAAATGAAAGTTGAAAAAATGGCCATTTTTGGACCAAAACCATGGGTTAACCCCTTTGGGAAAATGTCAATTTTTCGAGTTTTTGAACTTCTTCTTTTTATGGCCTAGAAAAGCGTTTTTTTGTTCTAGAATATCGTAAAAGACATTTTCCTGGCCTATATTGCCTACAAAAAAAAAGTTGGAAAAATGGCCACTTTTGGACCAAAACCATGGGTTAACGCCTTTGGAAAAACGTCAATTTTTCGAGTTTTTGAACTTCTTGTTTTTATAGCCTTCAAAGGCGTTTTTTCGTTCTAGAATATAGTTGGAAAAATGGCCATTTTTGGACCAAAACCATTGGGAAAATGTCGATTTTTTGACTTTTTGAACTTCTTGTTTTTATGGCCTAGAAAGGCGTTTTTTCGTTCTAAAATATCGTAAAAGAAATTTTCCTGGTTTATATTGCTTAAAATATGAAAGTTGGAAAAATGGCCATTTTTGGACCAAAACCATGGGTTAATCCCTTTGGAAAAATGTCGATTTTTTGACTTTTTGAACTTCTTGTTTTTATGGCCGAGAAAGGCGTTTTTTTGTTCTAGAATATCGTAAAAGACATTTTCCTGGCCTATATTTCCTAAAAAATAAAAGTTGGAAAAATGGCCATTTTTGGACCAAAACCATGGGTTAACCCCTTTGGAAAAACGTCAATTTTTTGACTTTTTCAACTTCTTGTTTTTATGGCCTTCAAAGGCGTTTTTTCGTTCTAGAATATCGTAAAAGACATTTTCCTGGCCTATATTGCTTAAAATATGAAAGTTGGAACAATGGCAATTTTTGGACCAAAACCATGGGTTAACCCCTT